TTATTCGTGATATGAATTGAGATAGTTGTAGAGTTGAAGTTGGACGGATATCGTCGGAGGGTACTTGAACCGTCGAATCGTCGATAAACAGAGTTGAAGAGGAGAGAGATGCGATACCGGAAAGGGTAGTTAGCTTAAAGCTGACTTGTCGCCCTCTCTTATCGATTAAGAGCTATCGTTCTCAGACTGAAGAGGGGAGGGTTCTCGATTCAAGGAGATAACTCGGAGTGAGACGAGACAAGTCGAGCAAAGACGTCGGCGTCTCTTTTCGTTATTCTAGATCGTGGAGGGGACGAGTTTTGTAGCGGGGCATCCATATCCATGATACTACCTAGCGATAGCGGGGTACATCATTTGCACACTGAATTGTTAGCGGCCCTCAGCGACCGTTCTCGGTATGGCCACTGGACGTTAGCAGCCATGACGCACCCAACGGTACATGGAGACGGGTATCGTGTAAGTGGTGACCCATGTACTGACATGGCCCGAGCTTTAAATTTCAACCACTATCGCTTGCAGAACACAGAACATCAAATCTCAAGTGTAAACATCTACACCCAGGTCGACCCAATTGATGCGATTCTGGATCGTATTATGCCTACGTACCAATGCCACTGTTGCACCAAAGGCTCATGAGCTGCGCCACGGCTCGGCGCGCTTTGTCTAGCCTCTCCTCCAGCTCAATTCGACGTCCGATAATCGCCCACCCCAGAACTGCGACTCTTGGAGCAATCTCACGGCGATGCTACGCTATCGACCTTACTTCAATAGACGACAAATGGCGCAAGAGGTGGGACAAGTTCAATGAGACTTCTAAAGTCTCTGATAAGGGAACAAATGGCCAAGATAAACACTATGTGCTGCCAATGTTTCCATATCCCTCGGGCACGCTCCATTTGGGTCACTTGCGAGTATACTCCATTGCCGATGTCGTCGCTCGATTCCAAACCCTAAGGGGCGAAAAAGTCATGTTACCTATGGGATGGGATGCTTTCGGTCTTCCAGCTGAGAACGCTGCAATCGAACGAGGAGTTGCCCCAGAAAAATGGACGACAAGTAACATGGCCAAGATGAAGGATCAGTTGGAACTCATGAATGGGAGTTGGGATTGGGATCGTGTAGGTTCTCTGTCCTATAGACCATGGTTTCTGTTCTAATCCACTTCCAGGAGTTATCAACGTGTGATCCCAGCTTCTACAAACACACGCAGAAACTATTCCTCATGTTACACGAACGAGGTCTTGCCTACCAAGCCGAAGCTGAGGTCAATTGGGACCCTGTGGATAAAACAGTGCTTGCAAACGAGCAGGTTGATGCTAATGGAAACTCATGGAGGTCCGGTGTCAAGGTCGAGAAGCGCAAACTCAAGCAATGGTTTTTCCGCATCTCTGAGTTCCGAGAAGCCCTTCTCGAGGAGCTCGAGGCACTTGCAAAGGAAAATGCTTGGCCGGAGAGAGTTCTGGCTCAGCAGAAGAATTGGCTGGGTAAATCAACTGGCGCTTCAGTCAAATTCCCCGTTCTTGCCATGGGCCACGATATTCATGCAGCGATCGAAGTATTCACCACTCGACCTGATACACTCTTTGGCGTCCAGTATGTGGCTCTTGCTGCCAGTCATCCAATCGTAGCTAAGCTCGCGGCTTCTGATCCTGAACTACAAGCTTTCATCGACACCATCCCTGGCCTGCCTGCGGATTCCAAGGTTGGCTATTTGTTGCCTCACCTGCGGGCTATCAACCCACTTGCGTATCATGAGGGGACTCCCGATGCCACCAAGGTCTCGCTGCCTGTTTATGTTGCGCCATATGTCTTGGGCGACTATGGTGAGGGCGCTGTTATGGGTGTTCCTGGCCACGATCTACGGGATAATGCGTTCTGGAAGGAACATCACTACGATGTGCCAGTCCGACAAGTTCTCTCCGCATCAGAGGATGAGTCAACAACAGTTATGCAGAACGAACCTTTTGTCGAACATGGCGTCATGACCGAACATAGTGGTTCCTTCAAGGGCAAGTATTCAGTAGCTGCTGGTGAAGAAATTGTCAAGCTGCTTGAGAAGGCTGATCTTGCCAAGTCTGTCGAGAAGTGGCGTCTCCGAGACTGGTTGATCAGCCGACAACGGTACTGGGGCACTCCCATTCCCATCATTCACTGCGACTCTTGTGGTCCGGTCCCTGTGCCAGACGAACAGCTTCCTGTAAAGCTCCCTGACGTGGACTGGGCAGAGACGCGTAATGGAAGTCCTTTGGAGTCGTCTCCTGAGTTTGTCAATACGACTTGCCCCAAGTGTAACAGCCCTGCTCGACGAGATACAGACACCATGGATACATTCGTTGACTCAAGCTGGTACTATGCTCGGTTCGCCGATCCCCATAACAAGGAACAACTATTTTCTCCCGAAGCGGGCAAAACACTTCCCGTTGATACCTATATCGGTGGTATCGAGCACGCGATTCTCCATCTCCTCTATTCCCGCTTCATCTTCAAGTTTTTGGCCTCAACCCCTCTGCTTCCTCAATACAACGAGGAAACATACAAGTCTGCGGAGCCTTTCAAGCGCCTCATCACTCAGGGCATGGTCCATGGCAGAACATACATCGACCCTGACAACGGCCGCTTCCTCAAGCCCGATGAAGTTGACCTGACTGATCCCAATCGGCCCAAGGTGGTATCATCTGGCAAAACGGCCAATGTCTCTTTTGAGAAGATGTCCAAGTCAAAATACAACGGGGTTGACCCCTCAGAGTTCATCTCTAAATACGGTGCTGATGCTACTCGCGCCCACATGCTATTCCAAGCTCCTGTTGGTGACGTGCTCAACTGGGACGAGGCCAAGATTTCGGGTGTCACCCGCTGGCTGCAGCGACTCCATGACCAGACCGTAGCCATTGCTGCGGAACCCGCTGACGAGACAACTACTGCTCGAGAATATCTTGTTGAGAAACACAAGAGTCTTGGCTCTGCGTCCATGGAGGAGCTTAAACAGTGGGATGCTGAAGGGGCTATTTGGCGCCATCTCCAACGGACCATCACATCAATCACTACATCTTATGAGGAAGTATACTCCCTCAACACTGTGGTATCGGATCTTATGATCCTAACTAATACCTTGGCCGAAAACGATGCCGCCAGCCCAGTCGTCAAACATGAAGCAGCTCGTGCTCTCATCTCTATGATGGCGCCCATCACGCCCGCATTTGCTGAGGAATGCTGGGCCCTTCTCTGCCCTTCCGCATCCTCCATCTTCTCGTCCACGAGCTTCCCTGTGCCGGACAACTCCCTGTCCGAACTCGTTCGTCCGCGAATACAGCCTTGTGCCGTACAGGTCAACGGCAAGGTGCGCGGTGTGGTCGAGATTCCCTCTCCTCCGGCTGAGCTGTCTGGTGATGAGCTTCGGGATTGGATGGTCCGGGAGATTCTTGCTACTAAGGAGGGCGCTGCGCGGTTTTCTGAAGGGCAATATGATTTGCGCGCAGCAAAGAGAGCCATCCCTGTAAGGGGAGGCAAGACTATCAACTTTGTATTAAAATAAACGTCCTAAACTGGTAGAGACGGTTGTACGATAACTGTAAAATAGAGGCAAAATAGACAGTGATAGACATCTGATGCTTTGCAGTGCTTTTGAGCTCGAGCTATCACTATGCGAAGTGAAGTCAATAGCATACAGACCATCCACGTCATCTCAACATGATTGAGGCACGAAAGAAAGCAATATACGTTCTCACAGCTCAACAAATAACTTAACAAAAGCGAAGCTGTAGGCAGCTATCCATGGCTTAAATAAATATCCTAGATGTCTTCATTCTGTTCCCTTTATATACCAGCAACATTGTGATAAATTTTAATAAGCGAAGACAACGTGGCCGAGTGGTTAAGGCGATGCCCTGCTATCTCTTCGAGACATCATAGGCATTGTGTTCGCACGCGTAGGTTCGAATCCTGCCGTTGTCGATTATTTTTGCATTTCTTCTTTATTACTTGAAGATCTTTTTTGTTTTCCTATGCTATGAGTTCTTTCGATAAGACAAGGACTTGTATCCTGCTTTTTGCTTGTCTAATAAGAACGCAGGCCTTCCTGTTGGCTGCTCTTGTAGTTCTTTTTGGAAGGTATTCTAAAGTGCTTTCTGGATAATTACCCTGTAGACAGGCACACTACAACCTGGAGGCAAGCAATATGTTAATGACTTTAACAGTATGTATATGCTGGATTTATTCTTATCAGGGGAAAATACAATTGGTTTCCTCTGATTTATATGGATGTTCTGGCCTGTTTTTTTTTTTTTCCTTTTCATGTTTAGGCTCTGTATACGGAAAGACAGGTGTCAAACTCCATGAGCCCGTCATAAACATGGTCTCTCACTCTCCCTAGGTACGAATATAACGCAGTCAGCGCGGCTGAGTAAAAGACGGCACCAGACATAATTGGCAGATAGAACAAGACTTGAGCACAATTCTATGGATGTGACTGCATTCGTCGATATATACGATCAAGGATCTATCTCATACGGCATGATCAGCATAAGCTCAGCTTCAGTCAGAACCAATAGCTCCCATTCCAGCCGTGACGTTACTCAGTATCCTTAATACAGCTTCGCACACCACCCCAGCAGCCCAGATATGTCCGGTTAGATATTTAAGATCATTGCCAGGGGAGTCAGATTAAGGGGCCACACCCATATGAGGGAGGTTGACATGAAAGCTACTATTGGCTTGTGACCATGCTGACATTAAGCCTGATGGTAGATTCAAGCCGAGTCTTCTCCAGTTGTCCAGATGCAGTCACCACATCGTATTTCCTGAACAATCATATCTATCTGCCACATGATGGGCTATATGACACAACGATACAGCGAATGGGTTGCCTATGATCCGTACTCTATCATGCAATGTAGATCGTGCTGCCAAGGGTATCCAATGCACAAATCAATTCACCACCGTAAACACACAAAGATGCACCAGTACAGTATTCATCGCCATTTGTCGAGTCAAAGACAACGAAATCACTCGCTGCGCTCCGCTCTTCGCTCCTCATCCAGCAATCTCTGATTTTCGCGATCACTAGACTGCGGCTTCTCTGAGTCGTGATATAGAACGTAGTGCTGAATGATGAAGACGGTATCGTAAACCATGCTAATGTTGCCAAGGGCAAACTTGACCGGGTTGCCGGTGATGCCGCTCCAGTCGCGCTGCTGATAACTGTCGATGGCTTGCTGACTGACGCTGAGGACACCACCAGTAAGATCCAGCAAGATCTGAGAGATGCTCCAACCATCGGTGCTCTGGTTGTTGTAGTTAGTGACGATCTGGGGAGTGTACTTGATTAAAGTGACAATAAGCTTGACATAGCCCACGGCGTAGACGATATCAAGGGCAACCCAGTCATAGACGGCATCGTTTCCTGGAGATGAAGCAACAATGACACATGTCAAGAGAACCCCAGTGATACAGCCGGCTGCTACCCCAAGAATAAACCGGCTGGGTCGGTTTCCAGAGTTCGGGGTGAACCCCCACAACGATGGAGCGAGATACTGAGAGGTTGTGATGATGGAGAGAAACAGAGCGTGGAGGGCAAAAGTGATGTCGTTGAACTGTACGGTAGATTCGAGGCCCTTGTGTCTCGCAGCATACTGAGCGCGAATTTCTGGTGAGTAGTAAAAAGCTACATTTGAGCTAAAGTATGCAGCGAAGCCTGACAGATACGAATATGGGTTAGTATTGAAGATGAAGACGAACTGAACGAGACATGGACTAGGATCGTTAATGTGGCGGTGATCAGGTCCAGGATGCCGGGCTGACTGAGGTGAGAGAGGAGAGGGGTGTATATTGTTTATTCTGACACTTATATCATGCCATTCACTGGGGGTATGGATATAAGGAGACATCGCGGTTGGGCACTCACCGAGGACGTTGATAAAGGGGAAATCGATAGTTGTGCCGCTGGTGGAGCGACGACGCCAGTTCAGCAAGGGCTGAGGATAGAAAGACGCGCTCCAGGCGAGGAAATAAATCCATCCAAAGAGGCCTGAAAGGAACGTGAGGAAGCCGACAGCCATTATTATCTACAATCTCGTATCTTGGCGTTGTTACGCGTCAAGGCTGAGATGGAGTGAAAAGGAGAGAAAGAAGGAATGCGATGCTCATGAAAGAGAGTTGAGGTAGGTGAGGACTACAGTGATGGATCGTGTGACTGAGGAGGTGAATGAGTCCTGAGATGAGGTGAAGCAAACGCTCATGTGTTCTGACGCCATCTCGGTACGTACTTTCGTGACTTTCAATGCCAGGTTGCACAAGTGTGGCTGATATGTACCGATTGTGGCTACATGAGCCAATTAAGAATAGCCGATCAATCCAGCAACTCAAGCTTTCATCATGATGAAGACAATCTTGAATATTTAATTGCTAATTAATCGATATGAACCGAATCAGAGGGAACAGGAATGCAATATGAAGAAGAACCCCTTTAAGATGCTAATGCTTCACCTCATCATGATCAAAGCTTCATGTTGCAGCTCATCAACCACACGGAGAACATCCGAGCAGATTTTATTTCACCTAAAACAAATGCAACAATAACACCGAGAAGGGACAATACTAATACTCGATGATTATTAGAAACAAGGGCATGAGCCAGTGAACCAAAGCATCAAAGAAGTTTACATCAACGGGAATTGCCCGAAGACGCCCTGACATCTTAAGCGAGTGGATACACCTTTCACCTTACACGCCCCTCGAAGATCTTGTTTTCTTTTCTAGAACGTGTTTAACCTGATGCTTCTCACCTTAGACCCTTGTCTCGGTAGCGAGCGGTGTGGGAATTGCAGAGCCGCAGCCGCAAATGGGCCTTAAGATCATGCCAGAAGGGAAAAAGCACGCCAGACAAGGCGAGACGAGGCTCAAAATGCGGACCCTGTAGATAGTGATGAAAAGGATCGGGAGAGGCCGGACACGGTTTATATGAGACAGAGTTCCTCGCGGGTTATTATCTTGGGAGAATCGTCGTCGTCGGTAGGATCGGAGCCGAAGTGGGCATCTTGAATCAAATGGAATGCGCGGTAACTTTCTTTTTATTATTTATTTTTACACTGCCGGTTGGCTTGGTTGCATTATCTACTGCATCGTCGACTGTGGCAGCATTATGTTGCATGCCGTGCTATTTCCGAGCCTTAGTGAATCAGTGGTCCGGAAACCCACCCGAGTCGACTTATCCTGAGAGGAAAACATCAAACAATGGAGTTCACAGGGGTTGAAGAGGACTGGGAATGGAGGCAGGTTGCTTTGATGACGGCGTTGAGCCTCCGTTTGCGGCCGCCCCTCTGATCAAGATTGCACTCATCATCATGAGATTTAGATGTTGCTCATTTATCTTTATGATCATGACGTATATATCTTTGACGACGATTCCGCCATCAACACTCACCTTTTGAAGGAGAGAATCACCAATTAAGCATTATAGAGCCTAGACCGTCATCATAGATCGCTAGAGGTTTAAAAAAGGGGGCTCTCTGGCTCCCGATCTCAATCCTTGCCAAACTGTGGATTCAACGGCCGTTCCGTACGGGGCATCGCTCGGCACCGGGACGGTACTTGTCACCTTATGCTCAGCTCATGAATATCAGTATCAGTATCAGTCTCATATCTGTGGGTGTACTAGACACGAAGGGAGATCCGTATTATTTCCTAGGCGCCGGCATTCGGCATCTTGGAACTTTATGCTTTGATGCAACACTACAGTACAGTCACCGCCATCAATCTCTTTTACTCGTCACCAGGTAATTAATAGTTTGGTCTTCATGGCTGGCTGCACAGCCTTTACTCAAGAGATCGACACTTGCTTATGCTCATTTCGTCAATTCAGCTCATAAGAGTTAAAAGCCGGCGCGAGTCAGCTCAGCTTATCTGTCTGACAGGTATGGATGGATGCCACTTAAGATCAAGACACATTTGAAGACACCAAGAAAAGTGACAATTCAATCCTTCGGTCAACGTCAGTCACCGTGTGATATGATCCATTCGTTGCAGGGTGTGTAGCTAAGATAAAGATTCTATCTTCGAATGGAACCAATTATCACCCGCAATTCAATTGCGTGGCTTAGAAAGTGACCTTGTTTCCATTGCAATCGTCAGCCATTCTGCATGTACCGTCCCGTCCCGATCCTTGGTCTAACCCATGATCCCTGTAATCTTTTAGTTCCTGGCCCTGGCGTCTCGTAAGTTCAAGGTCAGGACCTGGGAGGGTGTGTCCGTCTATCGGCCATGTCCACGACCACGTCTAAATCAAGGTCAATTCTCTTGACTCACCTTGTAACGTTTAATATATATATATATTTCAACTCCCAATCTTTCTTCTTTCTTGTTTCCCTCCCGTTCATATCATCTCGACAACAACTATCTACACTCTTATCAATCCTGTCATATCATACAACTCAACGCCTCAAAGATCGGCACTATAACATCAACACCATTGGATAACATCATTCAAGCCAACAGCAGCTAGCCTACCTAGTCATTCATCAGTCTAGCAGCTCTCCAAACTTGATTTAAGATCTTGTCGACATCCGCTAGTCATTTCGACTCTATTCAATCTACTCTTAACCAACTTAAACCATCACTTACATCACTACATTTTGATACCAACAATCACCATGGCCACTACCGTCCAACAACAAGAACCGCACAAGACCGGCTTTCTCGACCTCCCAGTTGAGATTCGTCTGGAAATTTACGATCAACTTCTCCTCACAGCGCCATACACCCGATGTGGTCGACCATGCCCTGAGCAAAAAGTCCACGCTTCTCTCCTCCGCACCAACCGCCAGATCCACGATGAAGCTACAGATCTTCTCTACGGCTGCAATACATTCCTCTCTCATCCCACACTACTCACCTCATTCCCTCGCCTCCGAAACTGGTATGGCCCCGTCAAGGAGTCCTCCATCATCCCAAGCATCCGCCGCTTTCACACCCAAGTCCGTCTTGACGTCGATCTCCCCTACGACGCCGATGCTGTGACAAAAGCTTACAGCGGACTTGACGAGCTCACCATTGACGTTGTTCAGTCGATGTTTCTTGGCGTCGGATATCGCAATCTACGCATGTTTGAGGGTGTCAGGGGCGTCAAGAAGGTCAATGTCACTGGCAGCACGACTGGCTTCGAGGACTACGTTGAATGGCTCAAGATGTCCATGATGACTGAACCTGGCGTCGAGGTCCCAGAGTATCAGCCTCAACAGCAAGCAGGTTGGATTCAGAGATTGGCTACTGCTCACTATTAAGCTGCTTACTCTGCTCTCTTCCCCCATTCACCGAGTCTACTCCGGTGTATGAGTTTACTATATTTGAAGCAACGGCGAACAAAATCATTAACGAATGTGATGAATCTGTCTATTAGTTTAGACTTTGGAGTTTTGGTAATTCAACGGGCGTTGGAAAATGGGAATTTGATTTAGAGATTCCCACTGCGCATAATGAATAGGCGCATCAGATAAACTCTAATTGTTATCTATATTTGTGGCATTTTATGCCTAATAGAAATATTCCTGTCATAATCCTAAGAATTTCGTGTCAGACTCTCGCTGATTCTAATTAAATTATAACGATATTCTTTATTCTATGTGCACGCTACGTCCATATAATCCTGATGAGATGTTGGCCATTTAGTTAAATAGATACTCAATATGCCTGCAACTATACTTGAAGGATCATCATACCACTAAAAGAAGCACACAAAAGCGCTAGAATTATATTAATATGTTGTATCGCATTAGCTCTAATCCCGTACAAGAGGCACTCGGGTCCTCAGAGCAACAGAACGTTGCATTTGATGTCACAAACATCATGCTCGTATGTTCTAGTCTCTCAGGCACTGTTGCAATTTCTATAACCGAACGACAAGAATGACCTCTCGTGAGCAAAAGGAGACAAGAGATTGCTGGAGTTTTAGTTGAAAAATGTAGCCATGAAACCGTCAAACCATAGCATACCTTCCAGCGTATAACATGGTCCATCCATTTCTTAATGGTCTAATATTTGCTGATCGTTAGTTTAAATCAATTATCTAGGTCAAAAAAACATAAGTTTAAATTCCAAGTCTCCCCCAAGTTAAGGTGATTAAACCGTTCTTTGTACCAAGCACGCTGTGTTCATCGTTCCGGCGGGTGTGGAACTTGCATCGCAATGCCCACGAGATGTCTCTGAGGAGATAGATTATATAAACACACCTTTGAAGAGACAGTCTTGAGTTATCTTGCTGCAATAACAGTTCCGCTAAACAAATACGCATCTTGAATGCTCCAATTACCCTCAATTCCCACATAAACTGCCACACACAATTCATGAACGTGCTTTTGTTTTCACAAAGGATTCAAATAAGCTATAGTAACAACAACACTAAACTCTAAACATAACATAGTAAAGGGTGGTAAAAATACAGCTCCCATCATGCCCTTTGAATGCCCCAGAACGCCGAGTCTGATGCAAAAGTAGCAGACGCTCTCCCTCGCCTGCTCCGCTCCGCCAGGAACCAGCTATCCGATTTATCTCTATCTCATCCTGCTTCTTTTTTGTATCCCGTCTTCCATCTATCCCTGTTCTTTTGTCTTTGTCTTTCGCTCTAAATGAAAACATAGATTCAAAAGAGAGATTTTGTCGCAAAGGCTTTTGGTCTTGCTGGGTATTAGTTCGATACAACATCTCCTCGGCTTTGTCCGGTAATTGGACACGGGCGGGTCGTGCTTCGGACATCGAAGCCCGACCATGGGCCGTTTTTGAAGGCGTAATAGCCGAGCAGTCACCGGACAATCGCTTTCGTCGATCTTGCATCCTCTTCAACCTCGATCAAATAACCTCAACTCATCCGTTTTCTGGATTCTCCCGGTCATTTCTATCATTTTGTTCATCGATCTACTGACCACCACCGCCCATGATCTTGGGCAGCGATCGCCAGCCCTTCTCATTGGGAAGCTTGACCTTGCCAAAGTCCTCATCAAGATCGAGGATCACTTTGAGGGCGTTGCGGCTGCGACCATATGGACTAGTGTCCAGGCTGCCCTTGACCGTTGACACGGCATCTGACACTCCTGTAGGAATCTTCTCCTTCTGAGTACCAGGCATGGGTAGAAGAGTCTGAAGAACTTCATATGCGGCAAGGGTGAAACCGAACTGAGGGGAAGATCGGAAGATACGCGCGGGACCACCCTTGAAGAAGGCAGTGAAGCCCTCCTCCTTCCAGATGGTCCTGGCGGCGTGTCGCAGACCGTTATATGTGGCCTCGCCCTTGCGGGCTTCGACCTGAAGTCGGGTCTTGATAACGTCGCAGGGTGTCGTCAAGTAGGCAGCGGGCATACCGGCGATGGCACCAGCAGTCAGCAACTGCAAAACACCCAGCTTGTTGGTCGGAGACTCGCCAAAGAAGTCCTTCTTGAGATGGCTATAGGTTGGGAAGTAGATGGCCGAGAAGGGAACGTCACGGAGCAGACAGGCCGAAGCACCCTTGTACAGTCCAACAAGACCCAGATTGCGTACGATCCACATGGCCGATCGCTTCGGTGTTCCTTCGACGGTCTTGGCGACCTCGCCCTGAACTTGGAGTCGAATCTTGACGATCTCGAGGGGGTTGGTGAAGACCTATGGTAGACTGGTTAGTAGCGCTTCTATCAAGGCTGAGATTATTTGGCAAACTTACAACTTGGCAGGCGCCAGCAGAACCACCAGAAATCATCTCAGACAAGACTGTAATGTTGCCGTTCTTATCAGTGAAGTACTTTCGGGCAAGATCGTTCACTGTCAGCTTGATGGCCTTCTCTGGAGCGACACCAACCAGCTGGGGTAGCACGCCCGAGTAGAGACCACGGAAACCTTCGTTACGAATGACCTTCTGGAAACAATCGATCGAGTTTTTGTAGAGGCGCTGACCCGGCTGGGCGCCTCGCTGGTTCTGCAGTCGCGTCTTCACCAGATCAATAGGATACACCATGAATGCACCAAAGGCACCGGCAACACTACCCAGAGCAAAGTTGTAACCCGAGGTCAGAACACCCATCAGGATCCCACCACCGGCAACCTTGGCTTTTGTGGCCTCGATGGCATCGTAAATGGGGTTGCGCCATGAAGGATCAAGGACCTTGGTGAAATCGGAGAGTCCCAGACGGCCAGAGGGCTCGTCGAGACCGGCAAAGTGGAAAAGGATGTCAGCTTCCATAGGCGTGAAGAGAGAGAAGCGTGTGAGCTTGGCAGCCTCGTTCAGGAACTCAGGACGAGTGATTTTGCCATCCTTGCTTTGGCCAATGGCACGGCGCAAGATGAGCTCAACGAGGTCCATCCCGCCAATGACGTTCTGGAAAGCGCGCACATTGGCGTATGAAATCTTGGAACCAATGGACAGGTTGACGAGAGTGTGTAGGTTGTCAAGAATGTGCTCAGACAGCTTGTGACGGGCAGTCTCGACAATGATGCGCTCAAACTCCTCACCACTGATGAAGCCGTCGCCGTCCTTGTCAAGCTGGTGGAAGGCCTGCCGAATGCGCTCGCCTTGGAGACCGCGCAGCATCTGGCAGAACTGAGGGTAGTCGAGAGGGTGACGATGCTTCTTGTCACCAATGTAAATCTTGGCCCAGTCGGAATCCCAGTCGAAGGTTAGGTTGTCGGGGCCCTTATTGAGCTCGTACAACGTGCGGAAATCGTCATACTTGACAGAGCCAGTGCGCTCAACGTCAAAGAGGCGGAAAGCAATCTGATACTCGGCATCGGGTTTGTTGAGGAGGTGCTCGAAAATACCCCAGTCTGCAAGACTCACTTTGCCCTTGCCATGGACATCCGCGACGCTGAACAGGATGGAGTATTGGTCACGAGAGATCTTGTGCTGTTTTGACAGTGGTCAGTAAGTTCTTGCGAGTATGCAAACTTGGCTACAGCTTGCTTGAAGCACGAGTGCGTGACTCACGTAATCCTCGCCTTCAGGCACAACAGCGTTGATAAACTCATCGGGTCCGAGGTACAGTTCGCCTGTCTCAGGGTCCTTGATAGCATGCTTGGTGAAGCGCGCCTTAGTGTGGGCAGCAAGCTGTTCAGGTTCATGTGTGCCGATGACGGCCTCCTTGACGGCCTCCTTGGCCACAGCAAGCTTGGACATTGTTATATCGTAGTCGATCGGAGGGGTAAAGAAGACTTCCGAAAATAAGGGATAAAGTTTATAGCAATTGGGTTGTCGCAAATAATCGAGCGATACTCAGCAGGTCACAAACTGAGGTTTCTGGGGCGACTCGGAGACGAATTGGTTTCGCAGTGTGTCCACTGACAAGTGGTCCGACAACGGCTGAAGACACCGAAATTCTCTGGAGCAACGCAAATAGCAGAAGCTAACAAGAAGAAAGAGGTGCAAAAGGATATGATTTCCCTCGAACGATCGAAGTCAGCGGCAGGGGAGAATGTCGGAGACGTATCGACGTAGCGAAAGGGAAGCGAAACGAAGAGAAGCAGAAGCTGAAGAGGAGAGCAAAATGCGTCAATTGGGGAATTTCGAGATGGAGCGAAAGATGAGATAAATTTGCTATTCACTGGACCAGGCCGGTGGTTGGTCCGGGCGGGGGGTGCACTGTAGCGGGTGTGTGTCCGTGTTTGCGCCTGCCACGAGGGGTGAGTTACTGGACTGTAAGTATCTTTGAGTATTGCACATGACTAGAAATACCTGTTATTTGTGTGTATTGTACCTTACTACTAAAGTAGCTTCCGTATTGCCAGCAGCTCCCTTCCATACCTCGAAAGTGCCCTAACTAACCGCTGTTGCACTTGCTTCTTCCACTGAAGCCCGGTTGGCAGCTGGAAGCGAACCTCTGTACGAAAAGGAAACAACGTGGGGCTTTGGTGGTCTGAAGTCCGGACCAGCGGACAGATATAGGGCGGAGCGCTGCAAGCGCGCTCTCTTTCTTTGTTCTTTTTAAGTTGAATAGCTTGCCTTACGATAGAGTATTTGGCAGTCGAATATCTAGGAATCTCCCTTCATATTGCCAAGTTCAAGAGCACGCTCCAATGGCACAAGAGCAACAGAGGTCACCAGCATCAGTCAAAGATCTCCAAGCAAGTTCGGTGATGACAGAACCCAGAAACTACTGCCCACTCAAGCAGTGGTACCTTGAGATACATCGTCTCTTCTACATGTGGGCGTGCACCTCTAATGGATCTAATCTGTGGACCCCTTCCCAGTTGGCGCATCCCGGGCACCTCCTGGACAAGGTATTTAACGAGCCTGGATATCAGTCAGTGCCTTGAGAGTTGAGCCTCAACAAGGGAATCATGATCAATTGCCAGACTTCTGAACATCTCAAACTTATACTATTATTAAGTATTGGGAATAGACATCTGATACAAAGCGTGTACAAAGGATTCCCATTGAATATACACTCTCTAGCAGAATGCCGTTTCTCTTCCGCAACACCGGGAAAGCTCCCTCCCCCGATCCCGGGGTGGCATATCGTTGTGGAGATGGACCCCAGGACTGACCCGCCTAACCGGAGTTCGGAGGAGCGCCAACTGCTTGATTCAGCAGTCAATGCTATTTTGTGATTTTAACGATCTTGAGCAGAAGACCTTCTCATGCTGTGGCTATATTGACAAAGTGAATGGACGGCAAGGCTATCATTTCTGGGTTTTGATCCAGTGGTTGAGTTTGGATCTAGAGCCCATACTTCGTTGCCGGAATGAATTCACTTTCCTCCTTTACGCTTCCGGGTCTCGCAGCCTTCTCTGACGTGCGAGGAGCAATCCCTTGTCTTTCACGAGAATGTTGAGAAAAACCCATATGTACCGTCGCGGTTCCGCTGGACCGTAGCGCAATCTATCATGCTGCAGGTAATGCAGATTCTTCGGTACGGAGGGAGTCATTAACGATGATCCCTGACAGTTGTCAACAGCTCCTAATACAAATTGTTGCTCACCTGTTCTCACCTTAAACATAATATCCTGTGCCCCAGACTCGGAGTCGCGGAGGGTTTGCCCGCGCTTGCGGCAGTGGACAATATCCATGTTTCCAGAAACCCTCCCTCAATTTCTTGGACGTCACATGGTGCCGATGGACTCTCTAGTGCGCAGCCTTGGGACCTGGTCATTTGAAGTGGAATCTTTCCTCGAGGATAGGTCACGAGCACAGCTCAATGCTATTCTTTGACCGAATTTGGGCAAGGTGAAACCCCGAAAGAAGCCATTTTCACCGTGATGTCTTTTATATTGTTTAACCCTCAGTTTCTCCATCAAGAGATCCATTGGAACCCTGCAGACCCCATTGCCAGTTTGCCATTACCTGTAAGGCTAAGCTTGCTCGCGCGCCTATCAGAACACTTGCCGTCACTTTCTCACCTTGACTTATCCGTGGGCTAGCGGGGAGTTGGCACAAAACAGTAGGTACTTGAGTATACTTCTCACGACTGTATTGCGGGAGTCCGAAATACCGGAAATTCCCGGTCAGCACAGAGCAATTTTCCCCTGGGCTCTACCGCGACTAGTCCAATGTCCATCCCTTGTTCTGGTCTTGTTAGTGGGCGCTCGTACCCATTAGCCAAGGAGAATACTCCGTGGGGAAAAGTCGGGGTTTTGAAGAAGGTCGGGGTAAGCTCGCTCTTAATATATGCCCCTCGATGTGATCAAAGTTAACGACAGATTTGGTGATTTTTTTTTAGTCCTGGATAGATCTCCCATCATCATGCAACTAATATAGATGCCAAGCCATATGATATGAACATATCTTGTCTGATTTAGGCGACACCTGCAAGATGCACATGCACAACAGATGCAAAAAGCAACATTTTTCTATCTCAATATTTACCCAAGACAATCGGCAAGTGAGAGCCATACGTTCTAGTTGAGAAAGCCCGCCATACTAACTACTATATATGAGAGTCTACATCTTGGTTAGAGAACGCTTCAACATGATAAAACCATGTCCCAGACCAGGGCTGAGGCGGCATATGCAAAATGCCGCTAGTCGTGTATATCAACGGCACAAAAGGAACATCAGGTGACAATGTTGAAACAAGAGAATTGAGGATTAGATACCATACACGCGTCCAGAGCCTCTACTAGTCTATATGCTACTGTAAATGCAAACTAGGAGCCTATGGGATTGCTGGCGATGGTGGCAGTAGTGATGATGGCTGGTGGCTGACATTATCTCCATCCCACTTGCTCTGGTCTATGGTCGACTCCTTTCTGCTTGAAGTCGCAAGCTCCCCTACACTCAGAAGCCCAGCCTCCCCCAAGGGTCCCTGAAGAATCCTCCATACGCCTTTGTCCCTAGTACGTGGTCCATATCCCACTTGCAATTACATATATGCCGTCGCATGTATGTAAGTTGGTGGTGGGGGACCGTTCCCGCAACGCCGAATTCCGAAGAAGTATTAAACCAGCCAAATAGGCAATAAAAAGATGATATAATCGCAGTCGCACAATCGTGATATTCGTAACAGTCATCCAGAGTCGTTATACAGTATTTGTACCTTTCCCCTCCACTCCTTTCCTCTCCTTACCAGCTCGAGAGTCTGGGGTTGAGGTGAGGCGAATGATGGGGAAGAGGAGTCCAGGTGGGTAGCATGTGGGGAGTGTCGCTGCTCACATTAAATTGTTGCATCGTGCCCAACCCCGGCCAGGTATTAGTAAAGGGTTCATGTCAAAAAGAACCACCATCTTTGAGAACGAGATTAGGGCAAAAAAAAAGCCCGACCAAGAGCAAAAAAAGAAAAAGCCGTGACTTGTGTCGAGACGAAGTCTAAGGTTGATAGTTAGGGCTTGTCCGGAGCTGGCTGCACCTACTATTCCGGTCCGGATGAAGTAGTGAACATATCCCGGTCCGGTCAAGTATCGACGCAACGACAACAATCAAGGACCTCAATCACCGGTGTGGCAGGCCGCAATGCTCAGCACCAAGCTGCATAAGGGAAGAAATGGCGAGAGGTTGACAGGCGCCATGTACCAGAAACAACCAGTCACAAGCATAAGTCAACCGGGTGATGATGGCTTCTTAACCTTCAATAGGAATGAGTTGGGGCTGCGCGATCGACAGCTCAGCACTACTTTCGCGATATCCTTGAAGCTCTTGGCGAACAGGAGATAGCTGGTGAGGGAGAGTGAAGCCAGTATCGAGAGCTTCCTGCACCAACAAAGACGCTCCCTTGTACCGGCGGTCCGTATACTTTTCAAAGACGGCGGCGTGGTGCTGGTCCGGACGATCACAACATTCAATCATCATCGTCACCAAGTTCTTCAATTGACTCCAGGTATAGCCCGAGTAGAAGACATGCTGCTTAGTCTGCAATGCCAGTTAGCCTGCGTAATCTGAAAGCATAGTCGTAGCTCCAACTTACCCAGTCACCCTTCTTGAGAATGAGTCGAGAAAGACAATGTGCACCCGCAGCCAGAAAGCTAGGGGGGGATGCCACGAAACGCTCGTCCATGATGGTCAATTCCAGGAAGTACTTGGCCAGAGTTCGAGTTTCGAGATCGTAGTCGTCAGCCTTGCTAACGCGTCGCAAGAAGCTCATGGGCCCTGGCCAACCCAGCTCGAAGCTCAGCATACTAAGCATGAAACGCTCGGCCTTCAGGACCTCGTCGGCAGTGTACCCATTGTCAACCATGTAAACAATCTCACCCAAAGAAGGACAGTTAATCTCCTCGTACTTAGAGGCTACTAAGATTGCGGTGGCGCCTACAAGCTGGAGCTTGCCAATTGAGACGATCTTCTGGGACAGGAAACGGTCGATGTAGTTGACTGTCAGGAAAAGTGTCTCGGGCAAGAGACCAAATCGGTTGTGAACCTGTACAAGCCAGTCCATCAGGACTGAACGCATTGACCATTGAATCTCGGTTTGGTTATCCATGTAATGCGCGTTTGGAAGCATCTTGATCTGCAAACATTGTTAGTATTGGGATCAGAGTACAGACGAAATAACTCTTTACCTCAAGCTCACGCATATACCCAAAAATCTCGTCACCATACTCGGCAACCATGCTGACATCCCAGAGCTCTTCTTCAACCTCGTCTCGTGTGCGAGTGCGCTCCACCTCTTCACGTGCGTCCTCAAGTTCACGCTGAACGCGAGCTGTCACGCGAGGCAGTGGAACAATTTCTGTAGCGCCTCCAGCAGTCATATCCCGAGAGCGAGCTGAGTGCGCCGTTGTGTACGCTTGATCCTGATCATCAAAGTCTTCGTCATCAGCCTCCTCCCAGCACTCTTCAGGCTCTGACATGGCAGGAACAGAAGCGTCATAAGAGATAGGAACAATGGGTTCTTCCTCGGATATCTCAGGCAGCTTGATGTGTGACTCGGGATACTCCTCCTTCTGAAGCATATCCAGGTCGACACCAGTCTCGATGGGAAGATACATAGAATCAAGATAGGCACCTTGGTCGTAGGGATAATCAGCCTCCTGCAGCGACATTACAGCAGGATTAGAGGATTTAGAGCCCAGCTCAACATCCGCTTTTGGCACTATCTTTTCCAACTGCTTGCTTTGGGTGCGGCGCAGACTAGCTTGTTGTTGCTGAGATTTGAGATGAGGTTGGCTCTTGTAGTGACGAGGCTGAAGAGCAGGGGCATTCTGAGCTGACGGAGCAGGAGCTTTGGTTGCATTGTGGGTATCTTTCCTGGCGTAAGTTTCTTGAACGTTGTTACGTGATGTCTTCTTATTCGCGTCAGATGACTTATTTTCTAGGACGGTCCGTGTTGACGAGATGTTGGGTAACCTTTGGGCGGGGCGAGAGAAGGAGTCTTTGCTATAGACAGCGTTCTCCTTGTTCAGAGGCGCGCCGCCGTGGCTGTTGTTCACGCCATTCGATGTGTAAATCTTCATCGATTTGCCTTCATCGCGAGTATATACAGCCTGCTTGCTAACATTGGTCATATCGCCGAAGGCGGCTCGCTTCGCTGGGCCACGGAAACCGGCTGCTGTGTTTGTGTTGGCCATGGCCAGATTTCCTGAAGACTTGTTTGATTGTTGAAGCTGGGGAGCGTTTTCTGCGCCACGCGGTCGAAAAGGCTGTAGAATACGACATTAGCTTACACTTTTGTAACGGGTACTGGCATGCATCGTTATGCAAGGGAGAGGTGGCTGTCAAGTCACGGTAACAGTAACTCATAAGGGAGATAGTGTATGATAACATACCCTGGCGTCCATAGTGACATTCAAAATTGAGGATTGCGTGAACGACAAAGGTCGTTGGATGTGGAAGAAACGCGATTAATAGGATGCTGGTGGTGAAGATCGCGTACGGATGCTGAAAGGATGTTTTGGTGGTTGATGTCGGCGCGTTGATTTATCATCTAAGATGCAGCAGTTACAGTTGTGATGGCAGTTGACAGGCGACGGGTGGCTTGCAGTGCTAGGCCTTTTTGACTCTTCCCTTGAATTCTCGGTATCGACTACTGCGCGCAATATGTTTAGGAGGCTGCGTCGAACATTGAACGAGGAAACCCGGCAGTGAAGCTTGGTGAACAAGACGTGTTTGGTGTTGTTGTTTTTATTTCTCAGTAGGAACAAAAGAAACAGCAGCAGGCAATAGCTTTGGACTGGTGGGTGTTCGTGGGATTAGGGGCCCGGGCGCGCAGGGGGCATTAGACGGGGGAGATTAGCCCTGGTAGAACTGAGCTGATGCTCTTTGAGATCAGCGGTGATGATGGAAGCACTAGAAGCTCTATATGCTCAAGGCGTCGGAGGGAAAATGGAAATGAAAGGGTACAAAACAAAGACAGATGAGAATGCGGCGATGATGGAATAATAAAGGTACCTCCGAAGAGCTGGGTCTGAGAAAAGCATGCACATCCATCCACATCCTGTTCGTAACTGTGCAACGGGCAACGGGCAACGGGACAACGTAAATGGTTGTGGAAGCCTCATGCCTTGCCGGTGCTGAGCAGAAGCTGTGACTTGATTGGAGCGATGGCCCCAGCAGTACCCACTTATTCCTTGAGATGAGATTTGTTTGTTTGTTTATTCTACTAACTCTCAGGTACGACGTTATTTTTGGCCCTTTAGTTCAAGGAGAACAAACTCACTAAGCTTGGTGAGGGATGGCGCACGGGCCGCCCCAGGGCTCTGGCTCGTTTCCAACCTGTCGTCACGGCGATGGTGCTTTTTCAAGCGCTATACCGGTTTTAGAGTAGTATAGCCTTATCGAGCTTATCTAGACTTACGTCGCGTCTCACTTGAAGAGCACTTTAAGACGTTGACGTCGTTTATGTAATGTCTGAGACACTTGTAAAGGGAAAGATAGCTATATCATACTTATATTGGTGTGTGAAGTCTATTGCTGTTTTTCTTAAGTAGCCATCTCTCCAGTCAGTTGCACGATTCTCCAATATTGGTCAGATTTTCTTCGTAATCCTCTCATCGCGTCGTATCAAGTATTTGAGCACGCCAAACGGGTACGGTTTCACGTGACTTTATTCTCACCCAAACCCAACGGCATCTCTAAAAACCTCATAGTACTCCAGGAATAACAAACCTGCCGAGACCTTGTCGCGAATCGAATCAGTGAGGAACATGTCCCCCCCTTGCCATTCCGAGACCCCCGAGACAATTTACCGGTTCGCGCCTCCGCCAAGTCATCCCTCGTCGCCAATATGCGCAACATTGTGTGCAGTTGAAAAGCATCAGGAATTGCGCCCAGTCACCACACTCGACTTCGTCAGTAACGACCGATACAAATGTCCCGAAATATGGGAAGTCCAATATACTACGTGAATATATCTCTGGACCAACGATGAGATCCCTCGCAGAGAATAATTACAACCACACCAATTTCTGTGCCTGTTTTACCATCATGCGATGCCTCCGTCATGGCCCCTCTCAAGCAAGACAGCCCGCCACGCAAGCTGCACTAAGACCAACTCTACGCCACCATTTCTCACCTTTTGAGCAGTGCGATATTGTATCATTATCAGTGCCATTTGGCGACGATCTTCTGGAGAGGGTAGGGTTTGTGAAATGAGAATATATAATCTCGAGCGACGTTTGAATTCGTCAAATTGGTTGAGCGCGATGAGTGATCATATCTAGGTAGCCAACCTGTAAGATGTCAGTGTCCTCCATGAGCGCTCGTTGGCATACAATTGCATTATAGATGGCCTTAGTAATTCCAAGGTATCTCGAGCAACGAAACACAAAACGGCTGAACTCATACAGGTGTGATAGCTTGTGAATTTTGCGACCTCTGTCGCATATAATACTAGAGCAGCACAGTGGCGAACTTCCGGCCAAGTACCATTCTAATCACGATGTATTATAATTAATTTTCATTATTCTCTCTCCTACCGCCATATTGGATTTGCTTCCTTATACTGAGCTCCAAGCTAGTCGCGACACCGCCGCATCATGGTTTTGCGCAACCCCTTTGGCACCAAACTGTGCCACTTTGTGCGACAGAATTCGCACGGGACTCAACGGGTGCAAATAGCAGCTAATTCGTTAGGCACGTTTATTTGAGAAAGAAACGCAAGGTCCAAAGTACGCATTGGAAATCTAGCGACGCCACATGCCAAAGAATCGAGTTGGGTGGGTGGTGATAGGAAGTGAACTTGTGAGGCAATATATCAAATTAAGCGCAATTCAATCTAAATACAGATAAGTTTCTGCCAGAGCAAAGCACGTACGAATGTTAGTATAAATGCCGAATCTTGTCACATTCTTGACAGACAAAATAGACGGCACAGGCAGACGAACAAGGGTTGTAGGTGACAAACACACACCGTATCTTTTGTGCGTAGCGTCCAGACATGCTGCTGAAAGACCAGATCGCAAAGAGCAAATCGGATGGGCCCTGTCGCCTCGATATCGAAGTTATTGTCTATTTCGCTTGTCACAGATAGGCCCAGCCTAGACACTCATGGCGGAGCCTTGGAGTCTCATGGAAGACAAATCCGAGAGACATCTGGAGATGAGGTGACCACGGCTCAGGCTCATCTCATAGCTCCAGGCTGGGCTGGGCTGGGCTGCGACGAACGCTGATTCGATCGATGGAGCCTTTCCTTGTCGCATCTTGTTTTGTTTTTTTTGTTGTTGACCACGGTCACCTAAATTTTGCGCCAGCGCATTCAAACGTGGATAATCCAGGGCGGGGCGGTGACAGCGTGCGCGCAAGCGTCATGCTTGATGGACGATGGGCGCATCGCATGCTTTGTTCTCAATGTAACGCTGTGCGACACAGAGATGAGATATGGGATGTGCGCTTTAGTTTTGGACGGCGCATTCGCTGCGACATACTCATTAAGGCCGCACAGTTAGACACTCAGGCTACAAAATATAAAACATACAAGAAGCAATGTGAAAAGGTATCATACAGCGCATTGCGCATCTTTAGATCGCAAACATGTGGCAAGGGTCTGCTTGGCTTGTCCAGGATATGCATGGTACGGACTAGTCAGTCACGGGTCCTTGAGGGCCCTCGATATGCATGGTCTGTAGATGGTATACCTTTTGGACTGTGGCCGTTCTAAGGATCCACGAGTCTGATATACAGTTCAATAGATTAGACGTCCTGAGAGAGGAGCATAAACGACATATCGAGGTCGAATTGGATCTCTGTCGGACCAGAAAAGAGACCAACCCTGGTGCCGCTATCACAATGGATCCATTGCACCATCATCCACATCCACAACTACCTCCACGTTCACTCACATTCACGTTCACGCGTGCTCTGGCCTCATGCTGAAACAAAACAAGTCAAACGTGTGGTCAAGGTCCAATCCAAGATGCCATTTCACCATCTGCCTCGTGCCTCGCACGCCACGAGCGAATCGCTGCGACCGCTGCCTGAATGGTTCAAGATAAAACCCCAGTGAAGGGAAATTGTTCGCCCGGGCCCAGGCGCCGAACGAGGGTTATCATGACATGGACAATTAGCTGTTCCTGTTGGTGGGGGATGAATGCAATGCGAACGCAATTGACTGAGGTTCTGAACAGGCGCATTCCCATTCTTCAGTATCATCTCTATTCAACGGAAATGACGATTCTGTTTCTATTTCGAGCACTTTGGAACTTTGTAGGTATGCGCCTGGCACCAGAGGCTGGCTGGGCTCTTGACGCTTGGATTTCTATTGTCTCAGAATCATTCGCAAGCTAAGCGCATCATCCCTCAGAGTGGTCAATGGCCATCATGGAAGCGCAAGTCGAGAATGAACTGGCGCAACTTCGCCGCTTGGTAGCTAATTTGCGATCAATAGCATCAAGCGACGCTATATGGTGTTATTTATTAGCTATTAGGAATTGATACACATTTAATCCTTTGCTATTTCACAAGAATCTAGTCGGATGAGTATTAGGTAGTAGTAAGAAAAAATGGAACATCAAGGTGTCATAATCAATATCGCCACAAAGGGATGTCTCTCATGTCGGATTTTCAAGGCACAACAACACCTCAATGGTATCTTTGAGAACTTAACTAAACAGTGAAAGAATTGACATATCTAACAATGCCCATTATCCCCTTTCGAGCTCTCAAAAATTCCTCGTCAACACAGACTGTTCGTGGTGCTTACCGTGTGCCAAGCTTATTTCGACACATGATCAGCCTAGACAGGTCCCCAGTTCGGTCGGCCATGACAATCAGCGCGATTGGCTGTTGATGATCTGTTGCAACCACCAACTCAGACATCTGAGCCGTTGAATCGATAGCTCTCCGCTTTCTCAGTGTGTGAACCTCAGGAAAGGTTCTTCTCGGCGTCTCTTCTACTATCTCCAACGCTATGACTGAATCTTCAGACCGTGGAGTCTTCATTGCTAGCCCTATATCCAGAGATATCCATTGGATCATGACCGACAACTTGCGCCAGAGTTTAACATCTGTAACAAGCCCTGATTGAGGTCGCATTGAACCCTGGACAAGCTTCGCACGCTCCCATTGGAGCGCGGAGGAGGAATTCGCAGTAAAGTGTGCGTGTGTGCGCGCGATCGCAGCTCAACAAGCGATGTCGCTGAGCATGTTCTACAGTATGGACTATGTATAAGCAGAAGCTAGCGGGAACCACTGCAGTGGTTGTTGTTCGTTGTCTCCTCTTCTTGGATTAACCACACCACATTTGGATTGGAGGTGAGGGTCGTCAACAGTCACAGACTCACACGAGGCCACCGACAAGTGTCAGAGACACTGGATCAAGAGGGGCTGGGCTTGAGGATTCTTTTCCATTGGGAGTGCGGTCACAGTTGTTGGTCGCCAACGACCTGTGTCTAGCCTAACTTGGGTCGCTTCTTGGAGCGATGGATATGTAGCTAGCAGTGGATGGATCGTGAGTGGCCGATGAGACTCTAGAGATACCGTACTCCGTAGTAATAGCCAGCGCTCGAGTGAGAGGTTCGGGAGGGAAAGGAAGCCAGCAAGCCAAGGTTCCCAGGGTCCGCTAAAATGGGCAACCCATGCATACACTGTCAGTCCGTCATGGTGCCCGGCGATATGGAGCCAATATTCAACTGAAAGCGATAGGTTTTACACAGCTTCAAGAACAGCAATTTAGATAGGCGCATTACTTCTGCTGTGCTCACCGGCCTGTTCCTGAACCTTATGGCCCAGATTTGTGACTTGCGACGAGCCTAGACAAGATATGGCTGTTGCGAAGGCTCATTACCACCGTATAAAGAACCGAGTAGCTTTGCTGCTGGGGATCGACATATGGCTGTCCAGGTCCTTGCAACCTATTCTGATAACTGGCCCGCACGAGTTTCAAAGCCTGTGAGGAGTCGCAGATTAGATTCAGATGGAGAGTTCATATTGTAATAATCTCATTAAGCAATTTGAGAATGCTCAACAAACCGAAATTGTAGTGTATGCGAAGTGCGCGCAAAAAGATACTGATCGATTTGCGCTGCGCATCAGCACCGCCGCATCCGCTTTTCTAGGTTCGTCCGCGCAGGAGGAGTCGAGAATGCGCCCTGTTTTCCCCTGAAGTCAGTCGCAACGTAGAAACCAAAAGCAAATCTACGGTGCCTATTCTGAGCGTTGGACTGCCTGTTCACTGTATCTGCCACAATGATACCGAGATTAGAGGCACGTCATAGCAGTTCCTTGAATATATGCTCGGGTTCATCGGCGAGGAACCACAATAGATGGGTCCTGGACAATGAATCCCCTCCTCTCAGGGCAAGCTGTCCAACCAGCCCTGGCTCAATTTCAGCCATAAGCCATGTCTCCCCATCCCTAACTTCTGGCCCAGACGCTGTAATTACAGGTTGTCGCACGCTGTCCAGGGCCGTCTTTAGCGGTCTGCTGGCCTAATTTCCAGGCCTCCTTCAGGAGTCGTTAACGCTTAAACCCCCTAAACGGACGGTTCTCGTGTTAGTGAGCCCAGCTCGGTTCAAATTCAACAACCTCTCTTCTCTCGACTGGTCTGGCTCCTCTTTTCCTCATGCACATCCTCTTGCCGACTCTTCAACGCCGCCACAACCATCCCAACACGGATCAAGACCTCTCTGGTAAGTCCCATCGCCTGTGTTATTATGCGCGATCCCCATCGAGACCCAATCTCGAGGCCCCGATTCTCCCCTCTTCCATCCTGAGTCCCCAAGTTCATGTCCTCTCTGCTTCATCCGTCGTCCCCGTCCCAAGAAGCGCCAGACCTGCCCCGACCCTCAACCTACCCATTCTCTACTCGAGGGATCTTCTTCATCATCTACTCAGCGCTTCCTCGGGCCATCTAGCTGTTTCTCAGTTGCTAACAGGGTTCGAAATAAACAGCATATCGATCTCTTCACCGTCGCTGTCGTTCTAACGAAAACCCTCCACCGTTCATCGTCGTCATACGCACCGCAAGTCCAGAGCCCTGAGACCACACAGACACACACAACACTCGGCGCTTACCGCCTACGGCGTGGATGTTGATTATCCCTTGATCATTCATCTATATTTCGACATCGCTTTTACATATTTTGTCTTGTGTGCTTTTCTGGTCATTGACCGCCACACATAGTATTGAGCGTACTGTTGAGCGATCTTGTCGTGAACAGGGCCGGGCCCAGTCTATCCCAGGCAAAGCCCGCAAACACCACTTTCAAACCCATCAACCCAACTCCATCCTTCAATTCTACAACGTCCATCGCCATCGACACAATAAATACACCCTGAGCTTCACAATGGCATCAATGTCGCCTCTCAACACCGCTATCGCTCTTTCGGGAGCGTCCTCAAATGGTGGCAGTGTCTCACCCCAACAGACATCAACACCCAAGAACGTCGCATTTGAGCTATTGTTTCTCGAATCCCCCCATTGCCGCGCGCGCTTGCCAATGCGAGTGCAAATATACCCCCATGACACAACGGACTCGATTGTCACTACTGTAAAGAACTTTTATGGTCTATACTCGGGTCCGACCGGGTCAAAGGGAGTCAGTTTCGAAGATGATCTTGGGAATACTCTTATTGCCCGATACGAGAACTTTCGAAACAATATGGTAGTATACGTCAGGGTTATAGAGGAGCCTCCGGCGAATGCAGCTGCGTATTCTCCCCATCCTTATCATAACCCATCAGTTGGCACCCACCCTTACTACAGCGACAATGGCTATGCTGCCACTCAGGCTCAGCGCTTTCCCCAAGAGCTGTCCAGACCCAGCTCTCGGACATCGCGGAGACGAAGCCCTTCCCCTAACACTGCTCGTGGCCGAAGAAGTGCTTCTGCCAGCACAAATGGGAAGAAGGGTCGTTCTCGCTCATCCAAACCCCGAGCTTCTGCCTCTCAGAGTCATACCGAACTATACAGCGACAGTATAAACGGCTATAGCAGCAATGACGAGCATGACTCAACATCTGGCAAGAACAAGGACCAACTGCCTACTACTGATATCAGTGTCGAGAACATCGTTGAAGGTGGCCGTCGTAAGAGGGCCAAGTTCGAAAGCTCGGTAAGTGGAGACCGCCATTTTGACAAGGCGGGCTCAGAGAGACTGACAAAGTCGGGCTACAGGAACTTCCACTGTTCGCACCACCCCAGATGCCCGCGGCGACATCGAACCCTTCAGTATCTCCTGCTCGTCGGGCTGAGCCTCATCGCCCCGCAATGCCATTCGTGCAGCCTCATCAAAACCCCTTCACAAACCCTCGCCCCATGCAGTCGCCCCAAGGATATTCCAATGGCATCACGCATCCCAGTCTCTACTCAACACCGGGACCCGATCGCCGCAACCGAAACAGCGGCGGGTATACCAGCAGCGCGATGGGTATTCTCCCTACTCCCGACCCAACTGTCGGCAGTTGTATGTCTGAAGAGGATAAGGACGTTGCTATCCAGCTGATGCGACTTGGTGACATGTCCAACATCTCCCACGGCCGAACTTCTGCTTCTACTCTCGATGATACATTTAGTGGCAGAGCCGATGCTGCTTCCTCTACTGGCGCTACTAGTGATGGCGAGAGCGAGAGCGAGGCCGAGTTGCCTCCCGCGCGACGCCAGAAGCTAGATATTTCTGGCACTGTTGGCAATGTCTATCAGACTACTGAGTCACACTTCATGCCACCCCCTGAGAGTGCCGAAGTTAGTGGAGACGATGCCGACTATGAGGATGGTGCTGACGAGTCTTTGCTCTCCACCGGCAAGAGCAAGCCTGGCAAGACTCCGAAAACCTCTACCAAACCCAAGGCGTCTGCCTCTGTTTCTAAAGCACCATCGGCCAAGTCCTCCAAGACTGCTCGTCCCACTAATGGCGCCAAGGGAAAGAAGCTACCCCCTGTCCCAAGTGGCCCAATGTCCCCAGCTTCTATGCCCCCTTCGCGAAAGCAATCAGTTGCGTCTACCGGACAGACTCCCCTTGCCCCTGGCGAGGATGACCAGCCTGATCTTTCCACCAAACCTCGCTGCCAACGCTGCAGGAAGAGCAAGAAGGGCTGTGATCGTCAAAGGCCTTGTGGACGCTGTCGTGATGCTGGCCTGTCGGCAGACCAGTGCATTAGCGAGGATGAGGGCAACGGCCGAAAGGGTCGATACGGTCGTCACATGGGAGTGCCCATCAAGAAGGATGAGGTCACCGCCGTTGTCCAACCTGCGCTATTACCCGCTGCGCCCATCGCCGCCGCTTCCATGACAATGGATAAGTCCAAGAAGCGCAAGCGATAAGCGCCTGGCTCCAGCCACACTGCCGGAAGGTTTTCAATCTTGTCGTATATACTGGTCTTTGAGCTTTGATACAACAGTTTTACCAGCGTTGTTGTCGGCTTACTTGTCATCTTTGTCGATGTGGCATGAATGACTTGTACAAATCTCCCAATGGGTCCCAACGGTTCACCAACAAATGGGCCATGCACTCAAATGTTTTCTTTTTATGTTTTCCCTGGTTCTTCTGGCTTGCAGGCGAGAGGGCGGCACTCGTGATGATACTCAGGAGGATGTAATAACGACGGCCGTTTGGCCATTACACTCCTTATACGGCGTTTGGAGGCAAGATGTGGGAGTTGTCGAGTTTCTTTATTTATTCTTTTCCTCCGATTCAACATTGCTTTGGTTGCCTCCAGGCTCAACGAGGTTGGCTGCCAGCCGCCTCTGATGGCGATGGACTCGTGTGCGGCAGCTTCATAAAGCAAACCACTCAAAAAAGGTGCGATACGGTGGGAAATAAGGGGCGCGGTGCTTGGAAAATCTCCCAAGGTTTAGAAGGAAGGACAGGAACGGTATATGGAAGGTTTATCGTGTGCGTACGTGAGGCGCATTCTGATCGAGATGCATGACTAAAAAGGGATGCTGTCTGGATGCTACACCGGCCGCGCAAAGGAACGGGTTAATGTGGCAAAAGGCCAAATGTTTCCGATATGTTATCCTGTTTTTCAGCGACTTTTCTATATCTTGTTGTACGTAACTAACTTCATACAACATGCCTGAGGTTAATTAGGTTTATCAATGCGCGTGAATGTGAAAGTGTGCGACACGAGCTACCGTAATGCGCTGATGATGCAACGTCTTTAAAATGATACTGCATGCATTCTGGTATTGCGCGACCTCTTTGCCAATGTTTTGGACCATGTATATATTGTGATTGCTGAAATTGACAAAGCCTTGTGTTCCTGAGGGCATTTCGCGACAGCGCAAACCCGAAACTTCGGCACCGTTTGCCGAAACGCCCCGAAACGGTCAATTGCAACGATTGGAGTGATACTTCCGCATCGCGTCTCACAATAACACATGCCCATCTCGGCCTTTTTTTCTATTCCATCCAGTATTTTTCGACCTAATATATCACAATATTCTGTGCAGAGATATTGTGGTCTAACCTACACCCCTACCGCAAATCCGCTGCCCCCCACCATCACAACCTGAACTAGCGTGCCGTTCCCGCTCCACCTTTTGCCGATGCGGAGTCGATCTGTAAGCCGATTGGACGATGAGCCCGGCTGAGCCTCACGTGACAGCCTTACATCATATTTTTCCTTACCGCCATTGTTGTTTTTACCCCTCCATCGCGAGCGCGGGGTAAATTCTTCTCTTGTGTTTTTTTCTGTTTTGACTGACTAGGGCATAGGAACGTAGCTGACAGAATAAAATAGCCAGCCTCACAGTTGGTTTACTGTGTATTTTTATGAGTGTATATGCATAAAAGTTTAACATGCGGGCTGTGCCGTTCCAAAACTTAAGTTAATTGCGATTACCGTAAGGTCAATGTCCATGTTTGATGCTATCATGATGTTTTAAACATTCCGCCAAAGTCACAGCAATTTCCTTCGTAAACTGCGCAAACTCTTCAATGGTCGCACAATAATCTCCACCGTTGATTATTGTTGTTTATCATGACCCCTGGCGCCGGCTCCGGCCGCGACCACCCGTGACTTCTTCGGAGACGTTTTATTGGCCCCACGCGTCAGACCAACGGACTTCCGACTCCGGGAATAAACAATGCCGGCAATCGGAGCGGGGTTGAGTGGGGATCGGTTCGTCGGCGGTCAGTGGGGCGACCGGCTGAGGTTACCCTGAACATGAAGTAATGGCAATACTTTTCGCTTCATTTGTTTCCAACGGTGACATTATTGGATGGACTATTAGCTAATATTTATAACATATCGTTCATTTGATAACCCCATTTACCTAGACGGTTTCTTTTCAAGTCAATTCCTGACTATGTTGAAGTTTATGATGCTTTTCGTGGGAACGGTGCTTGGCTAGTAGATTTGATGTAAACCAACGTCAATATTACGGCCTCTTGATACCTATATAGTTATATGTGTTGTGCTACCAGTAATCCGGCTCTGTTTGACTCTACTATGTAATTGAAGGGCGCGTTTGTCACTCAGAAGCGCGACCCCATGATTCAACATAGGTCAGCAAATGATGTTGGGTGAAATTGAGAGCAACGACTATAGTAACCCGATCTGGGGTCTGTGGGGCGCGATATCGGCAAGCGACCATGGGATTGCGCCCTTCGAGAAAAATCTTTGACTCGATTATGAAAGAATAGACTCTGATCGGTCTGGGGCAGAGACCAGCCGTTAGGACGTATATAGTTGTCGGACATCCCAGTTGAAGAGCCCTGAAACCATTCCCGGCAACTCCATATTCTACTACTTGCTGGCCGCTCCATGTTCTAGCATATCAATGGAACACACCTTAATATCACCCACCTTATCGTATCGACAATGTTTGGCAAAGATGTAGAGAAGACGCCAAATCGGAGGCAGTCGTCACCATGTCCCTCTGAAGGCAATCCCGAGGACCCTCAGAACCTCCATCCCACTATCTCCAACACAAACGCCCCTCCTCCAGTCTTTGATCCTGAAAGCTTCGATCCTCCAGATGGAGGCTTCACAGCCTGGTCCCAAGTTCTTGCTGGTGTCTTCATCAATTGCTTGGCATGGGGCTACCCCGCCTCTTTTGGTGTATACCAGCTTCACTATGAAGAATCGCTTGGATTGCCCTCGTCACAAATCTCGTGGATCGGTTCCTGCCAGACTTTCCTGACGTTCGCATTCTGTGGTCCAGCCGGCCGTCTTGCCGATGCTGGATACACCAGAGAGACTGTCGCATTCGGAAGCTTCCTGGCTATCCTGGGAACCTTCATGACCAGTCTATGTAAGGAGTACTGGCAAATATTCCTGTCTCAAGGTGTCTGCACAGGTATCGGCCTAGCCCTGCTATTCATGCCTGCTGTGACTGTTGTTGGTTCTTATTTCAAAGCCAAGAAGGCATTTGCTCTGGCGTTGGCTGCCACAGGCACTGGCCTGGGATCCATCATTTTCCCTGCCACTCTCCAATATCTCATCCCACAAATCGGCTTTCCATGGGCTGTCCGCTGTGCTGGTTTTGTCGCTCTCGTTTTGATTGTCGCCGCAAATCTCATACTTAAGCCGTACCTCGCCCCGAGAAAATCAGGGCCTTTGATAGAATGGGAAGCCTTCAGGGAACTCCCCTATTTGCTGTTCGTGCTGGGCGCGTTTCTGAACTTTTATGCCTTATACTTTGGCTTCTTTTATGTAAGTGACTCCTTTTTAAACCACCTGTACTGCGATTTTGTCGCTAACAGCAAACAGATCAATGTTTATGCTCGCAATGTAATTGGGTTTACATCAGTCGAAGCTGTCAGCTTGCTACTAATTGTGAACGCAATGAGTATTCCCGCGCGGCCTATAATGGGTTACCTAGCAGACAATGTCTTGGGACCGATAAACGCATTCCTTATTGGGATGACTGCGCTTAGCGTCATGGTGTACTGCTGGATTGGCGTCAAGTCCGTCGCCGGTATGTACGCTTTCTGCGTCTTCTTTGGATTTGTGAACGGCGCGTGCCAGGGAACATTCGTCGGTGCTAATGCGAGCTTGACCAAAGGTAAGAGACTCCCCGAGTTTTGGCTTGCTGTTCTCATGGTATGTGACTAACTGAGTAATAAAGATCCGCGCAAGATGGGTACTCGCTTCGGTATGGTTCAGACAATCTCTGCATTTGCCAGTTTGGCCGGACCACCGACTGCTGGTGCCATCCTGGATAAATCGAATGGAAATTTTGTATATGCACAGATTTGGGGTGGTACTGTGTTTTTGTTTGGTGCTCTTATGATTGCTTCATCTAGAGTTGCGTCAACCGGATTTGTTCTGATGAAAAAGAAATAAGAGGAGGAAAGATTGGGTATATACAAGGATACAACGGTTCGGCACTCATGATTGAATTAGGGAACATGGACTTTTGAGCACGGCAATAAGTAAATGGTAATGTTTAAATTGAATCCAACCCACGAGAGCCTTTTTCACATCCTGTGTAAATGATGAAGAGTGGTGATGACTAGGCGAGCAATCTGACTCCCGTCTTGCCATACAAAATCGTGCTCGCCTCTGAGGTGCTTATTAACCTCCACTTTGAGTCCCTGCTCAGTTAACAGAGACGCCATATTGTCAATCTCCGGCTCATCGATGAGTGTATCCTCAGCAGACCATGCAAGCATTGCCAATTTCCCACTCGCCCAGTTGTCTTTGAAGCTTGATCCAAACCGAGCTGGGGAGACCTGTTCCCAGGCAGACTTATCGTCACCAAATGCGGCTTCGATGAAGCCAGCATACCCGCCATTATGCCTGTCGTTGAGCCCAACAAGATCGAATATACCTGATACTCCAACAATGGCAGTGGGCAAGGGTCCCCTGGGATGAGAGGCGAGAATGTCCCCACTCATGAGAAGTTGGAACGCGAGCGTTGCACCGGCAGAGTGACCGACTAGGATGTAGTTGTTTGACAGCTCGTACTTGCCTTGTAGATAATTCAAAGCTGACCAGATATCTTCCAAATGATCTGGGTGTTTTACAGTGGCAGACTCCTGGGGGAAGTCTGGATGAGGTGATAGCCGGTAGTCGATACTGACAAAGCCAGCAATATCTTGTATCGCGACTGCACCTGAGATGACAATGTGCTTGATAGACTCGGTGAAATCGTTCTCATTGTTACGAGGATCACGCCAGGCACCTCCATGGATGAAGCTGAATAGCTGTTAGTGAAACCGGAGAAAGAGTAGATCGATGGTACACCCTCACACTACCCAATAACCAGTTTTTTGGGCCGGACGATCAGCAAACTGCCACACGCCTAGCTTCTGACGGTTATGTTTCCCGTATTGGTGAGACGCGTAAGTGAGCCCCAGGGATTTGTCTTCGGCAAAATCGGCCATCTTGTTTCGCTTTATGGGTGACTATCGACGCTATGACCCGAAATGAGATGTTGATCGCAGGGTTGTTCGCGGAGGTCAGTGGAGGATTGGGTATTAGATGCGAGAAACTCAGATCGGAGGCGTTAGTTCTTTTGCCCGTTTTTATAGTAGAAGCTTCTTAAATTGGGGGCGCCTGTTGTTCCCAGTCCAGATGTCGACATTTAAACCAAGATGAGGGGGGGTCTTAAGTTGTCGGAACTTTCGAACACCGGTATCGGCCAATCGGATGTAGTTTCCAGCTTATCGGGTTGGGCAATTATATCTGGCGTTCCAATAAGATCTACAGAATCGAACAAGTCACTTTCTGGCACGATCCAAATGGGGACTTGGTGGAGGGAATCAAGAATATAAAAATGAGCTAAATATCGATAGTATAGAGGAAAGCCTACTGATTTTGGATATCACAATAGGGGTAATACTTAGACATTTACGAAAGCAGAAGGGCATCTCTCAGGTCACCTTGTACAGCATGTTTACAAGTATTTTTCAGCAATTTGTAGTTGGCAGGTGTATTGCTTTTTGCGGAACGGGACGGGAAGAAGCACGTTTAATAAAGACACATAGCAACGACGGAACCACGGATGAACGCCTTCCGGTGTAGCCGTCTTGCCGTCCTCCCATCAGACAACTTTATCCTTTATATAAAATACCTTATCTAACTCCATCTAATATTCAACCTCAAACTGTAAATCTTCGATCACTGAATCCCCCCCAGAGGATTAGACGAATAACCGCAATAAGCTACCGTGCCAGAATCATACACAAACGGAATCATCGGGAGATAAACCGCTAGCGAAGCTGATGACCGACAGGCATCTTCGGCCTCGCTCTGGCAAGGTCACACCAAAAACCCGTCAAGACTGAAGATGTACAGGGGCATGGGTTCGCACTTACAGGGGCTGCACGTGTCTGGTTCGGGAAACCGACCATGCTGTGCCTGCAAGACGGACCACGGACGGAGATACCTTGACGCACCCAGTAAATTGCTCTCGAATCACCACTGTTTCACTCTCACTATGCTAATCCTCGCGTGTCGCCTATTGATATTCATGGAACTTCATGCTACGTATCGACAAGGGCCTCACAGGCTACAGCCGATAGGTATGCTGGAAGCTAGGTGGACTATGATCGTAAGGCCCCTGTACTTCAACGTCTCCCCACTTCCCGATGTTAACCTCAAAAGTTCAATTCAAAAGCGACTAATGCAGCTATGAGCGGACGTCAGCCCAAAGGAAATTAAGAAGAGACGCCGTATTCAGTGCCAGGCCTAATAGGCGCTTTATTGCGAGTTGTAATGACCGGTTCTTCGCAGACAAGGATGCAGTCTTTGGTTGCCCGAAATCTTTCCACATGTCAGGTTTCGGCAGGGATTTAGAACTAGTCTAGGCTTTCATGGAGCTGATACTGAAACAATAGCTGGACCAAAACCGTAGTTCCGCAGTGAAGTGCGGATCATCAGAACGCCCTACCATACCTTCGGGTTCGCACTATCGGGAGAGAATCTTGGAAAAGTCTAGCGACCAATTTTAATCGTGGAGAAGACTGAAGATCTTTCTATTCTCACTATCTTGGATCAGAGTTAACCTTCGGAGCCTCAACTGAACTGGCTAACAGGGAGACTTGAGACTCCACAACCTGAGCTATTTGCTTGTCGTATGATTGTACATGTCTCTGTCGACCTCCTTGCTTGGGACCGTTCATGATGTGCATTTGATTTGGTCAAGATACGAAAAACTCTATTAAGTTCTAACTGTAAGTATTCCCAACCCCGATGTTTGGCGTTCGACTAAGGAAGGACAGTTGCCGCTGGCTTCAGAACGCTAAACAGGGTACTTGGTTCAAACAATACGCTTGTTTTTTCCGAGACCGAACCATATCCAACACATGCGCTACGTACCGTCTTTGTGACCCAAGGTTTGCTCCTTGGTATGCGAAGCTTGACTGTGTCATCCGGTGCAGGCTTGTTCACTGTGATGCTACTGCTTGTCATCCACGGGTTGACGCCATCGCCTCGACAAACAACCTGGTCTGGCGATGCCTCACCATCCTTGCCTGCAATTAGGCTGTACCAAACGGGACTTTGACAGATGAACCGTTCCCGATGGCCTATTGCAGAATTTACATGGACTCGCGGATGCAACATCGCCTCCCGCTAGCTAGTGGCTTGAAGAATCCGGCTAGAAATATGCCTCAAAAAGGTCTTCAAGACGGTAAGATGCAAGGGTGCTTGAAGACATCAGCTTCACACCCTCTCTTCTCAGTCGGTGGCACGTCTGGTACCTTGCATCCGGCGTATCATACCCATGCTCGACACACATCAACTTCAATTTGACACCCCCCCATCGCGTTGGAGACCCTTGCCCTGCATTTGATCAGATCCGCCGGGTCGGTTGGTGCAATCCTGGCATGTGTGATTCACTCGCAGCTGTGAGATATATCTCATAGTGAGCCCCCCTTGCGTCCTTCCCATTAATTCTGTTTTGTGAATTTATTTGATCTCTTTCAACTTTCTGCTTTATCTTTTGATCCTCTCCCGACTTTCGAGGACTGGGCCATGCTCGAGCTCGAAAGTTGTTCGTGACGCTGTAGCGCCATGGCCACTAATAAAGATATTGACCTTCATGAAGAGAACGGGTCTGTTTTGGTCGCAACGGCGATCACTCTCTTGACACTAAGCTGGTTCTCTGTCGGGCTGCGCACCTATACAAGAGCTGTCTTGATGAAAAGCTTGCAGCTCGACGACTGGCTCATGCTCGTTGCTCAGGTAAACCCCCCATGTTGTGCTGCATAGGGCAACACTCACCAACAGACAGATCATCTTCACAATATCATGTGCTTTCATCCTTGAAGGCGTCCAGCAGGGAATCGGAAAGCACAATGACGCCGTCAAACCTGACGAGGCTAAAGTTCAAGCCCTCATGGTAAGCATCCTCTTCTCCCTCGACATTCATTCTTGGTCAGATATTTACTCCATTATAGTGGCAGGCTTTGGCAACAGCGACCTATATTTTGGACATGATGTTCATAAAGCTCAGCATTGGTGTCTTCTTGCTCCGCCTCTGTGTTAAACGAGTCTACGTCTGGATTATCTGGATCAGTCTAGCTATTATCAGCATCTGGAGTATAGTTCTCTTTTTCTGGAACTTATTCCAATGCAAACCAGTTGAGATGCAGTGGGACTTCAGGATCAAAGATGGTACTTGTGTGAGTGCAGACCAGATCGTCTCAGCGGCCTATGCTATAAGTGTTATGACGGTTGTTTCTGACTGGCTCTATGTAAGTAAAACATTGTCTCATCTGCCTAGCTGCTTCACATTACTGATCGCTCGATAGGCCCTTCTACCAATACCAATGCTGTGGTCGGTCAAGATGACCAAGCAAGCAAAGGCAACTGTCATTGCAATTTTGGGGCTAGGTATATTGTGAGTTAGCTCTCTTAGCTGTTCAGAACCTCGTCTAACATACTATCCAGTGCCAGTGTCGCGACCCTTGTACGCCTACGATTCCTTGCCGACCTTACCGACACGGAAGACATTCTATGTGAGTAGCGCCCGGATGTGTCGTCTTCGCCCAACTGACTTCTCCAAGTTGCTGGAACCGAGGCCATGGTTTGGACACTGATAGAACCAGGTGTCGCTATTGTTGCATCAAGTCTAGCTACCATCCGACCACTTCTTCGTGCTATGAGGATTAGAGGCTTCGAATCGACCGAAAACACTTATGGCACAGGCCACTCTGCTGCTGTCAGATCCAACGCAAACCGTTCCAAACCCGGAATCTTGGTTATGCCAGGCTTTGGCCCTGACGATGTCTCACTAACCAACATGGTATCACAAAACAACACGAACACCCTACCACACCCGAACAATATCGAAATCTTACCTCCTCGACACGTGGCCGACGGCCCTATTTCGCCTGGTCAAGCAAGCATCGTTAAAAGCGAGATCCTGGTGATACAAGGCAACAGCTCGCCCCCATCGTCCTGGCAAAGTCGAAATCGCTCCCCTTCCAGCTCTTTCGACCAGATCCACGACCTCGAAGCACACAGTCAAGAACTCGAACGCGATAATATTAGGGGCAGAGGCAGATGAACGGAATTATGATATGATACCCAACGGAGATGGAAGAGCCACATATACGGTTATTCCCCTCTCTTCTTCTGTCGCGACAACGACATCTTACAAGGGACTTCCTTGTGCTTGTATTCATTCGGGAAAGGGGGCAAAAGGCGTTAGAATAAGCTTGGGCGGGAACATACAGGGAAGCAAAATCAACAAGGTTTGCCACAATGGGTTTGGCCTCTAGAAGGAGAGGCCAGCAGGTGGCTAGTAAAAAGCTACGAGTCAGTAGGGGCCCGATAGCTGGCGCATTGATCAAGGTTCGCAGCTTTTGTTAGCCTCTAATGTGTTTATGATAACCAAGCATTTTTACAACACTACCTTCAACTGTCGTGACTCAGCATTGATATCGACGCTTTACTTGCTTGACAAATGCCTAATAGACTGTGCATACTTGATAAGCATGACAGATTCTATAATCACGAAAGGCTTGTTGGTGTAGTTTGGGTATCTTTGTTTATTCTTTACTGAGTGACTCTTGCCAGGCCATTTTCTTTAAGTGTATTTGTCTCATGTCTTAAGGGCTGATATGGTACTCACAACTCAGCACATGTCCGTGAAATGTCCCTCTTACTCTATCCTCAGGTCCTCGGATGAGACCTCCCAATCCTCCTCCTCATCCCACTTTGGCGCAAGTACAAAGCGACCCATAATCTTGCCCATCCCAATACTCTCTCCACCAATAACCCCCGGCCGAGGTTTCTCGTCATTCTCTTCAATGATGACGGCTGTTGTTAAGAAATTCATCCCAGTGGCAGGGCTCAGTTCCATAGTACTGCCACCCCAGTCCAGTTCTACACGGCCTGACTTGCGTACTTTCAGCTGGCCTACCATGCCGCCTGTTGATAGCAGGCTGGACATAAAACCAGCCTTTTGTTCAGGGTCTTCGAAGCCGGGTACATTAAATCCCGTAGTGTTGTTGCCTTTGGTAAGATCCACGGGCTCTGTGTCAGCGGCGGCTGGTGTTGATTCCAAGACATTATCTTCGTCCTCACCAGGCTCAGGCTTGACTTCGTTGATGGGGTTGGGTTGGGTAATTGGCTTTAGAGGGGGCAAGACAGGAGGGAACTGGAATAAGTACAGGCGGCCATCCTTGTTGCTCGGGCCTTCTGTTTTGCCTTCTTCGCCCTCGGAGATTTCGACAGCACCCAATTCGTTGGCGAGAATCTCCAGATCTGTCTGTATCATGGCTTCTTCTGAGTCTTGCTTTGGCTTCTTGGTCTGTGGCGCTGGCGTTTTGGAAGGTTGCTTGTCTTTATTTTCTGTATCCATCTTTGCCTTGACATCCAAGTCCATGGAATCGTCGAGTCCTGGCTCCTTCTTAATGACTGGCGTTTTCGAGTCATTCTTCCAGATGCCACCGTCTTCTGTGTTCTCGTCCGTTAACAGAGGCTCGTCTGCGTCGCCGTCAACCCAGAGGCTCTCCTCTTCCTTTGCAGGAGGGGGAGGAACAGCTTGAGCATTTTCTGCGGCCTCTAATTCTGCTGTGGTTGCCACTATGACACCCTCGTCCTTATGCTCTCGTCGGTATATACCCATAGGAAGTACGCTAACGGCGCGGGAGTTGAGCGCCTCGATCATGGCCTCGTCTTCGCTATCGAGATCCTCTTCAGGAGTATGAACGTGGAGTTTATCCGCGTTGATTCGGGCCTCGCGAGATCGTGACGCCTGAGCGAAGCCAGGTTTGGAATCTGATTTAAATCCTCTTCCACCACCTCCTCCAAAACCACCACCGCCACTTCCTCCACCGCCAAACCAACCACCGCCTCCTCGCCCACCGGAGCCTGTAACAGTTAGAAAGTTGCAATTGAGTGCTGATATCTCGGAGGTAAGCCTTACCTGCTGCACCGGAGGAAAATGGACCGCTGGCTCCCGAAATGACTCGACCAAAACCGCCTCTACCCATGGCATCACCACGGCTCCTTTTACTCCTGAAACGTGAACGCCCCCGAGCCTTGCGCTCATCTGCTGCCCTCTCGCTGGCTTTCTGCTCCTCCTGTCGGGCAAGACTGTCTCGTTCTGCTTCATCTCGACGAATGTTCTTGGGTCGGAAGCGACCAGCTGCAGGAGCTCTTGTCGCCCGAGTGGTAACACCTCCGCGGGTTGACGTGGTCGCTATACTATGAGGTACTAGAGTCGCACTGCCTGTAGTATCTGTAACGGCTGGAGTAGAAGAGCCGGCGTTGCTTTCGCCGCCTGCCCGTGAACCTGCTGCGGCTGTACCTCTCCGGGTGCCCCGGGCGGCTGCCCTACCGCGGTTCATGTTGCTTATATTATGGTTATGATTTACCGGCTGAGAGTCGATGTAGGCGGCGGGTAGTAATTATCGTTATCGCAGGGTTCAGTCGCAGATGAAGCTTTCGAAAATTTAGCTTGAGTCGCAAATGCGAAAGTTCAATAGTGGGGTTCGGAATGGTGGGGGACGATGGAATTCTGCCATTTGTGAGATATCTAGTACTCACCGCCTACCTAGTACTTATCCATCTGTACCTTGGTATGATACCTAAGGTAAGGAGGTAGGTAGTTTATCAAGGCTACCTAGGCTACTAATTTATTGCCTATTTGGGAAAAGGAGTGATATAACCCATTAATTGAGGTTAGAACCCAATAAAAAGCAACCCAATAAAGGTTGTCACGAACATTGATGAAGCTGAGGGTGGGTGCCCAGCTTTGGACAGTCCATTTCAAGGCCCATTGAATCTCCTCCTATTACTTTTGTATAAACAGACTAGCGAACAAACACCGTCACATACAAGATATAGGTAGGTATTCTCCAGATAGGCAAAATGCTTGGTATGGAGAACAGTTACTTAATAATGCCTCCATATATCCAAGTAGCATATGTAGTCTTGCTCCGAGCCTCGAGCCTTGCCATTTACTCGAACCATATTACTCCTGTCCACTCTTTAAAAAACTTGAGAACCCCAAGTTAGTTTCTCGTCTGTTTTTATATGGAAATATCAGTTGAGATGGTGCTCTGTTGACATAACGTTTCCCAATATGGAAATCCAGCCGAGTTCCTATTGGCCAGCACCTAATGTCAGCTTAGGACAGCTTCAAGTTCGCCATATTGTCACGACAAGATGTATGTGAATGTGAAGCGGTAATTCTTTTGTATAAGAAAGGAAAACACCTCCTCTTATTCGGTGTTATTATAATGCCAGGCCTCAACTTTTAGTACTATGACCAATAAAATATTAGACTTCTCACAAAGCACGCGAACACAAGCACTGATATCACTATAGGTGCTTCAGGTGCCGGCTTGGGACATATCTGAAAAGACTATAGTTTTAATTGAAGAGAGAACCAAGCTTCAGACCGATCAGACGCTTCTTATAGTTCCTATACGGCAACGTTGTTCATACTGAAGTTTAGGAGGATTAGCATACAAGAGCAATCTGTTCGCACGGTGCCCGGGGCTGGCAGGGAGGGTGCGGTCAGGGCCATACTACACTACAACCTATCCCGTATACCTCGAACTTCTGTGGCAAGCCATCATATGCACCTCCTTCAGAGCCACAGAGTCTCTTTAGTCGAGATCCCATGGCATTTCTAGCCAACAATACCATTATAACCAGTAGCCGCCAAGAATGTATCTAATTCTGAGCCAATCTTGACTTTTCTTCTAATTACAAGTTGGAGTTCTTTTACAATGGTATTGGCAAATGAATTATTAATACACAGTGGGCCAGGCGTTACTGGTTACCGTATTGATGTTTGTTACATGGCAAAGAGACGATTCAGCGAAATGAAGGCGTTAGGGCATGACTACATCATCTTCAATGTAAATGGTGATGCCTTTCCATCAGTCAGTGTATAGAAGCACGAGATACATACTGTTCTGGGTAGAGATGTAGGAAATAGTGTTAGGCTGATATACGAAGCCGGCGTAAGAGAAATATTTGCGAGTTCAGCGATTTGGGCAAGTTTGATCCGAAAATTCTGATGTTTGGGATTTCTTTACCTATATGAGCTGGAGGCAATAGACGGCCAGGTAGCTAAGGTATGCAAGCGGTGCTCAAGCTTTGGCAGTCCAAGGCGACTTCAAAATGAGGAATGTTGATTATACACCAGCCACACTGTTCCCGCATCTGCAACAATCAGGTATAAAATGAACTGATGTGCCATCTAAATCTGGCAACATGGTGTAATTGTGTGATTGTGCATATCCAATCGGTACACTTCTCAAAAGTGCCAAAAAAAACACGCCCCTATTCTTCATGTGACGGCAGCCAAGACTTGGTATCATCGAAGACACATCAGTGCTTTGTCACCGAATTCAGAGGCAATGCTCCCTTCCTGAATAATCATTGATCCAATCCATTCTCTTCCGGCCTCAACCGTTTTTGCCCCAAACTTTACAACCACACACCCTCGAACGTTGGCTGCAGACCAGAGGACACCACCTTCTTTCTCCCCCTTGAGTCTCTGTAGTCGCCAACGCTCGAAGTCAGAAACATCTGTGATGCTTCGCGCCATGGCTTCTGGTGATCGGAAATCCCTGGCTCCAATGCGGGGAAGTGCAGCAAACTCATCCTGAAAGAATTCCCCCAATGATTTTGTCTTGGATCCGCGCAATATGAGAGTTCCTGATATTGCCATATGCTGCATCATTTCTGGGAGTGTGCGGCCCACAGACTCACTCGCCTCTCTCGACAGGATGACTGAGTCTCGTACCAGGAGTCTATCAGCCGAAGTTGTTTCAGGATCTTGAAGCCATATCTCGTTGCGACCTGTCCACTTCCTGAAACTCCAGTTCTCTCCACGAGCTACACGTCCTTGGGTCACCCAATCCAAGAGACAGAGCGAGGCTTGGCTTCCGAGCTTGAATATCTGCTTCTGAGCGTATACACTATCCTCGAATGGTTGGACAGGGTCCGGAAGGAGACACATAGAAGCATCATCGTCTATAGTAACGTCCAAGTTTTGAGTTGTAATGACGTCGGCTGTAGGCGATTTGAAAATCTTTGTGTGACCTTGGGTAGCGATGCTGAGCTTCGCCTGCGGCTTGACGTATATTGACAGATTAACACCGTCTCCAGCAACAAGGCCCCCTCCATAAGATAACAGAAAGACCAGAGTGCTTGGCTGGTTCGACGAAGGAGCTGGGGATATTAATTTCAAAGGATATTGATAGGTCATGGTCTCAAGACCGCTTTCGCCCGCAGGGAGCAGGCCAACGACGATGCGGCCATCGCCAGGAGAGGAGGATGAGGGAGGAAAAGGCGAGTCCATTTTGGAACCATATTGCGATGATAGTGAAAGGGAGAAATCCAAGAATCAGCGGAAGTTTGATTGGGCACAGACAACAGTAACGACAAACTGCGTCTCCATCTTGACGCACCTTGACTAACAAATAAATACCTTACCTTGGTTGAAACTGAGGCACGAGTCAAAGGGCCTCTACTATTAGATAAGAGATAAGAGATCGTTGGTCAAAACTGTGGCTGTAGCCCCACTTCAGCTGGGATCGTGGGGTTGTACGTCAAGCTTGGGCGTGTTGTGAGAGGCAGAAAGGGAAGCTCCAGGCGAAGCAATTCTTAGACTACATGAAGTCGGGCTAATTGGTTTCGATAAAAAGCACAATTCTATTGGAATATCATAAAGACCATGAAAAGAACCGCATGTATCTAAGTAAGATGGATGCTAGGGATAGCTGCTGATTGTGAAGATGTTCAATCCTCGTTAAAAAGGATAAGGTACCTTACCTAGCTACTGCTCCGATGTTCACCCGTGGCAAAGAAAACTGGCACCACCCACCCACTTTCCAGAATAGCTTGCGCCGTCATTCCCATCTCCATCCCCATTTGCACTCTACTTACTCCACGCGACATTCGACGCGCCAAGTGGCTAAAAAAACCATTGTCGCCCTCGCACCGAGGGTTTAACCACCAGATATTGATATTTCAAATGCCGATATCTCGGCCACCTCCAAGAGAAACCATGGACAAAAACGCGAGCCCGTCTCCGGATCCTGATGCGACAACGCGTCGCCGATCGGGACGCGTCGTGAGGGCACCCACCAAATTTACTCCTGATACTGCAACTCAATCGACAAACCCAAAGCGTAAGCGAGACGATCAGGACGACGAAGAAGAGGACGAAGAGGAAGATGCGGAAAATGAAGCGCCCGATTCAGACGAGGAGATGAGCAACGAGCCCGACAATGACAGCGATGAGGACCACCCTGCACCGCGCTCTAGAAAGAAGTCGTCGCAAACAAGTCGCGCAAAGAAACCCACAGCCAAAAAGCCGAAGATCAACGGTTCGAAGCCTTTGCGATCTGCGCGAGTGACCCATGCAGCCAAAAGTCTCCCGAGCAGACCTAAGAAGAGTGTTCGCATTGAAGACGCTGCTGTGAAAGGGCATGGGCTCTACTGTAGGCTAAATCTCCTCTTCCCGCGTGCTTTCCTACATGCTGACACTCCCAAGCCGATCTCTTCGGATCGGGCGATTCTAGCAAATCGGTGGCAGAAGAATGGCTGGCTAGATACAAGACAAACGCAGTAGCAGCCACTGCTGATTTGGTGAACTGCATCCTCCAATGCGCCGGCTGTGATCAACTCATCACAGAAGACGACGTTTTGGACTTGGACAACGTTGCAGGACGACTCGCAGATCTCCAGAGCATTTACCAAGAGGTAATACAACACTCAATCATGCCTCTAGCCATGGAAATTTTGCTGACATGATTACAGCAACAAATTACCGATTATCCTCTCATCTCCAGAACTAAACACTCGCGATCCTTCCGAGACGTACTCATTACCTTCTTCGAATTCCTCATTGTTGATATGCATCAAGGTCGTCTCATGTACAGAGACGAATCATTTCTTGACAATCTGCACACATGGCTTGCTAGCATGTCCTCATCATCACTCCGACCCTTTCGCCATACCGCAACCACTATATCTCTGGCAGTCCAGAGTGCGCTAGTCATAGTAGCCAACGACCTTGACTACAGACTCGAGAAGAGCACAGACAAGCGTGACAAGGAACAGACCAACAAAGATCGCAAGGCTTGCGCCGATGCTATTCAGTCGTTTTTCGACACTGTTTTTGTGCATCGTTATCGAGATGTCGACCCCAAGATTCGAACCGAGTGTGTGGAAGCACTCGGGAACTGGATCATTTCCCTGCCTGTCATCTTCCTTGAGCCTGGCTACCTCCGGTATCTGGGCTGGATGCTGTCAGATACCAATGCACCCACTCGTCTCGAGGTTCTGAAGCAGCTTACCAAAGTCTTTCGAAGAGACGCCGGGCAGTTGGGCCACTTTATTGACAGATTCCGCCCGCGATTGGTTGAAATGGCCTGCAAAGATTCCGATGTCGCTGTTCGCGTCGCAGCAATTGGCGTTATTGACGTCCTCCGCGACCAAGACCTTTTAGAAGGCGAAGAGGTGGACGCTATTGGCAAGCTCATTTTTGATAATGAACTCAGAATTCGAAAGGCAGTCGTTGGGTTCTTCGTCGCATGCACCAAGGACGCTATCAGCGAAAAGACAAAGGACCTGCGTGATTCTGAAGCTACGGAGGACATACCCCGCGGGAAGAAGGCCTCTGTTGACGCCCCCCGTATGGAATGGATTGACCTAAAGTGCCTTGCCGAAACTCTTGCTATCTATGACAATCAAATCGAGGAGGAGCACCAAAGTGGTCAGATCTTGGGATTGGATGTTGCAGTTGACCTTTTGGAGTCTGCTGTTCCAGAGACCAGGATCTCGTTGGCAGCTCAAGTTCTATTCGAAAAGGTCAACGCGATTAAGCAGTGGACACTCTTGGCGGGATATTTGCTCTTTGATCATACAACGAGTTCAAAATCTCGATCTAAGGGAAACAACCCAGATCTTGCATTCAAGAAGGCTGTTGCACCTACTACTGACGAAGAATCGATACTCCTGGATGTATTGAGCTCAGTAGTAAAATCCAGCCTGACACATGCGCCTGAACACGACAGATCAAGAAAGAAGCCACAGACAAGCAAAGAAGCCGAGGATGTGCGAATAAGCCCCGAGGACACGGCGGCCGAGCTGGTCATTGTAATTCCCCCTCTTCTAAGCAAGTTCGGAGCAGAGCCAGACACAGCCGCGATTGTTCTTCGCCTGGCGCACTTTCTCGATCTTGAAGTCTTCAAGCAACTACGGCAAAACACAAACAGATACGAAAAGCTGCTCGACGAAATCGTCACACAGTTTAACCGACACGACGATAAGAGAGTTTTGTCAGAAGCAACTGCGGCGTTATTGCATTCACGACAGTATGGAGAGCTGGAGGAACTTACAGACAATAAACTGTCATACCTATGGGAAACTGTCATAACATCTCTACACAACTTTGACAAAACCTATGAGCTTTCGTCGAGAGGTAATCTAGCCGAGGCACCTCTCAGGGAGTTGTCAACAGTTCTTCTCAAGATCAGCAAGCTGGCGAGCATTTCGGACTGTATCGACGTGCTGGAGGCTGACGGAGACTCCTCCGAATCAACAGCAAACCCTGTCATTCAAATACTAGCCAATATTGTTCATCGGGGCAAGTACGAGCCTCTCGACGACCAAGATATTGATGATCTCGAGGATGAGGTGGTGTCATTTGCCATCAAGACTTGCCAATTCTACTTTATGTGGAAGACGCTGGCTTATTCCAGACTCCTGTCAACGACTCGCAGTATCGCAGACGCCGAGCTTGATCGACTATCGGCACTTCGCCAGACTTTCCGCCGACATCTCATTGAAACCCTATCATCACGCGCCGCCATTGACCAGTTGAGACTTTTCGCTACGGGCAGCCTGTGTGACCTTCACCTTACTTTCGCAACCCTACGCCCAGCTATTGATCAACTCCGGCCCTCATCCAGCACTGAGTCGCAATCCTCAAACGGCGAGAAATACAAGACATTGATTCAAGATATTGAATCCGGCCTCATTCCTGAGTTGATTGCCATCTTTGACGGCACTGAGAAACAGTATGCCAAGAAGATAAAGAAGGACAAAACCCTAAATGAGCCAGCTGAAGACGAAGATCCTATGGCTGATGATGAAGACGAAGATGACGAGGATGAGGACGAGGGTCTTTCCGAAGAAGAGCGTTTCACTGCCGAACTCAAGGCCGAAAAAGCTTTATGCGAACTTACCGCAAAATATGTCCTCGTGATTACTGCTCGCCTAGTAGATCATAAGGGCTCACATGCAGGCAAGCTAAGGCGGCGTCTTCTTCGCAACCAAAACAAACTTGGCAACAACTTCAAAGAAGTCGTCACTTACCTAGACGAAGAGAAGTTGGCCGAGCGGACAAGGAAAAAGGCCGCCCACACACAGGCTCCAACAAGCGCCAAACCTCAGAAGTCTCAGCTTAGCGAAGCCATTGTAATTGGAGAGGATGACGAGGATGATATCTTTGATGACACGCCGCCACCAGAGGAGGGCTCCCTAGAAGATCTCCGCGCAAAGGGCCTTCTTGAGGATGATCCAATCGAGGACGATGACGAAAATGAAGATGAAGAAGCGGAACGACCAGCTCACGAATCAGACGATGAAGTTATAGGGGATTAGACACGACGAGTTTGACCTCTCGTACATGGTGGATACATAACTATTGCGACCTTCGGCGGAAATGATATGCGTTTTCTGTTTCCATTTTGTGAATAGGGCGGTTTAGTTTCGGATGGTTCTTTTTCTTTTTTAAGTTTCTGTATGCTGTCTCTTGTCGCTTTGGACTTACATGCTGGAGTCTGGGTATGCGGCAGAGGACCTGAGTTTAGGGCGTCAAAAGACTGCGTGTACAAAACATCTATACTCATTACAATATCAGAATACCTTCGCCTCAGTTCAATCGCTTTTAACTCCTATCTGAGACAAACTTGCAAGTGAACGCCCCAATATCAAGACCTGAACCCGACTTTTCTTTCCATAGACCTGATAAACACGGTCCATCGTCACTCAACTCATCTTCATTATCGCAACCAGACCTGATTGTCTTTACAAACTATTCTCCAACAATTCTGGCGCCAAAAAGTTGGAACATTCTCTGCCAACGTTTCCCATTCCCTGCATTAGCTTTTGACGGTTCTGACTCGGCAACTTTGATACCGTATTGCTTTACGCAACATGGAAATGCCCGGTTTGTGAGTTGCGCTTTGCCAGAATTCTTGATGTCGGGCTGCTGTTGATCTTCATCGTCGCTGTCAACTGGGGGCTTTCCCTTTCTTGCTGCTTCTTGGGCAGCAGCCTTTCTCTCTTCCAAATTTCCCCATAGTGTAAACATCTTGTCGCGGAGGGTTACCAGCGCCTGCTTATCTCGTCTTAGGTTACATGCATCGAGTCCAGTAAGTAATTGAGCAGATTGGTTGTCCACTGCCACCCAAAGTCTCTGCTTCTTATGCTTCCCAGTGACTGCGGCGTCTTCAAGCTCCAAGAAGAAACGCCACTCCCAGTTTCGCACCTTGGAGAAATCATCCAGCGTTCTCTGGATTGGCTTACCATCTTCAGCTTCAGTTTCGCTGTTGGACAGCGACTCTTCACCGTCATCGGAAAGGTCATCATACTCTGATTCCTTTTTTGGATAGGCGAAATCTGCAAGGTTTGATGGTGAAAAGTCGACAACTCGAACGTTTGCTCTGTAGTTCAAGTTTACAAAGGGCAGAGGAAGCTTTAAAAGTCCACCATCGACGGTAGTTTCGTGCTGGACAAGTTTTGTGATTTCAGCAATCAGACTGGCCGGCTTATCTTCATTTTCGCATTTCACTAAAAATATTGTCAGCTGCCGTATTAAAGAGTCCTGTGTGCTCAGGTGAGTTTACCTCGAGTGTTCAGGTCCACGAAAGGGACTGCACCTTGTTCTGTAGGCTCTCTGCCCTCACCTTCTTTGCTGGCTTTGCTTTTCGATCGAGCTTCCTTGCGCCTAGATTTAGCGTTGTCTTTCTTTGGTTCCGAGTTCGACTCTACGCCATGCTTGCGCTTTTGTCCGGCTCTGGTAGCCTCCTTGATTTCTTTAAACTGCGCTTTTCTTAAGCGATCATAGTCTCTTTTTCTTTGCAGTGCCTCCTTTGCACGCGGATCGAAATTCTCCGAGTCGGGGTTCGAATCTACCGTACGAACACCAATCTTTGGTCCATGGGAGTCACGGTCTTCTCTCAAGAATCCCTCCAGATTGACACCACTGTGACCTAGTTTGATTTGTAAATTTTTGATCAAAACCCATGCGAGAGTTCCCATATCTTGGTCACGGATTGCAGTTACATGGGGTTCCCAGCATGTGATCTGTATGGACCTCTTCCCAAAAGGGCCCGGCCAGTCCGATGTCTTAGCAGCCGTGGTGAACCTGTCGGTATAGCCAAATGGATCACCATCTCGCCCAATAGAAGATTCATCGAAGCCGATGGAAAAGTTATGGAAAGCTGGGTTCTCTGTATAATCAGAAACCCACAAAGTTATCTTGTCACCGCCATCGTGGGGTGGCCGAAGGACCTGGGCGACGATGTCACAGAAACATCCCTCTTGAACATCCTGAAGTAGCTTGAACTTGCTTTTGACGTTCAGTGATGCAACGACCATAGTCTCAAACACTTCTTCACTAGGTAATCGACTCTTGTCAATGCTATGATACGTTGCAGAAACGAAAGCATTCTCCTTGTCGCCTGGTGGTGTATCTTTGGGAGCACTCGGTGGACAGAGAGCGCATGAAGCTTCGCCAGGGTTTCTGGGAATTTTAGAGGCTTTGTATTGTGAAATCCTAGTGCTATAATGGGTTAAGAGGGAGGGACCATCACCCGCATATGATTGTACCTTTTGTGGCAGTCAATATAAGCATTTCGAAACCTCTTTAGGTAACTTACTCTTGCTTGACGAATGAGCATTACATCGCCACAGCCGGGATTCGGCAAGTTCTCTTTCGGACGAAAGATGTTGAAGGCAATTGAACTATCGTCATCTACGGATGAGTCGAAAAGCCGAACCTGACATTTCCAATCTAAATGTGTTAGATAACTTAATTGACTGTAGTAAGAGACAGATTCTCACCTGTGCTTCTTGTTTCAATAGCGTCACGAAAATCAAGAACAACGCCGAACACATTGACTAAAGACCCCTTTGCAATTTTCCCATCCAGGATATCACGAATCGTGACATATCCTGGAAGTGTTGGAGCTGATGGGGGCGGCATTGTTCCTGGTGTGGAGCAACGAATGGAGGCTTGAACAGGATGAATGGATGACCATTGATAGTAGATGAAGTTTCAATAAATCGACGATTTTACGCGATCGCGTTAAGTGGCAGTACATGTAGTTTCAATGCGACCTCAGCTAAGGTACGGATAATGAACGGGTCTGTGGGACGCGATTGATATAGCACATTGGGCCTTGACGCGTCAGGGGAGCTTACCCCTCTATCAACGAAGTCGCGATAGCACGTGACGCTGCATGTGATTTGATCAATTCATTTTACAGTACGTCAACGGCACAGTGGCGACCTAGTGGAATATTTGTGTGAACAGAGTTAGAGTTCCACCAAGCAAATTTTAGCTGTAGATTTCTCAATATGTACCTCAAATATTCAACCAGGGAGGCAAGACGAGTCAGGTCACAGAGATTTGTCTTTTGTGATTTTCAGGCACCAAGCCATGACGAAGGAATTGCCGTGGAATATTTATTCACTGGTAGTTGCTTTGTTTACATTACCTGGTCTGCAAGTGGATAAAAAACAATGACCTTTTCTCTTCTAGATTAACCTTACCCACATCATTCACAGAAGAACCCTCTTTTCGTGTCTAGGTCTACAGAGCTGAAGGTGATTTAATTGCACGGCGTTGAACTAATAGCGCAGGGAGTTGTTTCTGCCTGAGGCTGAAATCACCCGACTGGGGCCCCTACGGTGGAAGCGGTTTCTCTTTGGGTTTAGCAGGCAATCAGTGGCCCAAAGCCCAAGAAAGACTCACCCACTGCCTGGGTCAATCATTTCGACGCCCTCCAAGTCCCCGGCCGACCAGACCCAGACCCAGACCCAAGACTTCTCTTCTCCATCAACATCAACAACAAAACTTTCTCCTTTCCCCCTCCCCTCATCCTCTTCTCCTTGCTAGGTTTTCTACTTTACGTTACAGAGCCAGTCTTTTCTCCCTAGACGCTGGGCTCTTTCCGTCTTCTCCTCTGCGAACCCTTTGTGCATCTTTCACCCCGCACATCAATTTGCTACTGTTCACCTACCAACGCCCCCTCGTACCAAAACAATAGCAGTCACCATGGCTGAGCGATACATTCCCGAGCATCGCCGAACTCAGTTCAAGGCCAAGAATACCTTCAAGCCTGAGGAGCTCCGTCGTCGTCGTGAGGAGCAGCAAGTCGAGATTCGAAAGGCCAAGCGTGAGGAGAACTTGGCCAAGCGTCGAGGTATTGGAACCGGTGAGAACCGCCCTGGTGCTTCTCTCGGTGCCGCCCCTGACAGTGATGATGAGTCCGCTCCTACCGAGTCCCAGGTATGTGCCTCTCTATTTCTCGATCCTTGGATTATCCTTGAAACTGCTGGTTTCGTCTGCTGCTTGAGCAAAATCTCTTGTCGCCTTCGCTTCGCCCCGTCCCTCCCGTCTGCCTGTGATGTGGGGGAAAATATACACTTCAAAAAAACCCCACATTCTGGTTTGGCGGACTTGAGCAAAGGCCTGCAGGCCACGGGTGTGGCTTCATTCACGTTCCACTCTCGGTGTTCTTGCTTTCATGAGAATCGCTGCACACAGCACGGCCCCGGCTGTGTATCTCTTGTAAGCATTTGCTAACCCCTGTCTCTAGTTGAATGAGGACCTTCCTCAGATGGTGCAGGGTGTCTTCTCGGACCAGATCGATTCGCAGATTCAGGCCACAACCAAGTTCCGAAAGCTTCTTTCCAAGGAGCGCAACCCCCCGATCGAGGAGGTCATCAAGACCGGCGTTGTTAGTCGTTTTGTCGAGTTCTTGCGATCCCCTCACACCCTGGTCCAGTTCGAGGCTGCCTGGGCTCTCACCAACATCGCTTCCGGCTCCGCCACTCAGACCCAGGTAGTCATTGAGGCCGGCGCTGTCCCGATTTTCGTCGAGCTTCTTGCTAGCCCCGAGCCTGATGTCAGGGAACAGGCCGTCTGGGCCCTCGGCAATATCGCTGGTGATAGCCCTCACTGCCGCGACTATGTCCTTAGCTGTGGTGCTCTTAAGCCTCTTCTTAACCTTCTCGGCGATAGCCGTAAGCTTAGCATGCTCCGCAATGCTACCTGGACACTTAGCAACTTCTGCCGTGGCAAGACCCCCCAGCCTGACTGGACTACTGTAAGTTGACATTTGAGAACAAGAAAACGAGCGCGAATTAACTTGCTATCAGATTGCCCCCGCTCTCCCTGTCTTGTCTAAGCTCGTCTACTCTCTCGATGATGAGGTCTTAATCGACGCCTGCTGGGCTATCTCTTACCTCTCCGATGGGTCCAACGACAAGATCCAGGCCGTTATTGAGGCTGGCATTCCTCGCCGACTAGTTGAGCTTCTTATGCACGCTTCTACCTCCGTCCAGACTCCCGCCCTGCGCTCCGTTGGCAACATCGTTACCGGTGACGACGTTCAAACCCAGGTTATTATCAACTGCGGCGCCCTACCCTGCCTCCTGTCTCTTCTGAGCTCTACCAAGGATGGCATCCGAAAGGAGGCATGCTGGACAATTTCCAACATCACTGCTGGCAACTCTTCCCAAATCCAGGCCGTCATTGACGCTAACATTGTTCCTCCTCTGATCCACCTTCTGCAGAACGGAGACCTTAAGACCCGTAAGGAGGCTTGCTGGGCTATTAGCAACGCCACCTCCGGTGGTCTGCAGAAGCCCGAGCAAATCCGTTATCTGGTTTCTCAGGGGTGCATCAAGCCCCTCTGCGATCTACTCGGCTGCCCCGATAACAAGATTATTCAGGTTGCCCTGGACGGCCTTGAGAACATCCTCAAGATCGGTGACCTTGACAAGCAGGCCGCTGGTGAGTCTGGCGACTCCATCAACCGATATGCTCTCTTCATCGAGGAGTGCGGTGGCATGGAGAAGATCCACGACTGCCAGAACAACGCCAACGAGGAGATTTACATGAAGGCCTACAACATCATTGAGAAGTACTTCTCGGACGATGAGGAGAACGCTGACGAGGGCATGGCTCAACAACCTGCCGGCCCTAACGGCACTTTCGGCTTCGGTACCAACGGTGCTGCTCCCTCAGGCGGTTTCGACTTTGCCAAGGGCAGCGACGCCATGGACATGTAAAAAGCTCGTCGGTTCGGATTGAGAATTTCGATAGGATATCCAGAATGTGGAGCAATCCCAACCTCCCCAAAACATAGCACCATCACGACACCCCTTCCCCCAGAACAGTTTTATGTGACTGTCGTTTACCCCCATCCCCATGATATCACACCCCATACCGCGTCTTTTTAATGTATCTGGAAGGTTTATACGAGGGAAAATCTCACCCCCTCAGATTACAGGCCCTATGGTAGCTTGAAAGCTCCAGCCTGAGAGTGATGAAGTAAGACGAGAGCGGAGTCGGCGGTGGCGTTTGGCTTCTCGGTCATGAATGCTCATGAGAAGATTCTACAGACGCCGACGAGTTTACGTGTATACGCTGAAGACATCATGATGGTTGGTGTTTAGGCACATGGGACTTGCGCAGGACGACCGCTGAAGTGAGAGGCAGCGTCAATCGAGGACGGATGCCTTGGAGAAGCCTATGCTAGTGCACCAGGACTTCTGAGACGATGGAGCTCGAAATTACGATATTCGCTGCCAAGTGGCGGCGAATCTGGTTCAAGGGTAGCCAGAGACCGTAGTTAATCCAAAAGAATACCATGAGTGGTTGCCCCTCATTCATGATTAGGTATGATGACATGTAATGATTTCCTGACTGTGAATTAGTGTTGAATGAAGACAAGTCCTTTTCTCGAACTCCAATGAGAAGCCAGACTATTCGTGTTCGAATGTACTTAAAACATCTTTCATCTACCTTCGTATATAAATCATAATCAGGGTAAAGTTTTCCCTCGAAATGAGGTTGTGAGCGTGAATAGCGGGGCTATAAGGCCTATACATATGAAAGAATTTGTACTGTAATATACCAGCACAACCACACATGACTCACAGTGTGAATTAAGATATATTTCTTTTTCCAACCAAGTGATTTTTCTGGGCCAGGTGGTAACTTATCCCTATCTTTTGATGTCGCAACTCTTGCGAACAGTTTCTAAAAAGGGAGACTGGCTGTGATAAAATATGAATACTGATACTCGGCAGTAAATTCCGAGCTATCTTCACCATATCGCCTTTCATAACCATCAAGAGCATTCCGCGGCTGACTACCATTACTGTGTGTCGAGTGAGCTCCACCAACTAATCGATCCTCATCCCAGCATTTCCCATATCAATTCTACAACAACACGACCAATAACCACATCCTTTCAAAATGGTCAAGAAAGGCAAGGGAAAGTCCAGTGGCGGTATTGATCTTTCTGATCCCATGCCATCTGCGCCACCTAAAGACCAAGGGAAAGGCAAAAAGGGCCAAAAGGGTGGCACTTCTACTCCTGAAGCAGCTCCTTCAGGCCCTCCAAAACCTACGGTCAAGCAGCTCATCGGCGGCTCTTCGTGGACAGGAAAACTGCCAGTAAACCTGCTCAGCGAGTACTGTCAGAAACAGAAGTGGGAAAGACCCGACTATGATACCAAGAAGACCCCCGATGGTTTCTCTGTATGGGTTACCATGAGCGCCAAGGATCCCAAAACCCAACAAATCACCAAACTAGAACCCTTCAAAATTCCAGCAACACATAAGCATCTGATTACGCGCCCTACGGCAATAGAAGCCAAGCATGCCGCAGCAACATATGCCCTCTTTAGAGTGTGTAGCATGCAGAACAAACACACGGTTCTCCCCCCAGAGCATAAGTCATTGTGGAAAGATTTCCAGGCCCTGAAAACCCAAGATGTGAAAGAAGGCAAGGCCTGGATGTATGAACCAGACCCGTTCAAAGCACTTCAAGAGCGTCAAGAGGCAAAGGCTGCCGCAGAAAAGAAGAGGAAAGAAATTGAAGCCGCTAAGGCTAAGGCTGCTGCCATGCCTGGTGCTTCTGGGCTGGTTCTTATGAGCAATGCCGGTAAAGGAGACGGCCGGTCATCCAACATTATGAAGGGGTGGAGCACTGCGCCCAAGGTCGAGATGGGAAAGAAGACAAGAGCACAATTGGAGACGTTGCTACGAAGCGGCGTCAAGTGGAACCCAAATGGTGTCCAAATGTCGAAATCTCAAAAGGATGCCATTATTGCTGAATTCAGCAAGCTCAGCTTCCGTAAAAGCCATGTGGAAGAGGCAGTTGAATATTGCAAAGACCGAGAAGAGACGCTCGAGTGGCTCCTTATCCACGTTCCTGAAGATGATCTTCCCCGTTGGGCCTTGCCAGAAAGCTATGCGGCTGGAGTGTCGGTTGGAGCTACAAATCTGAGAAGAGAGGGCATCATCAAACGACTAGCTCAAGCAGGTTACTCACTTGAGCTGGCTACGAGGGTGCTGGATGAGCAAGGCGTTGATGAGGATAAAGCCGCAGAGACTTTACAAAATTTGCTGTTTCCCAGAGAACCCAAGGATTCCGCTGATGCTGACTTCCTGGATTTGGGCTCACCTGAGGAACAGTGGGAGGAAGAGGTTGGGAGTCTTGAGGCAATCTACGGGGATGGTTTCGAACGTGAAGGCGATAACGTCATTCGCATTAAGCTCGATTCTGTCAAGAATGGGCAACAGACCGTCGATGCCTCTTTGCAAGTTCGACGTCCAGCTACTTATCCTGCCAACTTGATCCTATCGATCGTGGCCAACATTCCTTCTTATATCAAGCTTAGCATCATTCGAAAGGCACTTGAGTACATCGATGAATCTTTGCGCGATGAGCCAATGAAGATCTACCTGGCCATGGACTGGATCCAACAGAACATCAATGGCATCATTGAAGAGCCCGGAAAGCTGGTGGATATCTCGGCCGTCTCCTCAGCCGCAGCCGAGTACAAACCTGTTGCGGCTATTGCACAGAACAAACGAAGTACACGCGCCCCAAAAATTATTAAGTGGATCAAGGATGAGAAAAGCCGTGAGCAATGGCTTCGACGACAAGAATCATCATCATTGAAGAACATGGTATCCAAGCGTCAGGGTCTCCCTGCATGGCAGATGCGAGAAGCCATAATCGGTACCGTCAGAAGCAACCATGTCACCATCATCAGTGGAGAAACAGGTTCGGGTAAATCCACACAGTCTATGCAGTTCATTCTGGATGATCTGTACGCGCAAGGTCTTGGTGGTTGTGCAAACATGATTGTTACCCAGCCACGACGAATCTCAGCACTTGGCCTTGCGGATCGTGTAGCGGAAGAGAGATGTACACGCGTGGGCGACGAGGTGGGATATGCTATTCGAGGCGAATCTCGGAGGTCAAAAGATACAAAGATAACATTTGTGACGGCGGGTGTTCTCCTCAGGCGATTACAGACTTCAGGAGGCCGGGTAGAAGATGTGGTGGCGTCTTTGGCGGATGTCAGTCACGTTGTGATCGATGAAGTTCACGAGCGCAGTCTCGATACTGACTTCCTACTCAACCTTATCCGCGATGTCATGAAGGCCAAGAAGGACATGCTGAAGCTAATTCTGATGTCTGCTACGCTTGATGCCGCAACTTTCAAGAGATATTTTGCCTCGGAGGGACTCAGCGTGGGCACAGTTGAGATTGCAGGTCGAACGTTCCCTGTGGACGAGTACTATTTGGACGACGTGATCCGTATGACCGCATATGGAGTCGAAAGCTCTGATACGGAGTTCATCAGCGGAGAGGCTCTGGGTAAAGTCATCCAAAAATTGGGTCATCGCATCAACTACAACCTGCTCGTTGAGACGGTCAAGGCCGTCGATTTCGAGCTATCCTACGAGAAGCAACCTGGCGGCATTCTGATCTTCCTCCCTGGAGTTGGTGAGATCAACCAGGCTTGTCGCGCACTCAAAGCTATTAATTCGCTTCATGTTCTGCCACTTCATGCTTCGCTCGAGACACGTGAGCAGAAAAGAGTGTTCTCTGGTGCTCCTCCAGGAAAGCGAAAGGTCGTGGTCGCAACCAATGTTGCAGAGACGTCCATCACAATAGACGACATTGTTGTGGTAGTTGACAGCGGAAAGGTCAAGGAGACTAGTTTCGATGTGCAAAACAACATGCGTAAGCTCGAAGAAACGTGGGCATCACGGACTGCCTGTAAGCAACGACGTGGTCGAGCTGGTCGAGTTCAAGAAGGCAAATGCTACAAACTCTTTACACAAAATCTCGAACAACAAATGCCCGAACGACCTGAGCCAGAGATTCGACGTGTTCCATTGGAACAATTGTGCCTCTCAGTTCGTGCTATGGGAATGAAGGATGTCGCCGGGTTTCTTGGCAGGTCTCCAACACCTCCTGACGCGACTGCTATTGATGGAGCTATGAAGCTCCTGCGACGCATGGGGGCACTCGATGGTGACGAGCTTACAGCTATGGGTCAGCAGCTTGCCATGCTTCCAGCTGACCTTCGGTGCGGCAAGCTGATGGTGTTTGGTGCCATTTTTGGCTGCCTGGATGATTGCGTAACCATTGCAGCGATTCTGAGCACAAGAAGTCCCTTTGTTTCTCCGCAAGAGAAGAGAGATGAAGCGAAGGAGGCTCGTATGAAGTTCTACAGAGGTGATGGGGATCTCTTAACTGACCTTCAGGCCTTTCAGGAGTGGGATTTCATGATGCAGGACCACATACCCCATCGTCAAATACGGTCATGGTGTGAGGAGAACTTCCTCAATTTCCAGACCTTGTCTGACATCTCCAATACGCGCGCACAGTACTACACAGCCCTGGGAGAGATTGGTATTGTGGCGCCCTCAGAAGCGACAATGGAGGCCCATGCACATGGAGTTAACTCTGATGGATCCCAGCTTCTAAGAGCGCTGGTTGCGGCGGCTTTCACACCACAGATCGCTCGCATCCAGTACCCCGACAAGAAGTTTGCAAGTTCAATGTCTGGTGCTGTGGAGTTAGACCCTGAGGCAAGGTCGATCAAGTACTTTAACCAAGAGAATGGACGCGTGTTTGTCCACCCAAGCAGCACGTTGTTTGGAAGCCAGGGTTTTTCGGGGAATGCTGCGTATATGGCTTATTTCAGTCTTATCTCAACCAGCAAGATCTTCATTCGGGATCTGACACGTACGTATACTTCTCGTGTTGCAAGTCTTGTTCAGTTTCACTAACATATCAAACAGCCTTCAACGCATACACACTCCTACTTTTCTCGGGGCCCATCGAACTCGACACTCTTGGTCGAGGTCTACTTGTTGACGGATGGCTTAGACTTCGAGGATGGGCGCGTATCGGTGTTTTGCTGGCTAGACTCAGGGGAATGGTTGATGAGTTGATTGCAAAGAAGGTTGAGAGCCCAGAGATGAATGTTAAGGACGACGAGGTCATCATGTTAGTTAGGAAGATGATTGAACTCGATGGTATGGATGCTTAGGTAAAAGGTGTTGGGTCATTGTCATTTAGGCCTAGGGAGGTCATGATAACGCAGATACCTAGAGATACATTGGAATTGAATTCTTGAGGTGGCAGCAGCATTCTCAAATACACCGAGGCCTCGAGCATGGCTAAACAGACAGTAATTCGGATAATTAGAATCAAGTATCTGAATTCTGAGGAACTTTTATGTGCCATACAACTCCAAACATCTGTTCATGACTGTGCTTAGGAGACTTGTGCATGGAAAGGCGACTCCACCGCGGGGCACTCTCTATGATGAGTCCTGCGCCGCTCTCACCACAGTATAATCACTAACATCAGCACCAACACCAACACCAACAACTGGCATCCTACAGACTTTCCCAATATTCCCACCTAAGGACATGTCTCATCAAGACTCAGAGCCAGAGGAGGCCATTACCAAGGAAGAGATCCATGGTGAAGAGCCTCCAAAGAAGTCAACCCGCAATGCATGCAAGTCACACATTCAACTCACTCATGAAACATTCTTACAAAGTGACAGTCGCAGAACTTATGGCTCCAAAGATAAAAACGCCACCCGAGACGAATACAGCTCGGCCATCGCGTAGCGGAAACCCCTTCAAAGACCGCATGGGTTTGGGTGCATATCTTGAAGATCCAGCCTCCTACCCATCCTCGCGCGTCATCTATCACAACGAGGACTTTGTCGCTATAAACGACCGCTATCCAAAGGCTACAATTCACACTCTGCTTCTCCCTCGCTCGTCAAAGTACAATCTTCTCCATCCATTTGATGCCCTGCATGACCCAGAGGTCCTTGCCAAAGTGAAGACGGAGACTCGGCGCCTCAAGGCTCTCGTCGCAAAGGAACTCCAGCGTCGTCTTGGCGTGCACAGCCAGAGTGATGCCCATCGACAAGCCGTGCTCGATGGAGACGCCGAGCCGGACAAGAGCGGGGAACTCCCGGAGGGTCGGGACTGGGCCGCAGAAGTCAAGGCCGGCGTGCATGCGGTACCAAGCATGAGACACCTTCACGTGCACGTTTTCTCGAGAGATATGTTCTCGGAAGCATTGAGACATCGCAAGCACTACAATTCGTTCAACACGCCGTTTCTGGTTGACCTAGACGACTTTCCGCTTGCAGTCGATGATCCACGCAGGAATACAAAGGAGGAGGCGTATTTGCGCTGGGATATGAAGTGCTGGAGATGTGAGCTCAACTTTGGCAATCAGTTCCAAAAGCTAAAACGGCATATTGAAGAGGAGTATGAGACATGGAAGAAACTTTAGAGAGGAGAAATGGGATGGGATGGGATAAAAAGGGCCTGCTTTACCCGTCTGTAAATTAGCAATGATATTCATACAACTCCTGAAGAGCATATTCCATTATAACGATTCCGTGAATTCTCCCTGACCCTCACCCCTCGTATTCCTAAGCACCTGAAAGCAAATCAACCAGACCCAGACCCTATTGTAAACTAGGAAAATTCAGCTCGATGCTGATTATTCATGTTGTAATTTCTAAGCTGGCCATGACTGAAACCTTAGTCGGAATCTTCGCCATCCTCATCATGTGCCTGTAACTAGTTAGTAAAAGGTGTTTCAGGCTGAAGGTTATCACAACGGAATCTTACCTCGTCCTTAGCGGGCGACTCGTCGGCGGCAGCATCCTCGTCGGCTGATAGATGTTAACACACGATCATTTTAACACTCGTGTGGAAATTTCTTACCAGGCTCATCGTGCTTGGTCTCTTCGTCATCTGATACATCAGCAGCCTTTGGCTTTCTGCCACGCTTCTTGCCATCCATAGGTGTTGTAGCAGCAGACTCTGTTCCGCTAGCAGCTCGACGAGGTCGACCACGTCCCTGCTTTGGCGTACCGTCGTCATTTACTGCAGCGACCTTCTTGGGTCCAGTCTTCTTCTTGCCAGAACCTGGGGGTCGGCCACGGGGGCGTCCTGTTGGAACATAGACCTTCTTGGGCATGGGCGCAGCACCCTTGGGAGGTCGTCCACGACCACGCTTGACGGGAGCTTCAGCGGTGTTCTTGGTCACTCCAGCGGAGGATTTGGGAATGCGAGGCGAGGCGTCGTCCTTGGACGCGACATCTTCCTTGGTACGCGCCATGATGCGATAGAGAGAAGATGGCGAGAAATTGAAGGAGGGAAGAACGAGAGAAAATTTCTCGAAAAATCGCACAGTAAAGCGCGATGCTAATTTATCCGATCAGATTGTTGTAGATGAAAACGCGACAAAAGATTGTTGGTGTATGTAGAAGAAGAGAGGGAAGACGAGTGTTGGATGCGTTTCGTCTGCAAAGATATCTGTACCTAGGTAGATAGGCAAGCTAAGTAAGCCCAGCTAAGGTGCAGCGCCCTAATTACCAGTAAAATTGATCAAGGGTGGCTGGAGTTTAATTCGCGTCACTTGGTCCCCGCGTCAAAGAGTTGGGACATTAAGTGCGACAGAATAACTCGAGTAAAGAACAGTAAACAAAGAGAGGTAGTATTTCCTTCAGATGATCAGTGAAGCCTAGACTGGATTCAGACTAGAGCTGCCGAGTCTCGACGGGTCGCTTGGCCCAAGCTCCCCTCTGTTAAACCAGTCAAGACTTGTACTACCCAGACAAGGCCCCCCTGCAACTGCCCCTAGCAACGTGAATGACGCTGGTAAACAAAAAATACCTACAAGGGAAGACGGTGAGATGTGGGTTATTCTTCGACATCGACTTCACGACAGCATCGACAACGTCAACAGCATTCTTATGACGATGGCTCTGGACTCGAGATTGATGCCTTCCCCTTCCTCGCCCTCGGCGTCTTTTTATGAGGGCAGGGTTCACTCTTCAGCTTCAACGCCATCGCTGAGATCTCGAGATGCGGCTTTATCCATGCCCGCCAGAATGGAAGGGGGAGGAAATGTCAAGGTCGTAGTCCGAGTGAGAGCATTTCTCAAGAGAGGTGATTATATATAAGCATCCAGTTTTCGTTTTCATAGAGCGTATGTATCTGACTGGTCTGCAGAACTTGAACGCCAGGCAAAATGTCTGATTCAAATGGACCCCATCACTCAACTCACAACACTCTCCGCACCCGATGATCCCGACCCAGAGGCTGCCAAGCTAAAGGCCAAAAAGATCATCGAGGAGAAGAAATTCACTTTCGATAACTCCTTCTGGAGTCATGACACTAACGACAAGCACTACGCCACTCAGGAGGACGTCTACAACAGCCTTGGCGAGGACTTTCTTGATCACAACTTTGAAGGTTACCACACGTGTATCTTTGCCTACGGACAGACTGGATCTGGAAAGAGTTACACCATGATGGGCACTCCAGACCAGCCTGGCCTGATTCCTCGGACTTGCGAGGATCTCTTTGAGCGTATCGACGCGGCTCACTGCGAGAACTCAAACGTCGCCTATAATGTTCGCGTCTCATACTTTGAAGTCTACAATGAGCACGTCCGCGACCTCCTCGTTCCTCCTCAAACACACAAGGCGCCCAACTATCTCAAAATTCGCGAATCTCCCACCGAAGGTCCATACGTCAAGGATCTTACCGAGGTGCCCGTGCGAAACATCAACGAGATTCTGCGCTACATGAAATTGGGCGATACATCTCGTACGGTAGCGAGCACCAAGATGAACGATACCAGTAGTCGGAGTCACGCCGTCTTCACGATCATGCTGAAGCAAATTCATCACGATATGGAAACCGACGAAACGACAGAGCGAAGTTCTCGCATTCGACTGGTGGATCTGGCTGGTAGCGAGAGAGCAAAAGCCACCGAGGCTACTGGTGCGCGATTACGTGAAGGGAGCAACATCAACAAATCCCTGACCACGCTGGGACGCGTGATTGCTGCTCTAGCAGACCCCAAGGCCGGAAGGGGTGGAAAGCGAAAAGAGGTCGTCCCATATCGAGATTCCATCCTCACATGGCTTCTCAAAGACTCACTAGGCGGAAACAGCAAAACGGCCATGATTGCCTGTATTGCACCCTCAGATTATGATGAAACCCTCTCCACACTGCGATATGCCGACCAAGCCAAACGAATCCGAACTAGAGCTGTTGTCAACCAGGACCACATATCAACAGCCGAGCGAGACGCGCAGATTGCTGCCATGGCGGAGGAAATTCGTATTCTACAGCTTTCCGTATCAGACTCGAGACAGCGTGAGAAGAACGCCAAAGAAGCTGAGGACAAACTGGAGGAGTATCAGACTCATGTCAACTCTATGCAGCGCATGATGGAGGAGCGCAGCATGGTAGCCGAGAGTAAGATCAAGAAGCTTCAGACAGAGAATGAGGCCTTGAAACTACACCTGAAGCTCGCTATCGAAAGCCTCAAGAACCCTATTCCTCCTGTTGTCGTAAAGCCAGAGCGTGAAGTCGACGAGCAGGACAAGGAGAATGCCTCTGAAAATAGTGAGTACGATGACGATCAGTACGATTCGGAGAGCACAGCATATGGCGAGGATGAGTTACAAGAAGAGATGCAGCAATACCTCCAGGATATGGGTAATTTGAGGAAGTTGATGCAAGGGGACTTGACGAGGTTCAAGAATGAGAACAGCGCGAGAATGCCACTGGGCGCAAGGGAAAACCTCTGAAATGAATGACCAACGAAGCAGAAGTGATTGAAGGAGGATTTGCTAGCATGAATGGAGCACGGTGTTTTGGAAGCGTTGTTTGAATGACCGGGTCGGATTAGATTCACTGGGTGTCTCTTTGAGTTTGCTGGACAATAGGCTACATTACGTTACATTACAAATGATTTAAATATGAAGAATTCTATCACACACGAGCCCATCAGGGTCAATAGCATGATAACATGGACCATAAAGTTGATGTTGACCTATTCATTCGTGTGTGTATGTATACCTGAAAGTTCTAACCGCATCTCTTTGATTGTGCAGATTCCCAACGTCTCTCTCCAGGTCCTCGATTCTTTTTTGCCGCGCTTGATAAGTATTTGAAAGTTCAGATACAACGGGCGAGTTGCAATCTACTTTGCAAAAATGCTGAGAATTGGCCCTGTTCTCGGCTGCGGTGAGGCGTTGTTCGAGTTCTGAAATGGTATTAGACAAGTGAAATTATGTTGGGTCTGTTTTACCTACGTTCTAGCTTTGATTCCATCGACTGGCCTTCCAGGTTCTTCCGCCATCGTGGTCTTTGAGGAGGCCAATGTGGCTCGAGTATCGGGAGTTTTCGAGACGGTGTTGCTTCGTAGGATGGCCCAGCAAATGTATCCGTCGGAAAAGGAGAAGTTGGAGTGAGGTACCTCGCGGTCTCTTGAATTGGAGGGAACTGAGTATAGCTGGGGTCGTTCTCACTTGGTGTGTTCCTGCTTGATCTTGCAGGTGTAGCAGCTTCTGTCAAATCCCCTCCAGTTCGTCTTCGTCTTCGTCGTCTTCTTCTTCTTCTTCGATCGGCGACGAAGGCGGAGGAGTAGACATATCAGTGGTCATTTGTGGCGGAAGGACTCCATGGCGACCATAGTTCAGGCCAATTTAGAACAAAGCACACAAGCAAAGCTGATTTGTAATTATCTTTGTATGGATAAAATGGTTTTGAGATGGTTAAATTCTTCAAGGAGGAGAAAGTAACGAAGAGAAAAAGAAAGTGGGAGGTGCAAGACAGGAACCAAGCAAGGTTCACGAACCGTTGAGCTGTCCGTGCAAGAACACATAACTGTCACAGTCAGTGACCTCTTGACAGGCAAGTTAAGTATTTTAGCTATTACCTACCTTAACCTATGTGACAAAAAGAAAGCTTATTTCTGAGTCCCTCTGGACTGGTCAGAGCTTGATAAACAAAGCTTCGTGACTCCAAGTTCCCGTACACATGCTGTACCGCCTCAAAAACAAAACAAAAAGAGTATAGAGCTTTTGTATATTTCATGTTGTCAATCAACAGATGCAACATCTACTGAGAAAATTACATTCATACGAGTCTACTAGAGAATAGTCGTTACACAGAAGCACCGCAAGTATGCCAACAAGCTCTTGGTGAAGTGCGTGGTCCTTATACGTTGTCATCATGTCTTATACAGGAGCAGGGACCAATTTTCTCTCCCTATGTACATCTCCTAAAGTCAAATGGCAAGAATTTTGTCTTATATCTTTATCACAACATGTAAGAGGTCAATAGGTTACAAAATATTGTCTTCATACTGACACATATGGGCATTCGGCCAAGATTAACTACTGATAGCTACATGATACGTTAGGCAACTACATAAGTACGCTGATTGGCACGGGTTTTCTTAACTTGTTGTTTGGTACATGTATGAGCAACTCTATCTCGTGTGAGTCTTCTGAATTGGGAAGCTTTTCTGCTATCATGACCAATTGAGCCCTACAAATACCGTAGGTGAGATCATCAAGGACAGCGGCTTCACGTCAAAGGTTCCATTAGCTACCACTGACTTGAAGTATCTACTAATGCAATATATTCATCGTAGGGGAGCGAGAAGCTGGACGGAAAGTTTTAGGGTTGCAGAATTGAGCGACTCTACGACTGTCGACTACAAGGACACCGATTGCCCGCACATAGCCATAATGATAAAAACCTCTTCCAATCCTTCAGTTAACACTACAGAATGAAATGTCGATATGATCGTCAAACTAGTTTCACTAAGCAAGGTGGTTGACCTGATTGGCTGAGTCGGTTCGTATACTTCAGTTTCAGTCTCGTTAGGGATATTTGAAACTGTCATAGTGATTCGTCAGTATGTCAGCTGAGAAAATAGGACGTGCCTTGAACAACTGTATCAGAGGTCAATAATTGAGCAACTGACGATGTTTCGTCACCAATCAATGGAGATTGCAGTGCCTGGAGTATCTTATTCGTTGCCTCAAAGACCCCGCAGTCATGTCGTATCATGTCATGCCAACTATTTCTGCTGTGCTCTAATGGCGGAAAACTTGACTTTTTCTCAGAATAGTTTAAGTGTTGAGGTATGTAGGATTTTTAGGGTCAACTGAGTAGTTTCTTTAACTCGGTATTTTCGCCCCCAATCGAGAGTCTTATGGAAGTCTTTTGACATCTCGAGGCATACCGACCTAGCTTCTGTAACTCCATCCTACTTAGGCATATCCCCACCATAGCTCGGCGTTTGGGCATCTACAGGAGCAACAAAGTTCTTAACCTAAACATTCGAAAGTGAGTATTCAGGTCTCCTTATTTGAGCTACTACCTACTGGCCTTCTCCTTATATGCCTGCCATTACTCGCTTGTTATTAAGGACTGAACGACGAAATAGGGGCTGTTAATAGTTAACCTGTACTAAGGTGTCTATTCCTCTTTCTGTCTGACGTGCCCCTCACCAGCTAAGCTACCTACGTGACAGGGTTGCCTCTGTACTGTAGTTTCAACTTCAGCCTCCGTGCTCATCTCCGACCTTTGACTTCCTCACCTCCATACTCAGCATTCTTACATTCGTTTTCCCTCCTTCTTCATCCCGTATCTTACCAATATGTCTTCCCGTCTACCTCTCTTTACTCGCGGCTCCGCAGACTCGCAATCTCAGGAGAACGATCCCAACTCTCCCGCCGAACAGCGCGACGATGCCAAGCGAAACTTCCTGAAGACCATGCGAGCGCTACCCACTCAGCATTATTGGAACGTCTACTTTGACCGACAGGCCAAGGAAGGGGAAAGCGGCGATCAGTATCACTCTGGGCTGGAGCAGCTGGGCACCCAGATCGAGTCGGTGCAGGACTTTTGGCGATATGCCAATAACACTCCTGTCGGAAATATTGGTGTTCGCGAGTCTTTGTATCTTTTCAAATCAGGCTTCCGCCCTGTCTGGGAGGATCGACGTAATATTCTTGGTGGAAGCTGGACATTCCGCTTCCCTAAGAGCATAGGTCCTGATGTGTGGACTCGTGTTCAGCTCCTTGCTATTGGCGAGAAACTCCAAAGTGTTCTCGACGACGGTAAGAACTCTAACCACAATGAATACACTTGTACTCACTTCTCTTATAGACGACCAGCTTTGTGGTGTTGGTCTCTCTGTCCGCTTCAACTCCCACCTCATCACCGTATGGCACCGCGACGCCTCCAAGAAGAACTCGATCGACAACATCGTCAAGTGCATCATGGAAGAGCTCCCTCCCGAGATGCACCCCAAGCCTGACGCATACTACTACAAGCGCCACTCAGACCACACTGGCTTCAATCCTCCCCCGGAGCTCAAGGTCGTGCTCGATTCCCGTCAACAGGAAGAGGAGAAGCTCGCTGCTGCGGCCAAGGGTGGTGACGCCAAGCCAGCGGTGACGGTTGAGTCTCCGCAATGATTTTCACGAAAGTTACGACATTTGGTTTTGCGCTGCTATATAGTTCAGGTTCATTTCAGGTAGTTGGGTTCACATAGTGTGTGCTTGTCAGCTCACATATCCCGTCCCGTCGCTGTCACCTATGGGGCATGCATGCATCTCATAAGGCGTTTCAGAATTAGGTGGTATTATACATATGTATTGGCCAGGACCGTTGATCCTGAAGAACCTAGCGCTTTTAAGATTGTGTAATTAGATTTGGAAACAGTGAATGCGTAGGGCTACTCCTTGACTCCTGATATAGACATTGGATAGCCGATGCCTCTTTTTTTATGAATTCATCAAGGTACCTCCAAACAAGTCTAAACTCAGTAACACGTACTATACTCTAATAATTATCATGTATGTTAATCTGCAAACGGCAATACATGGTTAGCAGTCAGTGCCTCATCCCTCAGGTTGGGCTTCTTACCTCTCAATGCAACATTGCAACTCTTTGGGGGCGATTCTGCTTCATCTTATGGTATCAACTTCCCAGGCCGTATAAGGGGAGTTCCGTTTCTTCGTAAATTATAATATGTTGGCGCTGTCTGGAAGCTGGGGAATCACCTCCAGACACCAGCGCTCTTCATGACTCCATCAAACTCCTCAACGCCCACTCCCCTAGCAACACCTACGCCGCCGTTCGCCTCGAGAATCATGTCCTTGAGCAGTTCCTCGTCGACATCCTCTTTCAGCACAGCAGCTACGCGCCGTAAGTGCGCCAAAGTAATGGGTCCGTCCTGGCCGTTTGTGAATAGTCGAAAAGCCTCCTCGACTTCTGCGCGATGGGCGTCCGAGTCGTGCTCTCTCGTATGGAATTTGAGGGCGCAGATTGCGAAGAAAGGTTCAAATGTCGCGTAACCGTCGTTTTCTGGGTCCAGGATTGATACGAATTCTTTAAGTTCTGCGTGAGAAGAGGGCGGAACACCGAGGGCTCTAATTAAACAAACATATTTCAGCCAAGAACTCAGAAGGTTCCTCACATGGATACTTACATGAGCGCAGACTTGACGTCGTCAATAGGCAAGACTCCATGCTTCTCACCGTCCATTGGCTCCGCAAAGAGGCTGAACGCCTCGCGGATCTCGCCCTCCTCTTGCGCAGTAACGTTATGCTCCTTTGCAAGTTTAGACTGGCGCGTCTTGGGCGCGGCGGTTGCGCTGGTCGCGGGAGCTTTGCGCTTTGGAGGCTGAGATAGTTTGTTAGACCATGTCTTCACTGATATACATTCAGAGGGTGCATTACCATTTGAGCTTGCGAAGAACAAAAAGTAGGTGCGCGCAGTCGCGATGGTTGATGTCACGATGGACGTTTTTAGTGACAATAGTGGGTTTGACATCCGGTATGTACAGTGCTCAAACACTGTCTCTCAGTTTTATCCAAACTGTACGGGCCTTTTTAGTAATGAGCTTTAATTGTTTTTTTCTTCACAGGCTCAAACCATTTCCCTTTAACATTCCATCTCAACATTTCCAACAGTCTCTCCGGGCTGATTTCACAATACACTCGCGCTCTTTTGGAGAATAATCACCGCGAAGTACTCTACGGTTTGTTTGTTTATGTCTGCTACGCCATTACCATATAATCGGATTTCGACGCCGACCGGCTCTTCTCGATACCGTGACGTTCCTCAACATTCGCTTCTAAAAATGCTAGAGCTTGCCGCTTTGAATTTACTACAGCGAGCAAGTGTGGACAGTGAAGCAAAATTAAAACAAGCCTCGTCGGACAACTTCAAACCGGCGTGGTTCCAGCGGATAGCAAGCGATGTCAAGTCTTTGAAGACGGGCACCTAGCGATCCATGGAGACATGCATTTGTAGTACTCAACTTCCAACGCAATCAATTATTCACTCAAAATACTCGCTCGCCCTAGGCAACTCAATTTCATTCATGTCTTTGGTTCCTTCTGGCCCCTGCTCAACTTGATACCTATATCTTGGGCTCTGGCTCCCTTCAGACTAGTCAGCCGTGAAAGGATAGTGAGGAAGTGTCACTACTTACTCACTTGAAGTTGTTCTTCATTTCACGTAACTTGGCCATAACTGCCACAGGCTCGGTCTCACCTGTCTGCTTCTGAATCTCAGGATCCTGTGATTGTTAGCTTGGCAACCTGGCCTGTTCATGATCTTTGACGAACCTCAACCCTCATAAAGACGTTGTGTTCCTATGCAAAGTCAGCCATTTCATATTGAGAGAACTCATAGATTCGAGCTACCTTTTCGTCTCCGATGGTAAACTTGCCAGTGGTGACCTTGTTGTTCTCGGCGAAGGAGTGCAGCTTCTGTACAGCATCACGCTGAGAAACAGATGCGGCAAACTTGACATTGGCCTTGGTATACTCATGACCCGGCTGCCAGAATATGAGCCTCAATTTCCTTTTGTGTTGGCTCAGAACTTACGTAGACCACAGTATCATCAGGCAACGCCGCAAGGCGCTTGTTCAAAGCCTCATGCATCTCCTCCGCATTGCCCTCGAAGAATCTTCCACAACCTGTTAATGTTCAGCATAGGCCCCAAACATCCTTGGAAGCATTCAAGGTTTGCTCAAGCTTACCGCCAATGAAAAGGGTATCACCCGTGAAAACAGCTTTGTCCTTTCCGTCTTCCACAAAGAAGCAGATGCTGTCCTGAGTGTGGCAAGGTGTATGCACACCCTTGAAGGTGATGTCGCCTAGCTTGAAGGTCTCGCCGTGACCAGGTGTCTTAGTCACACCCTCGCAGTCTTTGCCGCCGATGATGTCCAGCTTGGGACTACCCAGCTCAGCAAGCTATTGAATGTCAACAAGTATCCATAGGAAATCATTATGTGGAATCTTACCAGTTTCTTGTTGCCTCCTGCGTGATCCCAATGGCAGCAAGGAGGTCAGCCTAGGTCGGCAGTAATTGGCGGTTAATGATACTTACTGATGGGTGTTGACAATGGCTGTCAAGTTGATCTTTCCCGCCTGAATAGCATCCTTCAGGATAGGCGCAACCCTGAAATATACATCAGCAGCTTCTCAAATATTCTCAGGGTAGTTACTACGTACTCTGGAGGGTTTGCGGGATCAACGATGACGGCATCTTTGGACTTATCGTCAACTACCAGGTAAGCGTAGTTGTTGGAGCTTCCCTCCCCTGTTGAAATCAGTTTCAAATTCCTCAGCTTTCAAAAGTATTCTGCGGACACGTCACATACACATAGGAATTGACTGAATATGCATGGCGCGAGTAGCAACGAGCTACATCATCTCAGCTAGGCACACTTTCAGAATTGAACAATCGACTCACAGCACTAGATAGAAATCCAATTTTCTGTCTGAGAAATGGCCGACTTATAGCGAGTCTATACATAAGTAGGAATGTGTAAATGTCAAGGCAAGTTGAAGGCGGATGCGCTGTAACAGAACAAGGTCGAATGAGACGTGAGGCTTTGTCATCCAAGCGAGGCATCATGGCTCCAGTATCATGACGTTTGCCGATGCGGGCGACTGCACGTGATATGTCCGGGAACAAATTCAAGATCACCCATATTTGTCTCTACAGAATGGTTTTATGTCCAGTCAATAAGGGGTATCAAATAGCAAGATTGACTGCTCGTACTAAACAATCCCAATGGGTTTAGGCTTCCATGTGCCTTTGAACTGTGACCAGCCAAAGTCATCCTCCTCATCAGCTTCACCAGTGTCAGGCTCTGTATCTTTCATCGTCGTATCAGCGGTACCGGATTTTGACGACTTCTTATCTTCCTCGGACTCCTGTAGCCTCTGCATCAATTCTGCGCACTTCAAAAAGGCTTGATTGCCTGGCAAACTGCCTTTGACCTCTTGAACCGTCTTGAGAACACGGCCTCGAGGCCATCGTTCAAACTCCTGGAATAGGGCCGCCAGCTTCAATTGGTCTCCCTCACCGAGATACCGTAGTACTGCCTTGCGACACACATCGCTATTATCCTCGCCCAGCTGCTTCCAGTAATAATCCCAAATCCACAGTAAGGCCTTCTTAGCTGCTGTGCGCAGCTTTGCCAAGGAGGGTAACTGTTCGTGCGTTGACTGATGGCGAAGCTCAACAAATGTAGCGGGTAAACCAATAGTCTTTGCAATAGAATACATGCTCTGCTTGCGCTGCTTGTCCTGGTGGCCATCAAGAAGGCCAGTAACGAATCTGAGGTTCCATCAGCACTGTCACACAACAATGGATCTCAACTGGCAGAACTTACCTGCTAAAGGCTGCTGAGTATGCTGCTCGGATTGCATACGCTGATGAGGCTGCATTTTCTCCAGCGGCTGCCTCTCTATCACTCAGCATGGCGGCCATCAACAGTGCTGTTGACTCAACCATGTGAGGACAATTTCCTCGCTGCATCCACATCGACACACGCGCAACCGCTTGGTGCTGCCTCTTCTGTGTTTCTTTATCGTCCAATTCCTGTTGAATTTGTATGTTTACGCTGCCTTCAGAATGGCTGGAATGCCCTCTTGGCTCCTGTGCGTTGGTGTCGATGCCTGTGTACATCTGCTCGCGTACGAGCAAGAGTTCGTAACGGTCGCGCCATGGTGTAAAGACGTATTGTACCATTTCTTAGATATTTCTCTCTGGGGTATTCGATAGCAAGCAGCACCCACTCGCCTATTCAGGGGAAATAGGAGTATGTGTATTGCTTTCTCTCTTTCCTTTTGGTGTTGTCGGGCACTGGGTTGTAAGAATTTGTTAGGATTATAATTTTTCAGTGTCAAACGATAGATATCTACCGCTCGAAGAAGCTGTAATTTTCTTGCCAGTAGTATCACTTTTTTAATGCTCTGTGTTTTATTGTGCAACCTACAATATCTCAAGAGGTTTTCAAGATTATAGTCATGATTTCTTTCAATTCCTTATTTTTTCCTCAACACCTATTTCGACGCCAATGTCGTAGATAATCATTTCAATAAACACAAAGCACAGTCCTCAATGCCTGAAGTTGGTACTAGGCATCTAAGCCTAATAAGAAAACTCAGAGCGCCCGAACTTAATTTCTTTTTTCTCATAGTCGGCATTCAATAGGCGGTATCTTGAACGTATCCCTATTCTAGACGCTTTTATTATGCGGTTGTGATTTCGGATGGTAGAGATTGAGAATGGAAGTTTGGCGAGAGCGTATAGCGCCTTGCCAATCAGCACAGTATAAACTTAGCGGTTATCGCTACCATACCACCCAAGCTAAAGTACCTACCTCCCCTGCCCCCCTACTCCCTCAACCTTAGCAGCTTAGCTAGTAGGAGGTAGGTTGAGCAATTTTCAGGTCATGGGGTGGAGCAGAGCTCCTCCGAGTCTCATTTGGAACATGTTAGTCATGTCTCCTAAGAAGGCATAAATAATCCTACATCTTGATCCTTTCTCTGCTGTAACGTTAATTCATATGACTGCTAGCTCTGTCTACGGAGCTTCCGAACCGCACAGAGTGTTAAAGTTGCTAGGGTAAACATTTTCTTTGCTGAATCGGCTTGAGTCGCCTATTTATCACAAAGTGGAGCCAGCCACTTTTTATTCTTCAGCCACAACCGTCGCTGAGCAATACGTAATGCCGTAAAAAAAGAAATCGGAAAGAGGGGGTGGTGCAAACGCCACGCAGGGCTGGCTCCGAGTGGGGAGGGGGGCGTCGAATCTGGGACTTGACCAATTGAATATGCTGAGTCAGTTGCGGATGCACGGACCTGCGATATGCCACATGTTGGACAGGGTTTAGCACAGCTAATCAACGTTGGAAGGAGAAGCGGCTCTTTTTGGATCCACCTCATACCGCCTCTTTTTGCCAACACTACCTATCTCCAACGATGTAGTGGTGAGCAATGGATTTTGTTTTCGCATGGCACGCATCGTTTCGTTATTATTAGGCCATAACAGGGGGTTCGGGGGACATGTGGTAAAGTCGTTGTTTTCTCAATATCTGGGTTGTTTATTTCTTCATTGGGTGACTATTGGGCGGCTACCTGAGCCTTTCTTTGTATCTCCTAGTTTTGTGCTCTTTGCACGGGGTATCCATAGCCAGACTCTATACATATAGTAAATTCAAACGCTTGCACCCATGTTCCTTATCCTGAGATCCAGATGCACCGACCTTGTCACCCTGTGTTTTCCCTGTCCCCAAAAAGAAGCAAAAGCCGGCTTTTCCTGCCTACCAGTGAACACCATAGTGATACAAAATTCATGTCATTATTCATGTGTGCCGTTACAAATTTCGAGATGCAGCGGGTTTACTGCTCCTCATCTTCATCTTCGTCGTCATCCTCATCCTCTTCCTCATCCTCTTCGTCAGATTTGGGAGGTTCCCATGTCTCTTCGAGCTTCAGGCCCTTGCCTTGAGGTTCATGGTTCCTGAATGATGACCCAAGTAAAGATGATACAGTAGATCGATAGTTGTTGAGCTGCGGATCCTCGTTATACTTCTCTGGAGTATCGTAAAGTCCCATTCCAACCAGAATCTCGCCATCTTCTTCCGCGGCGTCTTCAAGAGCCTGATAGTGAGGATCCTCTGATACTGCAGGCTGAGATAATTGGGTTTGTGGGAAAGTCTCAGGGGTGGGGGGTGTTGTCGAGCCAATGCCATGCATGATAAAAGTATTCCAGTCCCATCCATTGCTGTCTGTGGCCTCGACGGGTGCAGAAATAACAGGCAGTTGACGACCTGGCAAGACCATAGAAGCAGCGGGGGAGTGATGCGACATGTTCGTTCCCTGGTAAGGATTGTAGGACATGTTGTCGGTAGATTGATATGGGAGAGGGAGATGGGAGAATGCCAGCGGAGATGTACCGCATGAAGTTGAAGCCATCATTGGAGAATAATGAGCATAGTTCCCGTGCAAGTCTTGGTGATCGGTAGGCAAGTGGCTTGTGGTCAAGGCATACGCGGACTGTTGCGCCTGAACATAGGGTTGCTGGCCATATGAAACCGGATGCCAACTCACAGGACGCGATGATCGTGGGGCGGGTTGCCGCGACTCAACATCACAAAACGCTGATAACTGTTCCATTATTTGCTGTTGTCGACGTTGCGAGTTGCCGTCATTCATCAGAGTCTTGCGGCGAGCCATGAAACCAGACGAACGAGGGCTGTTGTTGGCGCTTGAAGGCTTGACCACTCTCATAGCACCTCCAGATCGTTGTCCACTGGACCCTCGTGAAAACCTTCTTGAAGCCTGCGAGCATGCCATTTGTTGTGTGTGATCGTCTAGCATTGTGTCGTAAGGATATGCGATGGGCAAAGAGCCTGCTGGCTGCACACCGAAGAGTGGGTGCATCATCTTGAAGTGTACCAAATAAGTAATATGATATGGAAAGTTGAGATGTATCGAGGGAGGTTATCAAAATGACAGCTGATATTAAAGTCGTTATTGTGCTCAAGAGAAGTTAATTATTGAGTTGAAAGTAATGACGGCAGATCCCAAGAGAACTGAGAAGGGCTCAGCTTGATTATGTATCGTGAAATGGTGGTACTGGCTCCAAAGGGGTTCGAGGGGGTTAACGAAACATGGGGCAATCGATGGCTTGAAAGATAAATCGAGTCTAGCAGCTTTGAACAAGATCAACTCTCCAAGGATCTGAGTGTGGGCCGGGAGGGAGACGCATGGGCGAGTTACTAGCGACATGATGGCTGTACTGTAAACCGTAGAATTTTGAACAAGCGTCAAATCAGAATCCAGCCCACGGGGGTACTTGGTTAGGTTCCTCATCACAATTGACCCTCACTTCACGTTCCTGTGCTAGGGTTGTCAATTTCTATCATGGCAGCTGGGGTGGTGGGCTGCGTCATACGGGCCGGCAGGGGGTGTGTCAACGGGCGGAGCCAACAAGCAATGAGAAAGGCGGGCGGGAAGCAGTGCCGGAGCGAGAATCAGGCTGCTGCTCTGGGGATTGAGACGACGCCTGCGGCATGGAGTCAAGGGCTTCTTGTGTGAGGGCGTGTCGAATGGTGCAGAGCAGGATCAAGTGGGATTCACGCCAATTTGGTAGGCAGACGCTAAGTTTGGCGTGGTACCGACAAGGCGAACAAGGAGGAAACAGGTGGTGATGGTAACGATGGGGCCTCCCGCCGCTATGATTGCGTTGCAGACCCATGAGAGCAGCGTCTCTAGAAGAAGTGGACATCATCGGGTCGTCTGGACTCGAGGTAAGCTAGGCAAGTCACCCCTGCCGCTAGGGATGCAGCTCACATGGAGTAGTGGAGAATAGAAGGGATGGAGAAGAATTGGGCCCACGGGCTGGAGTCGTAATAAAACACAATGGTCTGGATAGTCAACCAGTCTGACCGCAGCATCCGCTTAAGACTCACCAAGCAGTAGGGGGGTAAGACAATCCCAAAGGGGTACGCCAAGCGTTGCACCAGGGGGCGCCACAATGCGTGCGTTTTTGGGGCCTGAGATGGGCTGGGGGACCACTACTAGGAAGCGCCGCGCCCAGGCCAAAGGATGGGACATTTCCCTACTGGTAAAAGTGCCACTCGGGAAGGGTCTTGAATCTCATCCAAGCGGGATGCGCATCACTGCTTTGGTGGTTTGGCATGCTTTGGCCAAATACTGCAAACACCCCTGCTGTAGCACATGTAATTCCCATTTCTCGGCTCCATGCTGAGCTGTTGCAGGTTGCAAAGAGGGTGAGATGGAAGAAGGGCGTTCTCCTAGGAGAAACAATCATCATATCTGATCGGCAGGTGCTTGATGATGTTTGCAATGGGTTTGAGATCCTCCCATCACCGCCGAGGCAGGACACCGGTAATAACGGTTTGTTGTACCCGCTCCTTTGTACATCCTCTTGCGTATCGTGATCCGCTCATTCTTGGGACTATTGAACGCTTGTCTGGTGAGGAACATCATCATTGGCGATTTCCCGAGAATGGACGGAATAATGTGCTGGCAGCCGTGATTAACGCTCTGTACAATACTTCAATGAATATAATGGATAAGCTTGATGGGCTGGCACCGAGTGCTTGGCCTGAAGCCTTGGATGACTATCACCGTGAAGGTTTGATCAACAAGACGAGGTATTGGCAAGGGCTTGATGGCGCAGCATGACTCCATCAAAGTCCCATCACAGGCGGCTGGTTGTGCGCTGTGGTAATAGCTCCTCCATAAGGAATTTGAACGTACCCATTTCAAATACTAAGATGTGGAACCACATTCGCACTCTAGCAAGAGTTGGAATGGTGCTCCTTCTGGTAGCAAAGCCAGTGGGCGGGCACCCGGCGTTGCATTATGCACATGGTACTCCGACTGTGCAGGACCAGGAACAATAAACGACCTCCAGTACATGCACTAATTGCCCAGGCAGCCAGGTCAGTCACTACTGGGTACCACTCTCAGTGCTTTTCTGCGCGTGTGATAGGTATTGGACAAGGTGAGGAAGCTAGACGTCCTGTTCTGGGCAATGTGTCTACCGTTGCTGTTGGCGGGAATCCTTGGTGGCGACAATACCATACACAAGGGCGCGGGTACTGGGAGCATTGCCGTTTTGCAATTTTGCTTCGTAAGACCAGGTACAGGCGACGACAAGAGGTTTTAGGCTACGGGGAGCGAGACCTCGGACAAAGACTAATCAGGGTGTTAATAGACATATCAATTTAGGTCGTCAAAGAGAGGCATTGATGAGGAGGAAACCCAAGGCCAGACAGCCAGATCAGGGAGGCCTTGACGTGGGCCATCGGACTATCAAACTCGAATGGAGAGACATGCCTGACTCTTTGGTATGTTACCACTGAACACCTGAGGTAGCTTGGATCGGTATCTCAGGTAAGGCAGCTAGGGCGGGCACGTTCCAGCAAAGCCCGACGGCCTGAGCGCCGACATTATTGCCTGGCTAGCCCGGTCAATTGATTGCCCAGTCACAGATGTGCAGGCCCTCGGGCGGTAAAAATACACAAGACTGGCTTACACCAAAATCCATTGATTTACCACCGACCCAGTCTCGTGTTTTCTTTTCCCCTAGGCTAGGCCGAAAGTGCAAGTCAGGCAAGTTACTCAGGATTTGTGCGGTCCTGCTCCGCCTTAATAGAGAACGCTGATTAAACTCTCCCCTCCTGTTTTAAGTTATTAATGGCAAGTGCGGAAACCCCCCCCCCCCCCCCCCATCCATACGTCTGCAAGCCCCAAAGGTCGTCAGTTGTCGACTCGCTCACCCTGACCTGACAGCATCATTAAATCGCTGAATCAAGTTCAACTACGTTCATCCACTCAGGGGCTGCGGAAACAACGACACTTTCCAACCTTGGTAAACATTCGAGGCCAGCCCGTGCTCTAGATCCAGTCTGCCTGCAGTACCACTTTATAGCTCCCTGTGCTACACCAGCGCCAATGCCAACACCAACATGATTTAAATACGGGCGGCTTTTGGGGCAAGCGGTTTGGCTTCTCTTCCCAGGTCAGTGGATCTTATGGTCCAACATGGGCTGCCACGTCGTCTACAATATGTACAAACGACTCATTTCAAAACACGAAACACAAGCTATCAATATGGTGCTAGGGAAATGTACATATGCCTAGAAGCGAGTGCTGTCTAGCTAAGGAAGGTCTGATCTGATCTTTATCAAGTGCCCAATCTCGGGGATCAAAAAGACTCAAGATCATAAATCAGTGTCTAAAAATAATCCATCAAATGGCCTCCTAAGTTTATCTTAGATCTAATCAAGTATTTTTATCACCCCCTGTGGTCCAAGAAAGTCAACAGCAGGCATTCCCGGTCTGGAGCTCAACTCTGTCAACGCCCTCGTTCATAATAAAGGTAATTATCTCCTGTGCCTATCATCTATGCACAATATCACCACATATCCGAACCCCACGAAAGATGCAACAATGGCTACACGCTGATGGTCTCGGCTTTTATTCCTTCTCTGTCACTTCCATTGTCTCATCTCATCGCCCCTCTCTATGGGGGATATGCACGACTCATCAAGCTCACGCAGTCCACCAGAATTTTGCTGGGTCGCTGGGGATTCTTTGTCTACGAGGATTATCCCCACCCTCAGAGTTCCATTGCTGACCATGGTCATCAAATTGAGTGCCTGTGGAGCACAGCATACTGACGCCCCTCTCCTCCTTTAGTCGTCGCCCTCTGAAGCTTGCATCTCTCCCTTGAAAGATCTGGGCGTTGAACTGTAAGTTGACTAGCTCCCTATGGAAGGAACCAATTGCAGAGAGATCAGCTAGCTGCCTGTGGCCATCAGTGAGTGAGTTAGGCCTTGCTGTTTCTGAGCTGCCCTGATCGCCCACTGAATCAGTCACCAAACAAGGGCTGCAATTGTGCGCCACCCCGAAGTTCCCTGCAATACTTGGTGGAGGATGAAAGCGTGCCGCCTCGATGGATCTTTTAACTTTTACCTCAGGCAACCCTGGCTCTATGACCCGGTGAGTCTACTAGACTATGGTGTGTGGTCAGAACACCCAACGATTCACTATCACCGGTGCTAGTGATTGCGCTGTTTAGGGTAGTGATACGAGCCGATCCATCTTGTGTGTAAATTACAGCCGTTCTCCATAGCAAGAGAACGCGTCGGCACCTTGGCAAACAATTGCGGTCAGATATATCCATACTTCGCCCAAAATATACCGAACATGGTCAACAGATTCGGAGAGTGTGACCTTCAGAAAGAAACTACCTACCGGTATTTGCTGCAATATAGTTGCAGTCAATCTCGATATCAGTTCGGATTTTTCCTCCAGACAGCGCTTGTCAATACACGAAGATTTGCAATGTCTTGGATTGGATACTGAGCTATTTTTGCTTCAGGTGCCCTCAATAGGGGACTGGAGGGTCTACCCAACCCGTCACGCAAGCGTTGACTTCACTGCCCTGGCGGTCTGGGTAGCCTGGGCATACGCTAGGGGATTCAGGTAATTGCCGTTCTTCGATTTCATGGGCTTATCGAGGCTTGGAGGCTTTGAGCTGGCTGGTAGGCGGGCTGGGTCGCAGTTCTCTTGTGGGTCACATGTACAAGGAGAGGAAGGGATTTTGAAGGGTGTCCGTGTCTTGTCCTCGCGAATCAGTCTTGGTTGCTTTCGGCACCAACAAAGCTGGCGGGCTGGATCACGCATTGATTGTCCTGCCCAGACGTTTTACATGTATCTCACTCGGAACATCAGGAAAGCCACTAGCATTGTGCGCGGAACGCTGTCCCACAAGACATTGGCGCTGATCATCAACCAGCTCATCAAACTTCTCCTTACGGTTCGTGGGTTACCCAAGTCACGGAAGCGCAGCCACCACCATGTGAGAGTCTTCCAATACAGTACAGACTTTTGCATAAACTATCCCATCCCAGCACAGCGCAGTATCACTGGTCTTGGATGGTTTAGCCCCCGGCAAAGCACCACACCATTATTCTCAAAACCATGCCTCATCGGCGGGTGTCACTTTTGCTATCGCGGCTGACGAGGACAATTTCAACATATGCGTCATCCAAATGCCCTCTGGGCAACAAATGAATGGCGGTCGATAACTAACTACCCATTACATTATCACCACAGTCCCAGATGGCCACATTTCCTTGGAACCGGTTCTGCAATTGCACGTTCTAAAAGCACCTTATCAACATTGCACAAATGATTCTGTACCCTTAACCGGATGTTAGGTCATGATTGCTTTCATGTCATCCCTGGTTCAGAATCTCCTCGCTGCTCTTGGGAAGCACTCATCACGGATTCGTCAAGTCATTGTAGAAGAACGGACTGAAATCATCTCCTGCTAGAGATCTGCCTGTGGCCGTCCAATCAATCTGTAGATGGGGTGCAAACCAATTTCCCCTGCTCGGCCTCAAATCAAAGATCCTGCATCTAACCGACAATGTACTGGGAGAGAGGCTGAAATTTTGTTTTTCTTTGTTTGACTTTCTCTTGCTACCATGCACTCACTATATGCACATCCCTATATGGCTTGTCTTTCACCCCCTTTGCAGCAAATCTATACCAGTGGATCCCCTTTCATAGCCGAGTCGCTAACTCGGTAGCCCAAACGCTAACTGTCCTTGCGATCAGCAATGAATTCGATGTCAGACAAGAAGATTCACTGGTCTAATAGCTACCTGCATCAGAAAGAACCACTCAACACAATGCATTTACAGTATCATACGTATTCGGGTCAGATGTCGTTCGATCCGGATATCTTTATGCTGGCCATAAGACTTTTTGAGTCTATTTGGTCCACGCTTTCGACAGATGTGGGAAACAGGCAGGCTTTCTTGCATTTGCCTGACTCCTCATGCTGAGTGGGTTATTGTCAAGAGACACGGGTTCCACCAAGCCATCAAATGTGTATGGCCAACGTCTGGTTTGCATCACTGAGACTCTCAGTTTGATCAAAGTTGCCTGTGGCTTTCGAATCCACGCGATCTCGTTTACAGGAGGTACCGTCATTGAGAGCCGGCAACCCACACGACGCCAACTCAAAACAGGTGGATGCTTGAAAAACGACAAGACAAGGGTGCGCAAGTGGAGGCTTCAAGCCTGTTCGCCAGGGATTATCTAGCTTGACACCTGGGTATGGCCAAGGAAGCGAAAAAGAATAATTCGCCAGAGCCACGGCCCAGTTGCCGAAGATCAACTTGCTTGGCCTAGCCTTACTCTGTACTTGCTATGTAACATTCACCATGTTTGCATGCTTACAGTACTCGTGGACTGGAGACCTACATTTCAGAAACGATTACCCAGCATGAGGACATGTGAGCATGTGCTCATAAGACCACGCAATCCGTCGAGGTGTTCTACGCATCATCATCCCTCAACATGTTGGAAAGAACTTGCGTCAATCATCGCCAACAGTCATGGAAGACTGGCTCCAATATGATCAGACCCTTACACTGGGATGCGCCGCCCTTACGCTAGACTATAAACATGCGCTTGGGGCCACTTTTAAAAACCGCTGCCATGGGTCTACCACAAACAAACATGGATGGAGAACGGAGAGTCTGAGGCTAGAAATGACCAGCCCCTGCGCAAAAGCCTGACCTGTTTGGTATCGTCTGTACAATTGGTGCCGGGGTAAAGATTGTGCTTCTGAGTCCAATTTCGTGTCCCTAGAACGAATGAAAGATTCGGCTTGATTGACTCAAAAAGATTGAAAGAAAAAGGCCCTTGCATTCTATGAGAAAACCTGCAACATACCGCTGCGCCTTGGTCTCTCGACACAACTTACTACATACCCATCCATCCATCCATGCCATGTAAGTCAGCTGCCAGCAGGATTCGCCTGAGAGGCCATAAACAACCCGCCTCGGCCGCCTTGACTGAGCACCATCTCACACAGCATTAGCCCCGGCGGCATGCACGCGAGTTTGTGATCATGCAGGTGTCTTTGTTAAGATGGGGGCAGAGTGATTGATTACCTTGATTTTTATTTTTATTTTTTTATGACTCGTTGGTCCAACTTGTGTCGTTGCTGTATAACGTTAGCGACGACTTGTTTGGAACGCTGTGAAGCCCATATGCGATCCTAAGTGAATAGTCAGCGTCTCAGACCTTTGACGTAGGCCGCGACGAGGAAGCATTATACGTACAACCGCCATCCAGTCACTCACAACAGTTCAAATGCAAATATGGTGGGGCTCTGCGGAGGTAGGCCGTCAAGCGGAAGGAATATGGCTCACGATACGCCGTAAGTTACGGCAATATGTCTTTGAGTTGGCCGGACCGCAACCTTGGACAGCCAAGGAACCGAGAATGCATGAACAAGCTCGTTACTTATTTCGGTGCATTTTGCTTTTGCAAGTCGTGCGTCTTGATTGGATGCTCTGAGAGACCAGCATCAGGCAACCTTCAGGTCTTTCCATCCTGACCGATTTTAATCAGTACTGTATCGACGTAACCAATGTCACCAATAGAGTACCACCACTTTCTCTTGAATACATGGCTTCTCAGCCTCTCAGTTCTGCAATTAGGCAAGGCGAGAACCAATGGCTTATCCAAGAAGCCCGTGAACACGATAACCCTTAGACACTCGAAAATAGACGAGAGGTATTGGACTTCATTAACGATCACAGATGAAAGCAATTTAATAATTGTTCAACACACTGTAACATAACTGTTCGCTTGAGACTCGAAAAGATCGTCAGTCCCTAACACGGCCTGGCATTCTCCCAAAACGTGTACATGCTTGTTTATAACGCCTGCGGCGTAGTGCTGGCATCTAACTATAGAGCCCCGGAAGCCGGGGGCTTCTCCAGCTGCCGTCCGCTCCTCCGTCCGAGAACTCCATACCGATCGGGGATGTCCATGGTGGGTCAGAGCAGAGTTCAGCCAGGCCAACGGAAAGTTGGAAAGCCCTCTCTGACCGTCGAGTCCGCATCACTCGGGCTTATTCGGGCAACACCCCTGAGAACTAATGCGACACCACCCAACTACTAGTTGATGGCCGTGACTGGACATATGTGGGGGGCAGAAGAATCACATCCACAGTTCACCCCTTGTCTAGTACTGGCAAAGGGTTTCTGCTTTCAATGTGCAGGGATTTTGAGACATGCTCAAAGCGGGCCGGCGTCATTCGCAAAGCAAGCACTCACAGTCACTCCCTCATTTGTCTCAGTGAGCTCTGATGGATCTGAAGCTTTTGTCATGTCTTATCCTATTTGATGGCCCAACCCTTGAATCACATCCTTAACTTTGATGAGAGTCAGCCAACAGGCAACATGCCCGCTGGCTGCATGTACGTACTTCCACCTTGCATACATAACATAGGCTTGTTGATCAATCAACTACATACTCCATATCGACTTCAATTTCTGGTATTTATGCAGCTATGGTGCATCCTCCGATATTGGCCGTTTGTTTCTGATGTCTGTTATCGTTATCGAGGCAGTGGCTTATTTACATAGTACTCTTTTTAACTTTGTTGTTCTTGTTTCCTTACGCCTGTATCGTTGTTCTCAGCTCTCACTCCTCGTGGAAAACATGCCCCAACAACAACAGCAATGGCACTAACAGGGTGGACTGTTGTCAGTTTACTACTGCAATGAGAATGGCCCTCCAACTCTCAAAGCTACATTATCCGTGGGCATGTTAGGCTTGTCGCTGACTTGCCTCTCTTGTTTCTTCTCATCCTGTTATGTCGTGTCCTTCCGTCTCATCTGACACGTCTCACACCTGGTCCCTGTCCCTGGTGCCATTGCTAAACAAGCCAGCTGCCCAAATAGCAACTGCGGTATATCGTCTTGCCCTGCGTCTCGGGGCTTTTGGGTCCTTAGACTCTGCACCGCATGACGACGCTGTCGAGCGGCTCGCTTGCCCTCTGGATCCTCCCTAATGCTTACTATGTAAGCATTAGCTGCAGACGGACGGTTGGCCGCCCTAGCTCTGGTACCTTGGTCTGTCCTGCAACCATGCCTCGGGGTGTGCAAATTCTTGACCCTCAGCAAGGGTGCGAAAATAACCAGTCAAAGAGTCTCCTAAGTTGATCTTGAATTATCCTAAGCTTGTCTAGCTTTTATGTCACTTAGGATTAAGCTCTTAATAAGTTTTCTTTCCCACAACTAGCCATTCATGCATATTAGCCAGCTATCGGTTTCGCTCAACCGAGCTTGGGAATTGGATATCCCTTGTAAACATGATTCTCTCTGTAATCAGTTCCCAAACTGAGGCTTGAGCTTACAACAATCATTACAATACTTGTATAATTTTCTACAACGGGCTCTATCTAGAATTACAATCTCTGACAATAGACTTGCTTGTAGATAGATAACTTGAGGATATTTCATTCCGTCTTGTTCTCGCACCATCTTCACACCAGCACCAATCCTAACGACGTGCTTCTAGACTAATCGTGGTCTCCATGCAGTAGCCCCGGCGCATCCGCGTGGTTCAAAGGTTGTGTCTTGCAGGCAGAGCAGCATCATCCTGGCCCTTTCTTCACTAGCCAAGGACAACAAGACGCCTACTCATCCACTTGCATCGCATCGACACGCAGCAGATGAGACGTGACAGGTCCAAGTCGATACCTACGCCTCCATACCTTACTAACTATCTAATATGTGCCCTCACCACAGAAGCGGGAGTACGTACACTGGTGACTGCGGTTGAAGATCAAAGCAACCCAATGATTCTATTCCCCGTTTTCACCGCCTTTCTCCCCTGTTTCTGTCCCCTCCACTATCTGTCCCTACCGGTCCTAGGCTCAACCTTCTCTCTTCTTCCCACTTAATCTCTCATCACCGAATTGAGAGCATTATCAGCCGGTGTAAGCCATAAGCGACTCATGGCCTTGGTTCGCCGAGTTACTTTACTGTTTCTTGCCATGTCTTTCTCCGCCTATTGAGCGGTTTAGTGTTTTGATCCCCCTTGATCTTCCGGCATCTGACCCTTGCACCAAAAGTCTGGCTGAACCCGTGGATTGTCATCAAGCTACCATAGTATAATCGGGACAAGACCGCCTGGCAGTCATGCCCATGGCTATCCGTAATCAGGTATTCATTCAACCGCCTCCAGTCTCCATTCCCAGAATGTCTCTTCCGAGCCCGTTGAACCCCTCCCGCTGCACTTTGAGTGTAGCCAGTCGAACGGCGAAACCCAGCTTCTTCCCCATGCTCCAGTCGTCAGGGTGACAGATCAGCCCGTACAGCATTCCGGCTATGAAAGTGTCCCCCGCTCCCACGGCACTATATCTCGAACAGTGGTCAGGTCCTGCAGTTTTACGCGGCTTGTACTATGTTTGTTGTGCTGTGTTAGGTATTGTCAGGGCGGGACAACTCACTCGATCACGGAAATGTCTCGCCCTGATTCATCCAGGGCAGGGCAGTGAAGAGTCTCGCCTGTTGACCGAGATAGCCCAGCTGCTCCATCTTCACCCCACGTACACAGTGCCAGTCTCCTATACAGCTTCTTGTCAGCAAAGGCCATACAGTCCAAGCAGAAGCACGAGATCTTTCCATGATACGTACGCCTTTTGATGCCCTTCGGCTCTCAGGCATTGTTCCGGAGTTTTGTGTCCTCGACTCTGTCCCCCTTGTTAGGTCACTGCAATTACAACGGCCGAATATCCATGAGTCCACTCTCACCTCAGCCCAACTTCGCGAATAGAAGACAACATCCGCTTCTGCCGCCAGCTCAGGTAGACCCTCCCTACCAGGCTTCTCAATTTCGACACTGATTGTCGCTTTTGGTAGTACGTTACGCAGGAGACGGATACAGCTTTGTATGGTATCCGGGATTCGGCCCTGTTGTTCCATCATCAGCCTAGAGTTACCAGGCAGAGGATACCACGTCTGCATCCTACCTCAAAGTGCCACCATGTCTCCTGGTCCGGGTTGAAGCCTCGCGCGATGTTGCCAAACTCATCTTCGGTCATCTCTAACAAATCATTGTAGTTGACAAGCGTGCGACTACCTGATGCCTCGCTACGGATAATGTAACTGCTTGCCGCCTCTGTACTCTCCTCACGATAAACGCAGTGGCTGAAGTCAATGTTCGACTGCGCACCGAACGACGAGATAACACGCTGTGTTGCGGACGAGGAAGCAACGGGAAGGGGTGATACCAGATGCAGCTGAAGTGTGTCGTGCTCAGAGAGCAATTGTTCCAAGACCTGAAGCGAGTTGGGACAGTTACCTCCACGTCGGATATTGAGGCTGGTGGCACGTAGCTTAGAGTCCTCGGATGGGAAGAAGGGAACACTGTAGGTGAGTTAGTAGATGCAATGTGTACGCAGTCGAGGTGACCTTCTTGAGGATCGTATCCAAGTAGCAGGCGCCTACGGCGATGAGATGCTTCATGATGTTCAGTGTCGTGCTAGTTGCAACATGGACTGGGAAAGCAATGCTGACAACTTGTCTTGCGTTGTCTTACGCGCGAGGCAGCTTCTATCGCTTCGCGTTGGCGATATGTTGTCTGTCCTTTTGTTAGTGCTGGTGATGTAGGTAATGACAACAGTTCAGACTTAGTGGAGGGGTCCGCCGTAGGTTGGAAGTTCCACATGTATTTCGTCACCCGTATGCGTGTTGTCTAGTCAAGCAGACATCATGATATGGCCCAGTGTGAGGTTGAAGATGAGAGAACAATGTTTTCCTCGCTGTGGTCAATGGTGCAGCCTTCAGATACTTGGAAAAAAACCAACCAGTTTATGTGCTGTTCTTCCATAATACTCTGATGGAAGTCAGTGGGGTATCTACGATTCATCCTATCCTGCGATTGCCTGTCATGCAATCCAGGTAAATATAACGCATGGACATCCAACTTCAAACTTGACACCAAAGTGAAGCATTAACATGCTAGTTGGCAGTAAGATAAATTCTTGATGCTGTTGGGAGTCGTGACCATTAAAGATAAGAGCATCTTATCTTGCTGTAGGGTAGTTACCGCCGCAGCAATAAATGCTCATCATGCAACAAATGCACGATTATCGGGCGTGTTTCACATGTTTACTCTTTGGCATGGTGAATGCTGGATTGTAATTACTCTAGTTTACTCTATGTAAGATTTTTCATGACTTAGAATAAATTTCGATGATCTCTCTAGTTCCTGTGAGATGGTGAGATAAGTAGCGATCCAATGATGTTAAATTACAAGTAGTACTGCTGAGTTCGTGCAACATGAAGGATATGAGAGGATCATAAGGTCCGTGTAAGGGTTTCTCTTGACTCTGGATTTCATTTCCGGTATGGGAAATTGAGTATAATATCAAGCAGCCTGGCTCCGAGAGGCCTCGAAGTGGGATAACGACATATATACACCCAGTCTTCTAGAGGATACCACTTTGGAGTTTTCGTTGAAAGATAGAAACCGGAAACACACCATGTTTCTTCCGATGGCTATAAGCCAGCTTGACTCTCAATTTCGTCGGCGTAGGAGTTGGATATGGGATAATACGTCAGGATCTTCTTCAGACGGGGTGCCAAGATTTGTGATGTGTGTAAAATTGCTGGCCATCGTGTTGGCTCTCTTGATGTCTGTTAACAAGAAAGAGTGTCAATTGGACGATTACTTAACAGATGCATCTTCGACCTTGGGAGCACGGACAGACAGAATCTGCAGCCGCCGTGAAATGGCACAGACGGTGGCAGACATGACAAGAAACTCGACTGAGATCATGCCTGGGCTCTCATGGACTAGCTGACAGAAAATATTAGTATCGGTATCAAATAATAGTAGGAGTGCAGGTCAAATTTACTGCTGTCTTTTTCTGACTTTTGATGTGACACAGCAGAGCCACGACGGACAGACTGGCTCTAGAGTCGTTTGCTGGGCTTATGGTGAGCCCTGAACAGAACCTGGCTATATCAATGCTCAGTTTCCTTGTACTCATGAATACTTTCGAAGGAGTCAGTGGAATACTCAAGATGACGCCGCCCGTTAACGAGAAAATACAACATCCATCTTGTGACGCAGGGAGAATGATAACATAAGACAAGCCAGGACATACACAGAAATAGAGAATACAGCATTCGTCTGAAGACGACCAAACTGCGTTGGCACGATGCCAGTAATATGAGAACCGAGTCTATTGCTACCAGATAACCCCTTACCCAGTCGTATTCGGGGCTGCAGTGCGTTTATATTGAAGGGGCCAGGTTTGTCCACGAACTTTTTCAGCTCTACATTCTAGTACTACAGCTGTCAACTAGAACAAAAGAACTCCCTAGAATATCTAACTTTAAAAGAGCTTAGAGGATCCTAGGTACCTCTCTCGAAATCACACGTTGGTGGCTAGTTGGCTCGACAGCATCAAGTCTAGCGGAGTCTGGATGCATTCCTCTCAGACGGCCAAGATCGCGTTGCTGAGCTACATAGTACCTAGCTAAATATCAGTCGCTCACGGCATATATCAATGCGGTTGTAGAGGAAGACGATAAGGAACGCGAGGCAATTATATGCAGTCGGAAGCAGGAGAGCCGTGGTTATTTCCAGCACATAGGCAAAAAAGATCAGAATGGCTCGGTATGAACAACAAAAGTCAAGTTGTCTCAATGACCTGGTCAAGACTTTATCCAAGGGTCGACTCCTTTCCCTCCTACCTGTTGCAAACTGCCAATCCCCATTGACATTAGCTCTTCTATCTTAGTAAGAAGACCTCCTATGATTTCCTATGGAAGAAATTCGGGACATCTGGTATCGGTGAATAAGGTGATAAGTCGCTTCCCTCTCTTCCTTCGCTTTCGATCGAGGAGAAACCGGAGTACTCTTTCAACGGATTTGGAACATCTTAAGAAAATGAGACACAGTCAAGCGGTCAGTATGCCAACACGAGCCTGGCTATTCAGGCGGGTCACTGATATTCACAGTGTGCATTAATAGCACTCACTATTCAGTGTCCCGTCTTCTTACTATCGAACCACCCTCCCACGACAAGGGAGGGTATCGCTTCATAACATGGGTTCATCGCCGTCTCTATCTATACCTTACCTGACTATCCCTTACAGCCTCACAGATAAACATAAACTGTCCCTGTTAAATCATCCCTATTCCAAACTTTACTCCTCCCAATCCTCTATCAATTCTGTACCAGTTCGGTTCAGATCAGCTTATTCAACAGCTTCAACTGCAACTGGTTCGCTCTGCATCTGGTGCCAGCGGCTTCCGGTTGTCGCTGGGCGCCTCGGACATCGAACCCGTGTGCGCGCTCCTTGTTTTGGACTGGGCCTTGCTCGTCAAGACCTGGTTGCGCATCACGTTGTTCCTGAATATGGCGGTATAGTATACCTCACGGCCTCACTGTTATCCCTCCTCGTGAGCGGGACGACCTGCATCGTGTCCTCGGCGTAGTCGCCCGGCAATCCCTCTACATGGCCGTTGGCGATGCCAGGGCAACCAAATGAAGGATACACGAAACCGCGCATGGACTCTGATGGGCTTACTTCTCAGCTCCACGGACAATGGAAGGCATGTCCTGACACCACGATACATTCTGAGGGAATTTCAACCTTCATTACGATCTCCAACGGGCAAGCTGCATCCTGTTGATAACACCTTACCCGTCATCCTGGACATCTCGATGAGGCCAGGGCAACTAAAGGATACACAAAACAATACAACAGCGATAGGCTTGATTCTCAGCTCCATAGACAATAGAAGGCATAGCCTAAGCTTATAATACGTCTCAAGGGAATACTAACCTTGACTATGCCTTCGGATCTTAGGGACTGGCCAAAATCATACTCTGGACGCTTCGTTAAGGAAATCATTTTCTAACATTCTATCCAGAGTCCATAGATGGAAATCAAACTTATGCTTCAAACACCCATCCAACGGACTTCTCTCAGTTCCTTAGATATTTCCTCGCCCTGCTAATAATCAAAAGCGCGCCAACGAAACGAAGGCGCAGTCTGCCCATCCCGACGGTGACCACCTCACTCTCCTAAACGCTTATCACGCTTTCAAGGGTCAGGCAGGACACATCAGATCTCAATGGCGCAAAGCAGTGGTGCCACTGAGACCATCTTGCCTGTCTTGATGACGATAGTAAGCTGGCCATTCTCGACAGCATGGCCACGCCAATATCCCAGGTAATCGCCAACCTCAACCATATCCCGGCTAAGCAAAAAGAAGAAGAGCATACCAAGAACAAGGTAAATCCATCTAAGGAAATAAAACCTAAGCAATTGCCCAGACCATTCGAATTATTCCAGGACTAGACATGCCTTCAATAGGCCTGGCCTTAGCATTCCCTCTTGATCCCGCTCTGGCTATCATGCTTACCTCGGCCCCCGAGTTCTACTACTCCAACGGGATTCTCTCTATCACCTCACACTCAATAGGGTCACAACAAACCCCCAAGCGCCAGCAAAGATCGAAGAGATCTGAACGCCCGCCCGATGGACCTGAGTACCTATAGATGATAACAGCGCTAGCCCCCTGCCTTATCTGCGCAGAGAACGACCTCTTCATTAACAAGATTCCGACTCCCCTACTCACACCAATACCCCAAGTCCAAGCAGCTCTGTGGTCTTCTCAATGTTGACCAACTGTAAGGATATATCGGAAGAATAACCCTCTGGATCCACGGCCTAGCCTTTGCTAGCAAAAGCCATTACTACACTCGCTAGCCCTGCCTCACCTCGCTTCGATGATCCACCCTAAGGCATAGCCGCAAGCTTCTGGGACACCGGCAGGTTCGTCAGCGACTCTCTGTACTTGTATAAGTTCTTATTGTTGAACAGGTCCGTCCGATTCATGGTGGTGACCATCTTGTTAATGGCTATAATCCTGCTGTCTCCGTCCTACCTATGCCTTACATAGACCTTCAGCGACTTATTCTTTACTATGAGCAGAATGTCTCGAACCTAGCGAGGGTCATGCTTATCTGCGTATTAGACGGGATTGCATATGTGGCGCCCCTGGGTCATTCTATGACTCCTGGCTGCTCTATCGCCATGGCTAGCCTCGATTTGCCTCTGTGATGAGTTTTGCGGATATTATGATACTCTGATTATTGATATATATAAATTGCCATCGGTGTGCTCCCTTAAGGCATGCTAGGCAAAAAAAGACCCTGATGATCTCCGGGTTTAATATCTAGCTGGAATAAATATAGACCAAGTTGCAGATATAATATGAATATTCCTGATTAGTTCTGATGAATAGTGAGCTCTTATTCTATTACTTATGACTTTTAACTGACGGAATATAGACTTAATTTCTGCCTAATGGATAATAACGCGCGCAAGATGGTATATGAGCTGGCGAGCAAATTTAAGCTCAAGTCTAAGTTAATGTGGACGAGTAGCTCTTGGGAACCGTGACTTGACCCTCCTCTCGAACATCCTCGACAACAACGCCACCTCCTGACTCTGAACCCTGGGGATGAAGTTCGACGGCTGCATGAGTTACGTGGCTCAGATCAAGGGCTACTACTACTGGCTCAACGCTTCGTAGGGTGTGACCCAACTTACACCTTCTTTCGTCACGAGATCTCGCATCATAACAACATTTGTCATCTCTTGATCGTCTCTTCAAACTCGACTTTCTCAACAAGCAACTCATCTTGGAAACTTCGCCATCATTTACCATAACACTGCATCAAACCGAAACGGCGAGCTTACTTCCATCCTGACGTCGTTCAACGCCGTGTTCAGCTGTCCCCTTACAGGTCCATGTCGACCGATATGCTCCCGATCCCTACCACGGAGTACCAGTGGTCCATGTATCCTGCCGATGTGTTGCACTATGTCATGACGGACCAGGCGATCGGGCCACTAGCTGGAGCCCTTTCAGCGTATACAGCAGAAGAGTTGATCATCCCGTTGGAGGTCATGTCCAGGAACTCTAACATATCCACGCCCGTCGACTACACGACCGGGGGACATACCAGACACCATCGTCAGCAACACCTGCAGAAATCAGGAGAGATGGTAAAGCACATTACCAGCCAACCCGAGTCATTATATGGTTCACAGCAGGAGAGGGATTCAGATTCACCAATTTCCTGATATAGTTCTGTTAAAGAGGATAATATCTCTTGATCATCGTGTGATGACAATGGGGGTTCTAAGATACCAGTTACCCTTATTAGGGAAGGATTCAGCCTTACTCTTTTAGATCTAACCAGAACCTGGAGGTCGCCCAGTAGACGTCCACGTTCGCAGGCGCTGAAGATCTAAGTAGAGGAGCTTATGATAGTTAATGCTTTTACTTTACAAGAGGTAGTAGTAGTGGTGGTAGTAGTGGCACTGGCAATTTGCAGCAGGCGTTCAACCAGACGGCTCAGGAGATATTCCCTGGATGGATCCTCTTGAAGTCGCTCTATTGATTTGGAACCGAGGCTGGTTACCTGGCCTTCCTGTCTTGCATCTATCGTTCGACTTCCGGCCTCCTCTACTGGCTGTAACTCCCTTACTAGCCCGAAACCAGTGCTCAACTCGATCATCGCTCGGATGAACGACGCCACCGGCAAGAGCAAATCACAGCTGGTCATAGTGCTTGAGAACATATTCAAGTTGTTCAGGATCAGGGAGACCACAATCATGAAGATGACGGCCGCCATAGAGAGCATTATGGAGTCGAACTCGGTTGAGGACGATGAACTGGATGAGATCCTGGTGGTAGTAAAAGGGATATACCTAGAGCACATAAGAGACCTCGAAGAGGCTGTAGAAGTAGGCGGCGCCATGCCTACCCTTATAGAGGGTAATACTGGGGCATTTGAATGTATACTTCAACCGTCATCTCTGCTGATGCATAGGTACGATGGGACTGCCATGAGAGACAGTGTCTATGAGCAGATGATACTCAACAGATTCGACGGCACCGCTCAGGCGAGGAACCCAAGGGAGCCCATAGGCAACCTGCCTAGCGCATCTATAGCTACCAATACCGTCAACAAAACCTCCCCAAATACCTTCACGACGGCATGTGAGCCCATCGACATGATGACGAGACCATCTGCTCTACCTCCTCCTGATCAGCTCGTTAACCAGGACGTCAAGAAGGTGGCCACCGATGTGTTCTTAAACGCCATAGCCACGAATAGTAGCTACAATATGGTCGATGTGATAGATATGGGCGTTGTAGACGTTGGTAGGGCTGATCTCACTCTCTTAGCCACGGTGTCTGTGGGTACCACCACGCAGCTGATGAACGACACCCCTATCGCAGAGCACATGTACGAGCCCCTGAGCATCTCCGGGTACTTAGCCACAAACCCCGACTCGGTGGTCTTCCTGTTCACCTCTGCGACCTTCGACTTGACTTTGGCCCTCGCCATATTCATCTTCATACTCATAGTCATGGCCTAACTCAGGACCTGAACACTAGGTGCAACCCCTGAACATTAAGTATGTGAATAAGCCAGCGACGTTGCTATTGGATGCAGTATGTCTTGCTCATATGGATACAACCCGATCGTCAAAATCTTAGTTAGCATGCAGTAGCCTATCAACGTCAGTCCCCTCGCAGTGGCGTCGAACCTCTCGTCGGTGCCCATAGTGCTGAATTGATCAATGAAGTCGCAGGTGGTACTCATGTCATGGTCAGGGACCTCATGCCACTCAAGTGGCGTCGGTGTTGTCGGGGTTCCCCTTGACCTTCACCCTGCGGTATATCGAGTGCGGACTTCGCTTGTGTCCACGTCATGATGGAGATGTAGATGGGGATCCACTAGATCGATGTACTCGTTACCATGCAGATGGCCGTTGTGGTGTGGTCGCACTCAAGTTTTAGTCGTCCCCGGTCTCGTGATTACACACAGCCCTCGTAAGAATACCGTTTTCTTGCTTCGAATTCTCTTTGCGTTTTCCTTGATGGCGGACGAACAACAGATGCGTTTCTTGGATTCGGGGAGGCTCGCCTGAATAACCCAGAGTAATGTTGAGCTTCAACAACACCGTTGAGTACTAATGGTTGAAGGTGTCGTGGGGGGCGAGCTCGAAGCCCAGTACGTTGAACTCCAAGAAAGCGGAGGGCATGCTCGACGGCAAGAGCTCCTTCGTGCAAGGGACGGTCGCGATCTCGTTAGGCGATGCCGCACGCGGTCCTTCCTTAGTGAGGCAAGAAAAAGCTTTGCAACACCAAAAGATTCGCTATCATTCGAGCATCCCAAAAGAGCAGAACAAATCAACCGGGATACAATCTATATCGACGGTACGGCTGCCAGCTGCCATTTCTACTACAAGGAAACTGATCAAGCAAAGTTAACATGAACTTTTGCTGTTGAGACACACCATATCTCTGATACAACTTACAAATAAAAACATAAGCAACAACAACAACAACAACAACACCAGGGCATATTGCGATCCAGGGAACCTCTCGACCGGTTTACTACCACATCATCTTGGAAGAAATGAACATGCCCTTTAATGATCTTCAAAAGATGATTTATCAGCAATGCTACCCCTACGCACGTTCGACCACCCCTATATCACTTCACTCGGCTGCCTACTATGCAACAAGACACGATATCCTTTCGGAGGTTATGATATGAAGCATTACAAGGGAACACACCAATGATGTTGACAATGGATGTTGTACAGCGGATAGTCTTGATAGTTGAGACTATCACAATTAACCGCTCTCGAGTTCGAAGGTGCTTTGCCGGTGTTGGCAGGGACTCTCCTGGCATTGAGCCCTTTGAACACGAGCCATTCCATCAGCATCGTGGGTTCAGATATTGACAAGATAAGATGATAAAAACAACAATTGCAACAGTCAGCAACCATCACAGCAATCACGTACTCAAGTCTCTAGCGGCATTGGCTCCTTGAGGTATCTGTCCAACTTGCCAACTTGGATTTGGCTTCGTCGTATGCCCGTCGCGCAATATTATCAGCATCACCACCCTGTTGAAGATTTCAATCTCGCACCTTATTCAGTCCCATTACCCTCCCACTTACATACAACCGAAACGAAGACAGCGCCTTAGTACTTATTCATCAACCTGAGCCTCACAGAATGCGCTATAAGAACCCTTCTCCCCTCTCCTCAATCCTCATCATTTCCTTTCGGCACTCTCAACTTACGTACTACACCTTTCACATATCATCAACTTTAACAACATTAATACATATTTCATCAATCATCTCTTGAAACCACCAATCGCCGACTTCTCCAAGCACATGTGTCATCATGCTTGGCAGACCAGTCTCTAGTATATCCTGATACGAACCTATCGTTCGACCACGATCCTCTGACGGGGGCTCATTTCAGAACATACGAATATGCAACAGACTTCGATATCCATATATTAAGCGAACCTAATCTGGCGTCCCGCTTTCACTCGGCCTATTACTGTTCCATTATTGCTGGAGGAGATGGTTCTCTCTATTTGGTGTGGAGGTACTCAATCCTGCAACCATTACAACTGTCTGCCTCTGAAGCTAACATCATGTCTGTCACTGATAGTGTGAATATTCATGAATTACCTCAGTCAAGTAAGTCACACCCCTACATACCAGGCAAGAAACGCCCTGCTGACATTGATTAGATCCGGTCATCTTATCGCCAGCCGGCAGTATTCCATTTTCTTATACATGCTCAAGGAGACTCCGCCTCTCAGCGTCGGGATAGTCACCAAAGGCAAAACTCACCGGATGCACAATATATGAAAAACTGACCTGCTAAACTTAGTAACACTTTCTTCGCGTGGCAGAATATAAGATGAAGAACTAGTGGGTAGGCTGTTGTATTTGTGAGTAACTCCAATCACGAGATAGTAATGTTGATGTTATGCACTTGTAGGTTTTTCAATCACATCACTGAAGGATTTATATCATAAATAAGCACTATACAAACCTGAATAAGAGACATAGCAATGTAGGGGGGATTTCTACAAAATAAATAGTACAGAACTGACTGAGGAGAGATACAATATACCAACATGCACTTCCAAATGGGAATAGCAATTTCGCCGTAGAGACTCGTCTCAGCCCAGACTCAGATGGACGTTTATTAAATATATAACAATCCATGAAACTCCAATTGCTATCGTTTGTAAGTAACCTTGACACCAAATGTTTATGGACGTAATGAGCTTCCGAGGGAGGACTTCGAATGCTGTTATAGTTTTGGGATGAATCTACACACAACCGTCAAACTGGTGGTAAATTTTACGTAGTCATATCACGCGAAGTATTCTACTCGGGCCGCTTTATCCTAAACATATAGGAGAAAGATTTCTGCGAATCTTTACAAGCTTTTTTAATAATATGTAGTTTCTGATCACTTGAGACCATCACCACACACTTGGGGACTAACCCAGCTGTTGAGCCTCAAGGGCGGAAGGTCTTATTCCCGAGAACTCGGATAGATAGTAAGCTTATGTGTAATTAGATATCATTATGTCCCATTTAAATAACCGTATTCTTAACACACACAGAGATTCGAGTCGGGGAAGATTAGACGGGGTTTCACGTGCCTGGCTGATCGTATTGCTCTATCAATTGCCGATGGTCAAACATTACGTGCACAGATTCGGCATGGATGCGTGATTTACCTGTCGAGTGCATCGATCGAAATGTCTGCTCAACAAACTCAGGCTTAAGCTTCCCACCAGCACTACGGGAGCTACGGGCGCCTTCCAGAGGGGATAGAACGGCTGTGATGCTAGAGCAGGGCAAGGCAAAGTCTCGGTATACCCTGGAATGTGGTTAATGGCGGGTCACAGCTCAGTCTAGACTGATCTTGTGTACAAGACTCAAGTAAAGAAACGTATCATAACTTAGCAGCCTGTTTACGATCCTATCTTGATGAACAAGCTATTGCCTGCATGTTGATGATTTATGGAGAAGCATCTAAGATTAGAGATTGCGTCAACTTTAATCGTCAGATCAAATAAGAAACAGGACGTCATTCCCGCCAAGAATAGGAGCTCAAACGGGCATTCCCGGGTATTGTAATCGTCACTTATGCAAAGAGCTCTTTAGGGCTTTGCAGGCCCCTAGGGAGCCAGAAAGCTTCAGGCCTTGATATAGGATGCTAAAATAAACCCATTGAAGAGTCTTCTAAGCTTATGCTAAACTTACCTCAATCTTTTTGTCGCTGAGGATTGAGGTCCTAAGTTTTCCTGCCTCCCCTAACAGGCTATGGTTGCAATCCATGCATTCTGCCATTGCCTTGAGTGGCTGGAGTGGTATCGAAACACCAACAAAGAGGCGGTGGTGGCACGTCAGAAAACCGGGATCACAAGCACATATGGATACAAAAGCTGGAGTAGCGGAGACATTGCTCCGTCAAAATGGGACCACGAGGGGAGAGATCTCGATGGAGAGCACCGCAGATGGTGAGGGACACCAATCAATACCAGAAGGCAGAAATGCAGGCGTCGGGCGTAACTGTATTTTACCCGCCTCGGACGGAGTCTGTCACAAGCAAGCAAGTCACAGAATAAAATGCCCGATTTGGGGAAGCACAAAATAATGAGTGAAGCGTGAGGTAACTAAGCGTGATTGAAAACGTATATCCACATAACGTCATTGTGTGGTAGCTCTGGTCGCGTCACCGCCACACCTCTGTGCTACCCCGCTATGTGGCGGCGCCGTCAACCCCGGAAGCGGGACAGATCTGACCCATCGTGTTACACGATATCACGGGAAGTGGGTCCACTTAAAGAAGAAAATACCTCCAAAGAGCTTTGATATGACATCAAGCTTCTTGGTAACACTGGCGAATCATTATGCTGCAAGGGGCCGAGGTTGGCTATGTGCCAGTGTCTAGGTGTCTCACGTATCAATTACACAATATACAGGATACAATCCTTGATCTCCCAAACCGGTACCCCGCGACGCGCATAACGCGTACATACAGGTCAGTCTCCTCTTCTACCCCCACCAAACAAAAACAAGTCCCAAATCCTTTCATCGAGATGACGTTCCGGTGATGACCTGACGTCAGGGATGTCTCTCGAGCAACCATCACAAGCTTAACGCCCGAGCTTGCTTGCTATCTCGCTTTCAAGTGGTCGAGTAAGCCAGAGCATTACTGGGGTACAACCGATTTTCTCCCACTTGTCAGTAACAGTAATGTATCAAGCCGTCTAGGACTTGTATGCGGAAGCCAGTCAATGACGACACTCTTTTCCTTCACATGATAGTCCATGATAACTGGACAGGAGGGGAGCAATGGAGATAGGCATGCCAACCCAAGGAGGTGTATACGCCAAACAAGTGGTCAAACACTCGATGACGACGAGTTTTCAAGTTTAAATTAGCGTAGTCAATTTAAATCTATATAAACCCTCAGTACTTCTCTTCAATTCATTCCATTCTTTTCTTCTCATCACACCACACAATACCAACAAACCACCAACCTCAGCATAACCAATTCAATTATCTTCTCTTTTTACGAGAACAATACATAAATCAACAATGGATACCATCAAGAACACCGTTAACCAAGCTACCGAGAAGGTACAAAACCCCTGGGGATATTCCCACCGTGCTTCTGAGTCACTGCTAACACCTAAAAGGTCCAGGAGGGTATCTCTGGCACCAGCAAGGAGGCTAACAAGGAGGTAAGTCCATGGATAGCACTTGCTTGAAAAGTAAGTACATGTGACTAATTCGCTCTTAAGGTCGCCAAGGACTCCAACGCCGGCATTGGCACTCGGTACGTTGATACACCATTTTCGATATACTTTGACTTTTCTAATGCTTCTTTTCTTCAGTGCTTCCGCAGCCAAAGATGCAGCCAGCGACAAGATCGATGAGAGCACTCATGGAGCCAAGGGAGAGGCCTACAAGCAGAACCCATAAATGCTTCTTACATGAGAAACAATGAGGATATAACGCTGTGGAGGATTCAGGCCATATCTCGCTCAGGAGATTTGCCGTGCCTTCCATATTGAGCACTTAGATACCCAAGTCCAGTAGCTCTTCAATCAATCTATTATATACATCATCTCCGCCCTATCTTGCTGTGATTTCATCGTCTGAGTTGTGGACATACGGGGTAAGCTTTTTCAGCAACTTACCCCCACTTGGATCGATCTTATGTTGTATGGTATTCTTTTACCAAACGCTCTAAATGACTAATTTCTCAGTTAAGCTAAAAAACAACTATGATCTTCGTCAAGTTCTTGAAGTCAGCGTCTTCATAGAACCCGAGCCGTTTTGATTGTCGTCGTTGATGGAACCATGTGACAGGGCACGTGAACAGTCTCAACCAACATTCTCAAAGAACGATGTATATACAACTGTATATCATTCAAAACCTTAAAGAAATTTCATTCTCCAATTTATTTACCATTGTTTTACCACTATGAATTTTTTACTTCTCTCTGGCATTGCGACATGAGGCATGGCGGTGGTAACTCAATAATTATTAAGACTCCACAACTTGAGACTATCGCGTGAAGCTACTGCCGAAATGAGCCGCGATCGCGTCTTATTTTCGACACCGCTCCTCTCCGGAAGCTCAAATTTCCTTGACAACAGCTCAATTGAAGCTGTAACTCAATAGCTGGATTTTGTACTCTTCAAACAAATTAATTAAAAGACATTTGGCACTGAGATTCGACGCAATGGCCACAGAACCCTCATCGTCCCTCCCGCCCGACCTGTTCGACCAAACAACAATCATCTCCCTCCTCTCGACTCTCGCAATCGTCTTCGCCGCCTACGCTGCCTCTTTGAGATTTTTACCATCATCCTCCTCCGGCGTTCTCCGGTTTCTCTTTATATGGCATCTCGCTGATGCGCTGTGCCACTTCCTCCTCGAAGGCAGCTTCTTATACCACTGCTTCTTCTCGCATCAGCCCCTCGTCGACGACGCGAAGACAGACCTGTTCCCAACACCTCCTGGATTCTTAGGCTATAGCGATCGAGTATATGGTGCGCAGTCTGGTGGAAGTAATCCGTTTGCCCAGCTATGGATGGTGTATGCGAGGGCGGACAAGAGATGGGCTGGTGTTGACTTGGGGGTTGTGAGCTTGGAGTTGTTGACTGTGTTCTTTGATGGGCCTTTAGCTGTTTATGTGTGCTATTGCCTCGCTAAGAAGGACCCTAGGGTCAGCATCTGGATGATTGTCCTGGCTACTTGTGAGCTGTACGGTGGTAAGTCTTGACAGCACCTCAATTATATGGACTCGCCAGACTAAACAATGCTCAGGATTCATGACTTTCTGTCCTGAATGGCTCATTGGAAGTGCCAATCTCGACACGAGCAACTTCATGTACCTTTGGGTTTACCTATTCTTCTTCAACACTCTATGGGTCTGGATTCCGCTTTGGATCATTTGGTACTCAGTCAAGGACATCTCAAATGCCCTGAATGTGCGCCAAGGTAAGAAGACTCTCTAGACACCAAGAGGTCACAAGCCATGAAGTCATTTGATATTTGTAGCATATAGGTAGTGTTGTTGAACTGTAGGGATATGGGTGCAGAACGCAAAGCCCGGTTGGGGCACTGAAATATTGGATGTGGGCTAAGGGCAGTCATGCAGAGCCTCTTGTGAAGGGGTTTTTTTATTTATTTTAATCCAAGCCTAGATACCTTAAGCTTTGGTCTATGCCTTATCATAAAGACCCTGAAGGTCAGGATAATATCATCGTAAGAACCCTAAAGATTATAGTCAGGTCATCATAAGTTCCTCGACATTATTCATCCTCTATCGGCAGATGAATAGTTACGCGACTGTTTTTCGCGCCTCTCGCAATATGAATGATGCATGTCATTAAATTCGTACTATATAGATCTATAGACGTGAAGCCCCCATGCCACGTTCAACCAAGCAACTCAAGACTTTACTGGAAAAGCGAATATTTACACAAGCATAGCACTCTACAGTGACTACGAGACATGTATCCTCAGCTCAAATAGTAAAATAGAAACACCAACCCTAAATCCGCCATCGAAACGCCATCTATCACGTGCATGATTCCAGTCCATACTCAAATCATTATACATCATCTCATTTCTCCCACTCCTTATAGCTCTTCTGCTTTTGTCTGGTATTCCATCCTAACTTTCCACTGATACTGTTCACCCAATCCTCACTCCTTCGTCCCTCGGCCTGCACCGAGGCAAATGGAAACCTGCTGGCACTGATGGTCACGTAATCTCCCGGCTTGAGCTCGACACGCTCTCGGCCATCGAAGCTCGCCCATGACGCCGTTCGTGCGCTATATGGAACACCGACCCGTAGCACGATCGTGTCAGGAAGGATAATAGGCCTGAACGACAGGGTGTGCGCACATATAGACGTGACCAGCATCACGGGGTTCTCAGGGTGGCACAAGGAGCCCCCAGCGGCGAGATTGTATGCCGTTGAGCCTGTGGGTGTCGATACGCAGATACCGTCGGCCAAGACCGAGGTGAAGTGCTCATCGTCACCAAAGATCTCGGTAGTCGACATTGCTAGAATATACATTAGAACATCTCCTGCAGGGGTAACGTTTACTCTGGGATTCTCACTTGGGTTTGGTCCTCTGTCCACTACTACCTCATTCAGAATCTCAAACGTCCCATCCGGCCGATGCGTGTGCTCGTCTTCCCTCTCCTCGCCTATAAGCTCCTCCACCAAGTCTCGGGACTGCTCCTCGTCCTCCTCAGAGCCCTTACTAAGCTGAGCTCTCTTGCGTGGCTGGCTTCTCATGACAGTGCCTTCGAAACGTAGCCTCAGGCTAACTGTGACGCCCTTGGTGAAGGCCGTTAAGAGTGTCTTCTGATAGTCCTCGAAGTCAAATTTGGTCAAGAAGCCCAGGCTTCCTAGTGCGAAACTCAATACAGGTGGTACAATGCGCTGGAAGAGCCAGCTGGCATATAACACTGTACCATCGCCACCGAGTGAGATAACAAAGTCAAAAGTGTGAGGTCGTGTTCTGCACATGTTCTCGTCCCAATATCGGAGTCGCCTGTTCAGCGTTTCTTTGACAGTCTGCTCATTCATCTCCCCTGTATCAAGATATCCCTTGCTCACCTCATCAATGATTCCACTGACATCGAACTTCTTGTTTGTTTTGAGCTTGTCTTGGACATAGACGGTGTAGGCGACCTCGTGATTATGCTGTAGAAGCCACTTGACTAATTCTCGTGTTTTTGGGATCAAGTCTTGGTCGTATATCTTTGTGAGGATGAATATGCTCTTGACTTTGAACCGAAGGCGCATGCTACTCAGTCGGCGGCTTAGTTCACGTACACCCCAGGCCATATCACTCAGCTGCTGCTTGGTTAGAAGGCGACTTCGCACATCGTCCTGATAACCCGAAAGGTCAACTTCAGACATGCCTTTGGTCATCTGCTGCGTCCAAGCCTGCTGATCCGCCTGGCCCGAGTGTTCCATACCGCCAGGCTCAACAACAGCGCGACACTTCTTCTGATATTTGGGGTCGACAATCGAGTCGAGACTGTCGTCGCGAACAGCTTCAATGTGATCGCCATTGAGAGCCTTGTGAAAAGTGGCATGGCTAGGATTTGGATTGTTGCTCAAATACGACGGAGGGTTGTTTCCTATTGAGGGTTCCGACTCTGGCTCGCTGGCTGAGCTGGCAGCATCTTTTGCGCGTCGCTGACTATCGAGAAACTGGTGGACAAGGCACTCATCACGTCGCAAAGGGTGGCGCATCACAGGCGCTTTAATCTCTGAGGCAACCATTGAGCTTTTGCGACGATAGGGGTTTCCGGGATCGAAGACGACCTGTATAGGCGATTAGATCAGTCGCACCATTCTTGGTTGTCGTCTGGTATTGGCGACAGTACGAACGAACCTCTACTGCCTTGCAGTCCTCATCAGAACTCCCGTCGTATTCACGGTTGCGACCATCCTCAAAATGTATGTGTTTCTCTGTGTGATCTCCCATTTCTGCGATTGAAGGGATAACGAACGATTGTTCCTTTCAATTGCTATACTTTTTGTCTTGTGTTGCTCGTATGGTTGGATGACGTTGTTAGCCTGGCCTCGATGGCGGGGCAGATGGTGGATGGATCCACTGAACCGCTATTGAGAAAGCCAGGAATTTGACGATGTCGACCTTTTTCAAGAGGGTTGATATTGAAGATCGTCTTGGTCACCGAGTTCCCTTATTCTCCCTCTGTAGCTTTACTATATATATATCAATTACTGGTGAACGCGAAGAAGGTTCATATACTTTAGACGATACTGGCAGCTTCAAAGATTTGACCTAGCTATTGTTAAGAAGTAATGCATCTGCAGTGTGCTGAGATAATCATAGTGGAACTCTTTCTTCCGGGTCTCGCTCATGGTATTGCATAAGAAAACGAATTCTTAGCAATTGGCTACAATTTTCACATTCTACTGAGCCTTATCGAATGTGCATTGAATCCGCGTATTAGTAAAATTATTCAGTTTAGGGTAATCATGAGCCTAAAGCACCATCGTGATAGCCAAGATCAAGCTAACGCACAGAACATATTGTCGCATATTTCTTGACGATGAAAAGCATTGTTCAAGTGAAGCCGGCCGGTTTCGAGTTAGTTTGATCATTGCTGATGCCCAACGTCACTTAGTACATGGCTTACTGATACTTACTTAACGTGCCCGTGGATATGACCAACATGACATAAGCTTCTGGACCATTGTGCGAAGGAAGTAAATTATGCGATATCAACTCTCAGGAATGAAGTACCACCAGTAGCACCTGATCAGCATAAACAGCCCTCTCAATGAATGTGATCGATTTATTGCGAACATGGATGGTGAACCAATAGGCCTGTGGTGGTGTGAGCAACCCTTCAGAGTCCTCACGAAGGCTTCAATCAACTTGAACCCGTCAATGCAAGGTGAAACTGTCTGAAG